TGCACGCCCAAGCAATAATAGACACGCCAGACTGAAAACTTTCCGCTGAAAATGTTAATATTTCATACAAAATCGATCTCTTTGTAACAGATAGCGATGTCTGTATTGTCTGTATTGATTGACAAAGCAAGGCGAGCTCGTTTAAATGCACGGTCGACAGCACATCACCATACATATTTGTTGCAAAAGAGCTTGTTACAACAATGAAGCAGTACTGACTGCTGCATACGTTTTACTGCCTGCTCTATGTGTGCTACTTCTATGATCTAGCAAGTAGTACCTACATCAACGCCAAGATAGGGCGCATGTCAAGCGGGAATCGTGGTCAGTGAAAATGCTGACGCTCTCGGCAGAGTTCGGTTAAAGGGAACACAATAATAGAACCATATTCATATGTGGTATCCCCAAAAGCTTTGCCGGAATATAAGACCCTGAAGTCTCCAAGCTAAAGAAAGTATACCAAAACAAGACAAGACTTCACAGACTCACTCTTATACAGATTTTACCATAACTCTGGGTTGATCTCGGAACTGAGAAGCAAAACAAATAATTAAAATCAAGTTCATATTGAATAAGTATTTTAGGGTGGACTAGAAATATAACAGAGTGCCATCATAAAGGTATCATTGTGATGAAATAATGTTTGTAATGAATACTGATCTTACAAATGAAATTGGATATGCATGGATTATTATACGGAGACAGCACATTAAGATAAACACTGTGGGTTCTTGTGTAGCTGTAATATGAGCTATTTCGCAACGAAAATGTACAGTACGATGTGTACACGTGTCTCATACTCGTATTTGGCAAGTTATATAGGTCATCAAAGTACAACTATACTAAAAACGTACTACACTCGTCGTCAATTAAATCGCACCTCCCGCGACAAGCACTTTGAAACGTATGCATCCCCACTTCCCACCAATATTGGCACCATTTAAAAGCCTAGTTCTAAACTTCATTTCATTAAAGGAAAGGGTTTTTATCCTAAAAATGTGTCTTTAGAAGGATCCAGAGTCACTTCTTCAAAAAATAGGTAGTTACGTTTGAGCCAACTTTTATGGCCATAAAACTGTTAAGTTGGGATTAATCGCTATCCATCTGTTAAAGAGGATACGTGTAATCATTATTTGGTTTTATAACCATAAAATTTGGTCTAATTGATCCCAGAGGTGAGCCCAAAGTGAGGTCTTCTTTCAAGTCACATTTATGGTATATGTTAATCTTTTATTAAGAAATTAAATGTGTTTTTCTTTAAGGATATTTATTGGGCTTTCACATAACACCAATATTGTCGGGGTACCATGATTGTGTCAGAAGAAAATCTTTAAAGTTCGCGTCGCGGAAGGTGCGGTTTATTTGATGTTGAGTGTATGTTTCATTTTTATGAACAATAATAAGTACTTTAAACCCCGAAACTAATTGTTCTATTACAAGTGCAATGCAGACAGAAATGTAGAGTGACCCGTCTATGTCGTTTATTATTGTTCTGAGTGACTTAACTTTTGGAGTGTTTTACGTAACCGATAACATTAATTAAACTCCTTAACTTAACTTTTTCTTGAACATCATCGAATAAATGAGTTTCAGGAGGTTATTACAAATATCATTTCATTTAAAGATACTCGTATAATATTCCACTCTATTTTTTCAGTTCAGCAAATAGCTGTGTCAAATTTTTAAACTTTTTAAAGTTAAATTAAAAATCACTTTTTATAACGACACTTTCTACAAGCAACAATTGACTTCATTTTTTTTAATGCAAAACAAGGCAGGTATTTGACCACATTCGCATTATATGATAAGTGAATTGGATATTTATCAATATCATTACTCCAGTTCTGTGAATTCATTGGACTAGTTATTTCATCTAAACTGCGGAAAGAGGGATTAATTCAATTATATGATTTGATTATCATCTACAGACCGACAACGGAACATGGGAAGCTTTTAAAATAGGGGTGTATCAAACTTTATTTCCTGCTACGTCGCGTCGTAGCATTTGCCGTAGCAGGATACTACAATCTTGACTGCTGTAGCAATTGTATTAGATTGGATATTGAATAACATGATCTATTAATGCAGTAATAAATATCAACATTGTTTAACGAAAACCAAATTATTCGCTAGCTGGCTCAACCCTCATTAATCACGGGTTTGTAACAATGCAGCAATTGGTATTATTTTCGTGGGCTAGTATCGAGCTATCACGTGACGCATGTGGCATTCACCGCACGACAAGGCGCTAGGCGGTAGAGCTAGGAGTTGAGGCGACAGCCACGATGCGTCGTGTCGTGTCGTGTTCAGCTGAAAGGTTCGGCAGCGGGAGGGGGCGGGTTGCGCGAGGTCACGCCGCTCGGCCGCGCCCGCCGCCGCTCGGGCTGCGACGCGCGCAGCGACACCTTGCGTGCGCCGCCACAGCGCCAGATCGAGTTTACGTCCCGCGACCACGCTGCGGACTCTGCCGCCTCTCACACTGCCAACGAATTGTTATCTAAATATCGTTCCTAGGTCTCCACCTTTAGTGAACGAACACGCGATTCTAATCGGAAACGTGCTATCTTTTTACCAATCGATGCTCACGTATCTGATGATATACCATTCTGTAAACGAGTCGTGCGTTAAAATTAAAATCGATCGACTGCATTAAAAAGTAAAAACTATTATTATCGTTTGCGGTCGAGTTTTGCAGATTTTGTTGCGCTGCGATAGGGCTTTTGAGCTTTCTTTATATGCATATTCCAAAAAGTGTCTGGATATCGCTGGCGCAGATCGCATTTTTAAAATATACAGAGTGTGGTGCCGTCCTGTGCTTAGTTCAGTCAGTGAACCGTGCGTCGATTCCTCAAAGGTGTTTTTCTTGGCGTTCCTTTGGTTGCAAGCTTTAGCGATTTGCATTATTTCGGTTATTTCTTGCTTTACTTTGCTATTATTGTGAAAAAACGCGATCCATGCTTGGAGTTATGACTACCATGGTATGGTTTCCTTTGTCTAAATTACGTACATTTTTTCTTCTTTGTAGGAAGTTAGTATCTATCACAATCGATGCATTTAGCCTTATCGTATCCAACTGCAACACCTTACAAGCGTACATTGTAATTTTCATTCATTAAACTTTATACATTGTTGGATACATACTAAAAGGGTTTGACAGCATAGTTGTCACAAAAACAAAAGTAGATTTTAGCAATTTCGTAGTTAACTCTTGAGTCTGGACTGATCATGTAACAAACATACTCATGATGAATGCTCTACTCTGCTTTAGAAGGTTTTATTATCGATAGTATAGTTGCAAGTGGCCTGCATAGCGAGCGGCCGGAGGCGAGCGCGCCCCTCCCTCGCGCCGAATGCCCAGACCTCGCGGCACTCTCTAGCGCTACATCTACGGATCTCTCCCGATGCTAACATTTTTGGCACAACCTACACAGCTTTGTTTTCTCTGTAGCTCATAACTTTCCTGTTACATAACAATCTGGTTTGTTCGTTGAAATCTCAACAATCTTAGTTTTCGTAGTTAGGTATGTTTAACAACACAGTAAAAATATTAGCAGGTCTTGTTGCATTTTGATAGTATAGATTGTAATGCTTATCGGAATGCCATTTGCGGAATAATGTTATTTAGATATTGTACTCACTTTTGAATACAAATGACATGTAATTACAGTCACGTTAGGTACATAACAAAATTACACTCTTACTTACTCCGACTTCATATGAGTACATGATACAACATTAAGAGCTAATCCACTTAATGCTTTTATAAATATTTAAACATGTTTTACATTTTACACATATTTGAATTAATAGCATTATACAAATATGATTAAATGTTATCATATCAGGAAAGAAAAAGTAATAAACTTGAAATACAGACAATGATAGGTCAGTATACCATAAACATAGGTCGTTAAAATACGTATGAACCTTAACGTACGTTTCATGTACCTACATAAGCGTAAGGAAAGAATTTTCTTAGTAGGTAGTCAAGAACTCTTAATCGAAATATGTTTTCTTCTATTGAGAAAGCCATTATTTTATTTACTGCAGACTTACTTCAATCGCGTGTTTATCGGATCTAAGTAATAATATCGTTCATGACTTCTTTTATTGTTTGAGTAGGAATAAACCCGTTTTCGTTTCATTTCTAGTGTCTGTTGATTATATTTTTGGGTGGAAACATTAAAACATAGATCCAAACTGCAGTCCCAGGGCCTTATTCTTTATGAAAAGATGAAACCGATAAGGATATGATTTTAAAATGGTATTATCTACCGAAAAAAGTATCCGTCTCATAAGAATAAAGCTTCAAAATTTCATCTCATTATGCTATTAAATTTCAAAATAAGTGTGCGCCACCCCGCAAATGGCTTTAGTTGTCAATGGATAACAACATGACCACTCAGGCCGCATTGTCATCACTCATTTGTATTAGCAAGTGAAACGTCTCTCCGCTTGCTCGTGAATAGATGAAAAGATCCAACCGCCCATTGACATACTGTCTCAAATGAGACGCCCTCGTTCTCCGCTTTCAGCCGCGCATCTCTGCCTACCCATACACTATTTCTTCAACTACAATGTCTCGGCTGACTTTTGCGGAAGCTATACCTACCCTTAAATGCCGCCGCGAGATATCTTTTCACAATACGGTATTCTCGTTAGCAAAATAAGATCGCATATTTATGAATTCACGGTGCCACGGTATTGCGTCTATCAATCGAATCAAATAAATTCATGATTTAACTGGATATCTACTTCAATAGTAACTTGTGAATACAAAACAATAAGAGCATTCTGTGGCACCGGCGACTGTTTTAGTCATATCAAACCATACCATAGTAAGCATACCATAACGTTTATCATACAGAATTCGTTCGAAACCCTCACTGAAACGTGACCTGCGTTTCGGTGGCGAAGAATCGAAACTTTCTAAGTGTCGGCGGACCGAAATAGTGCATCTATGCAAAACACGGCAATCGCTCTGCTGGAGTCGGCGTCGGCGTTCGAGAGAGCCGTGCTGGAATGTGAGCATCTGGAGGCGTCTGAGCACGGCGGGTTCCGGTGAGAACGTTGGCGCGGCAGCGGCATGGAGGAGCGGGGCCCCCCCGACGTGCCGTTGATCGTGACGCCTCCGTGCGGCGGCGGCGGCGGCGGCGCGCTCACCACGTCGCGGCGCGCCGCCTCCGCCCGCGGCTCGCGCGACGACGGCCCGCCGTCCACCTGGCGCTCGTCGGTGCGCGTCCGCGACACCGGTTTCCGCGGCTCCCGCAAGAGCGTCGTTCGCCTCGAACCGCCCTGTAACGGCCTCAACGGGCTCCCCGCCATCGGCAAGGAGGTAAACATTTATCTCTTTGCCTAAATCGTTTACGTGTATTGGTTGAAATTTTAATCTGTCGAATATCCAACGATTACGTATGAAATTGCTCATTCGTTCTTAGAACTGATAGGTAGTTCCTAAACCAGACCAATGTGCACTGGGTTGATATAAAATACGCATTGTATAGAAAACGAAACAACGGTCGATCGGGTTCTTTTATACGAGCACCCCGCAATATCCTGAGCTACTAAATATTATAGCACACGCAGTGTGAGCGTCCGCGGTCGGTGTGCGCGGGTGAATGATTTATATAGTTCGCATCTCACTGACCTTTAACACTTCGTGCCTCTACCATGGAATCCAGGGCAATCCCAGCGACCAACTTGTTAGCTCATTAATTATTCATTCTACTTGTCCAACTTATCGCCGGTATATTTCATATTTAATTACCACTAAATTCGTTTTCATCAACCGCAATATTCGCAATTCAATTTAATAAAGTCACCCCATTCAAAAATGCATAAGTTTAATTAATGTGTTTGTAAACGTCATTTTACATGTATCATTGATTATTGCGGTAAATTAATGTAGCCCTTAAATTACCAACTAAATTGTATAACACTTTATATATTGTTTTTGGAAAAACAACTCAACATAAGTCTCTAAAACTTTCAAAGCGGTAATAAGCCAGCCGAACAAAACAAGGTAAAAAACAAACACTTCGGTTCGGTCAACAAATCATAAAAATTTGAACGTAAACATCACTTGAAATGCAATTTGACTACGTTCCGTAAAAATATTTTGGGTGCCTTGTTTTCACGCAGTTGGTTTTTAATTTATTTATGTTTTCATTTTCGAGCGGACCGAAGTAATAACTGCACTGCGCCGGCTTAATTTTACATGTGAATAATTCACTTACTTTATACGTGGTTTTCATCTCTTTTTACAATTTCTTATGTTCGCCTGCAAATTACAGTTCGTCCGGAAATAATACAACTGAAAAGTTTATTAAGTTTCATTAACTTCAGTTTATTTCTCATGGGTACGCATGTAAGTTGCATTACGAAGTATGTGTGTGTATCTGTACTATGTTATGAATTCTCCCCAAAAATGGGCTAAGCACAAAATTACTAATAGATACTTAAATACTACTCAGCTACTCATAGTAGCAGACGTTTATTTCAGTGCCTGAAAATAATTGAAGACAATGTGGTGCCTTATCAAACAAATCACTAACCTTTCACAACTCTTTATTTAATCGCAAACAAAAACATACCTACCTATCTTAGATCAAAGGAATTTTAATATACAAAATCTTATGTATTATCTATCACATCAATGGTATTTAGATATTGTATCATTACCGTCTAGGATGTAAAGGATTAGTCTATGGGAACTAGGTATTTATTTATGTTTACCCCATGGAAAAGTTATAATATGAGCTCATTCAGCTTCGTAATTATGACGCGCATTGAATTTATCGTTATCGCATACGTGTGCATATACTAAATGTCTTTAATCAACCTTAAACAAAATAATACCTGTTTAATCTAATGGACATGGCGCACAATTTTTGTTGAAGATGCCAAAAAAAACTACAAAAAATTAGAATGAATACTGTATTTTTATTTTTTTGATATCTTTAAAAATGACTGAAATATTCAAGCTCAAAGTGCGCTCTTCCGCTCGGAGCGATTTTCCGCGCGGATTTTGAAAATGTGACGTAGTAACATGAAAAGCAGCATGCAAGATATTATCTGTGTACAATGGTTAGAATGGTTAGTAGGGGAGCCGAAGCGGGGATTTCGGGACTTACTAAAGAGTGGCAGACTAACATACAAGGAAATACTTTGTACCTGGTTGATTACCTCTAAGTATGAATTTTTGATATAAAACGGCATTAGTTCTTATGCCTCTCACCCAAAAAATACCTCAATTAAGCCCAAATTTGAGACCGCAGCTAAACTTTGAGTGACGATGGAAACTAGCCTAGATGGAGGTCACATGAAATTGAACTTCTGCTTCTTCATTGATAAAGACTTATCATTTACCATACCTTATCATTTTGTATTCCATTTTCAAGTCACTTTTTTTTCGCTTACTGTTTAAACAAAACGTGGGATTTTTTGAATCTCAGGTCTTTTGAACGCACATCTGAACGATGTTGTCAAAAACCTTTTTTAAGGCGGGTTTTTTTCAATAAGGCGGGCGCGCGCGCGGCTATAAACGAGGTCACAAAATTCGGAAAGAACATAGCGAAATCTATTTATTCACCAATTTTCAAAAATTCCGGAAAACTTTTTAAGTAAAATTAACAAATAACTGGACTATTTACTCGTTATTGAGCACAGCGACACAAACTTGGTTATTTTTCCAGAAAATTTATATTTAAGTGCATAAATGTAAAAATGGCTTCATAGTGCACAAAATTGGCGATAGGTGGCATAATAATGGTTACTTTTATAGCGCATAGTTTGAAATGTGATTGAACGATGACAACTAACAACAGTTGTCAGTTAGGTAAAATTTTATTTTAGTTGGAAAAAGACAAAAAGTGGTAAATGGGTTAACGTGCGGGGGCTGCAAAATCATGTTGTGACGTCACGCGCGAATATTGGAAATTTTTGAAAATTTTAAAAAGTCCGTAAACTTCTCGAGGCTCTATCTTCGGTAATACTGGATGGATTGAGGTGAAATAAAAACTAGTGTAATGTGTGTGATCTAAACTTTAAAATAAGTCATAATTTAACTTAATATTACAACTTATGCGTGTTGTCCATTCTGCATTATCTACTTTAAAATGAATGACGAGCGATGACAGTGTAGATTCCGATAAAAATACGAAACGGAAACCAAAAACCTTCATTTACCTACCTACTTGGTTTTCGAGTTAAAAAACTGAAAAACTGCTACTAATAATTACGAGTAACTTATCGCATTCCGTCCCGATAATTCAACATGAGAAAAAAGTTAAATATGTTAATGAAATTCCGTTGATTTTGACTCAAAAATTTTCCGAATGAGGAAAACACCTTATATTATCCTCATTAGTAATTAAATTAAATCTGTTACCTACTACGGCGACCGTACTGAGTTTATATTGAGCTGAGTGATGTGATGATGATAATGAAATCTCGAACATTAGCATCATAATCATCATCATCATTTCAGCCATAGGACGTCCACTGCTGAACATAATAGGCCTCTCCCAATAATGATTTCTACAAAGGCCGGTTGGTAGAACATTAGCATGCCGGAAAACTGTCTATGTAAGAGAAAAAGTCGGTTAACTAGGGTAGGGCTTCAGGTACCAGCGAATCGAGACACAATACAAGTCAATTGTTACCGCGGTCTCATACGACCACCACGAGTTAACAACAAATAGGTACACCACGAGCCCATTCTGATTATCTTCTCATAAGTAAACCTATGAATTCTATAAAACATTGCAGACACCTACTTTATTAATCATTGCCTAATCTTCATGACATTTTCTGATTTTCTCCACTCAATATGATTGTACATTTTTGGTGTTTACGACCTTATAGATTGCAATTTTATTCAATCATCATGACTTTGATTAGTGTAATATACGACTTTATCACGTGTGATAAACGTAGATAAGATGATAAATTTTAATCCAAGGCTGTTTATGTTTAAGTAGGCACTTGGGTGTATTAGTTTTATCCTACAAAATATATCAATGACTTACCCTAAAGTCATCTCTGTGTCTTACGGGTCAGTAGTCTCTACTACTATCTGCCTGTTTATAGGAATATCAAAAAAAACTATCGTAGGGAAGTTTTTATGTACAGTTTTCATTAATTCATAGACTGGTGACTAGATTCATGACTTTTGATCATGATCGAGCAATCTTGAATAAGTGATTTCAAAATTTGCGACCATACAATTTAAATTTTACTTGCGGTCATTGCCTCCGATGCGGCGCGTTGCTGTCGCCTGTCAGCCAGGTTATTGAACTGAGCTTTGTTTTGTCTTTGTCGCCTAAAACTAAACCTTCCTTTTGTAGGTATTTATGTAATTTAACTACTCCAGTTAGGTATATGAAGTTACTCTATTTTTTATCAAATAGTCGCCGTACCAAGTATTATTATGTCCTTGACTTTACCACAAATAGGCATGAACAAATGTCGTTAATAATGTTATATTCTTCATATTATCAGGCCTGTTCATCTCCGCGAGTTTACATCGAAAACAAAACACGCACGATGGCCCACCTACAGGATACTATTCGACAAGGCCTCACATACGAGCGAACATTGACTCACGCACGCGTATTCTTGTGTATGATGGAAGAAAATAAAGAAAATTGTGTACTAAATACTGTGCAGTATTTAACTGCCTAAATAATAATAAAAACACAGAATGTACTTTTTTAAGTTGCCTCAAGACACTGAGAGGTAAATAAGTAGTTAATATTATTCATGATAATTCATGCTAAATCATGTATTTCCTCCGCCATTTTCCGCAGTTTGGCACCTCACGTCACATCATTTTACCGAAGTCAGCCCTATAGCTTCGGTGCAGTGCCGATCACTGACGTTTGTCAACAAAATGGTGCTTGACTCTTGAGACAGGCTAAATTACACCATATTGTTAATGACATTGAGCATAATTTTTTTTAAATACCTTCGCGAAGTAAAACTTCTGTACGTAGTACCAGTAGTAGTAGTACTTATTATTATTCTGTGATATTATTCATATTTTTCTTCGAAATAGGTATCATGTATTAAATTCGAATATTAGTAATTTGGGACTACGAGAGTTATTAATGAAAATAAGTTATTACCACATTTTTATACGTATTTTTTATACAATTTCATTAAAGTACGAAAAATCTACGAAGAGTTCTGACACTCATTACGACTTTGTTAGTCCTTAAAGTTTTACGAAAATTCAGCTACAGTCAATGACGACACACCATTACACGATAATATTTACTTTCTTTCGATTAAATCCGCAATAACACAACAAAATTGTACATTTACACCACACAAGCAAAATTCAGCATAGCATGTATAGGAATTATAGTGAAAAGAGGCTATTTTTGTCCACAGGTACTGTCATTGGGCGCGACGGGGCCCAAGGGGACTACGCAGCCATCACACCCCTGCACTATCCTCCACCATTCTCCTTACAAGGTAAGTGAATTACCACTACAGTGGAGACTCAATTATGCTACTTACTTAAGGGACAAAGGTGTAGGAAAATGGATTTGTTTGGATAAATCAGACTAATATATCACGTCCAAATGTGAGGAATGTTAATGACTTTGAATAAAATTCTGATTGCCTACTGCGTAGAGTCTACTGTTGTCTGATTCTAGAAAGAGAGAGAGCTTAGGTCTCTTGAGTAATTACGTATATCTAATTTGGTTTTCAAAAATTCAATGTAAAGTAAAAACGATTCATGTTTTTATATATTTTAGAAATAAGCGTATTCTGTCACAAAGAATAAAACAAAGCGCAAGCAAAGCGTTATATAAAATATTAATAGTCTAGCTTGGCACAAATATTTGTAGCGTCTGACATGCAATAAATTTTATAGAGAAACCAAGCGCAATGCGTAATTTAGGTCGAAAGACAGACAGTCGTACCATTTTGTTGGCAACTGCCACCGAAAACTTTCACGCTACAGTGAATAAGTATTCGCCAAAGCCTCTACTTGCCGTGGTCCCATAAAGATCCCCACCCAGTCTCATATTACGGAGGCAAAAAGTTCGTCTGTATACATATAGGGTGTTAACACCCTTGACGAAGCTTGGAATTACGTTTTCTGCGCGTGAAAGCAAGTTGTATTATGTCCGATTTTTAGAAACTTTGGTTACATACATTTTCTAAGTATTTATTTTAATATCCCTAATACATACAATTACCTAATTACCATAATCAAAGTAATAGACTTACTTATTATTATCATTTTCATCAATTAAGTAGTATCATTTGAATTGAAATAATCCAATATTAATTATCATGTTTCTATATCGTAGTCGTTTTATTCCCATTTGGGAGTACCAATTTATTTATCAATTTAGCTCATCGACAATTTATCAATGACATAAAAGTAGAACTTCCCACTTTCACTGACGACAATTTAATCTTCGACATAGTAATATACTTAATATGATACTTAACTTGCCCTAAATAATGATGATGTGAAGCATTAAAGTTATAAAGTATTCTAAATGTAAACACTTTTCATCGTATCGTAAGAGTTCTGAGTATTAAAATTATAACAACTACCTACTTTATTTAGGACAGAACGTGATTATAATTTATGACAAGGTCAGTCCAATTTAGCCAAGATCCGATACCATATAAACAATATTTTTAGTACGAGTATCATGACTAATGTAGATTGAATACCTAATATCTAACCGAATACTCGTACATATAGATGTGTCAGTATTTTAAGCTTCAATCAATACTTCATACTATTAAAACGGCGGACGAAAACCATATGAAATATTCACGCATCATTTTGCAGCAGTTGTATCTTAATATGTTGACCCGAAGTGGTAGTAGGGCAAGCTATTTGGGACGTGTATAAGCGCCCTAGAAAAGGCCTAAGTACTGAATAAAAGCTTTGCCTTTAGCTGCTGCTCAAATCCTCAGTCGGCATCAATTAGGCACCGACGAGTGGCTGATACGATTGGCATAATTACCGCGGTACGGGAATTCAACGATGAAGCCGTCTGACTCAAATTCGAATGGTTTTTGCCTTTCTTCATTGACTATTAAACCGCAATGATATTGGCAACAAGATTATACGATAAGGCAGTTTACATAAATTAAGAAGGAGTTCGATAATTACCAGCCAAGTAAAAAAGGTTGATGACTGTTTTCACTTTATACTTTCTTTTTATATGATGTCAGGCATAGTTTTTGAGGAGACTTGATTTGTCTTATCTAATTGTTATATTGAATTAAATAATAAAACTCTACTGTTTTACGGCAGTTGTATAATAAATTATTAGCCTGTTAACTAAGCCAAATAATGATAACATGGTATTATGGCCTTGGAGACTCGACGCGATACGATAATTAAGTCATCATTATAAAGCGTAAACAAAAAAATGCGATAAGAAGACGGCATTCAAAAACCAAGTTGATTATACTTCATTATTATCTAAATATCAAGGAAAATCCTGATGGATATTAATTAAAAAAATTGTTTAAGCGCGTCAATTGCATTTGATAGTGCAACACTGAGTACAGTCGTACTTGTGTTAAATTAATAGGCTAACTTTATGTATCAGGATTCAGGATTACGGGCTAATTTGATATTTTCATAAATTAACGAAAAAATATTATTATAGGTAACCTGGTTTAAATAAATTAAATGAAACCATCAATCGAGCTTGTAGGATTTATTTTATTATTTATCAATAATCAAATTCAGAACTTAAATATTCAACTGTAATGTTTGCTCATGAACGCTTCAAACTCGATACTTATTTCCCAATTCCATAAAATTCAACACTTAGAAAGTGTCATTTTTAAAAAAAATATGTAGTTGAAACAAACCACAGCTAATTTTCATAGTGGACTGTACTATGCGATAAACATGTCAGTCAATTTGACAACCTTTGTCGGAAACATAATTCAATGAAAATATTGTCCGAACCCTTAGTATTTCTCTTCGACAAATACTTTAACACATTGTGAACCACTTTTCTTTCACGACTATAAAAAGAGTTTTACAATTTAATTCACAAAATCAATTGCGCACTTTTAAAATAAATTTTGTTTACACTTTGACAGCAATAGACTGACATGCAAGGTGACATTCAATGAAGTTTTCAGTTACTGTTGCCATTAAAAGAAATTAGTACCATTAGTTTTCCGCAACATGGCGAGGGTCTTTATGTTCCTGGTCAGGCTCTCAGTCAGGCTATACATCCTATATTTACTGTGCCGTCAAATTCAAAAAAACCAACATAAGCAATACAATTTCTCTACTCAATCTCTCTTGACTTCTTTCAAAATAAAATAAATAAATTAGAGACTATATGTAGAGTTAATTATTCCAGATGTCACTATTTCCACGAGGGTGTTCAATCATACGAATCATGTCCGTCCCGTGTCTGTGAGGATTTCCTTAACTCTGTGGTGCAATCCCTAATTAAGGAGAGTACGGGCGTTAGTAATAAAGCTGGATATGTCCAGTGTCCACCGCCTTATGGTTACCTACTTATGTAAGGGAGAGTCTGCTAATTTGGACCAGTTTTTTTCAATCCCATTTTACACATAGTTTTCTTTTGTTTTTGCTAATGTCCATGGTATATAATGAAAGATACATTATTCAACTTACTATTTCATAAGTATTAATTAACATGATTGTTGTATATTTAGCACAAATCAACAAAGTACGAGTTCAGAGCTTCGGTCCAATTTAGCCAACCGGTTGGATAATTTGTACCACAGGGTTACTAAATTGAATTTCAATTAATTTCAAGCCTATAAAAAAACCATGGCAAAATATTATACGATACATTCTTAACAAATTAGGAAACGAAAAGGAACAGTAGTTAATAACATAGACAATCGATATTGTTTTACACGTTATCACGATTTTGAGTACAAGTTTTGTGATTCCAATTATCGTAACGCACACTTGTACCTAATCTACTTTGCCAGTCTTTTCCTTTCATTTATTGTTAGTCAAACATAACTACGCTATTATAACTTCAAAATATGATTTACTAAAAAAAATTTCAAAATCCTTTGGTAAAGTTCCATACAACTTGGTGTGGTACAATTTAGCCGACTAGGTGATAGTGCTTTTAAAAAATTGGTAAAAATTATAGCTTATAAATACCGAAAAATGTTTCAAATAATTGTAATCCACACTAATTTACGCTTCTAAATAATATATTAGAAACACCCTGTGATTAAATTTAACAAAATTACAAACTAAACATGTATTGTCAAAAGTTACTTGAAAACAATGAAAAAATACTTTTTAAAATAAAACACACGTTATTGTTGTCACGGCAAAAACCACATGGCCGATATTAATTTATTTTAGTTGTGTATCGCTGAGTGTTGCAATTACAGACATTCAATAAATACTTTACGAAATATGAGGGTGGTACAATTTACCCGGCGGTACAATATACCGAACTCTCCTATGTATTCAGAGGGAACAATTTTGTTAGGATAAATGTCGTGTTTTGTTTGTATTTTATATCCATAAAATACAAACAAAACACGACATTTAACCGCCTCTGTGGTCTAGTGGTAAGACCACCTGCTTCAGACGCAGAGGTCCCGGGTTCGATTCCCAGTGGGGGCAGATTTTTCTGTTCGGTTTGGTTGGTGGTAGGGCTTGTTCTAAGTCCGCCTGGCTAGCTACCACCATCTTACCTAAGTCTGTCGCCATAACAACAGTGTTAACAGCATTGTTGTGATCCGGCAGTTAGAGGTAAGATAGCCAGTTCCTCCGTGGTTGAGGATTCCGGGTGAAGCTCGCTTCCACCTTCGGCCTGATCGTCACTTACCATCAGGTGAGATACAGGCCAAGAGCTTCCTCGTTGTGTATAAAAAAAAAAAAAATATATCAGCAAAGAATATCATTTTTTTTTCAACTCGTTATTTAGGAATTTAGGCATGGCTATGGTGCATTTTTGATACCATTTACGTGTAATACAAAGTAAATTCGAATATCACTACATACCTAGTATAAAAATAAAACAAAGTGGCTTTCCTCTGTCTGATGTATGCTTAGATCTATCGAATTACGCAACGGATTTTGATGCGGTTTTTTAATAGATCTATAGAATTACTCAAGATGAAGGTATAAAACACACATATTATAGAAGAGAAAAGCCGAGAAATTCCATTGCAACCGTGCGAAGCCGGGGCAGGCCGCTAGTAATCTATATATATAAAAGAAAGTCGTGTTAGTTACTTCGCTTATAACTCAAGAACGGCTGAACCGATTTAGCTGAAAATTGTCAGGGAGGTAGTTTAGAGCCAGGAGAAGGACATAGGATACTTTTTATCCCGTTCGAAATAAAAAAGTCTGCTTATTTATTGCCATTAAGGCGGAACAAAGTTCGCCGGGTCAGCTAGTATTATATAAATCATATATTTCCATGAATAATTATAACAACTGTGGCCTCACCTTAGCCATTCAAGGTCTACTGTTACCACTTTAGTTCACCCCGTCTCACTTGATACTTCACGGCTGGTCATACTTACCCATAGTTTTGCCAATCCAAGGATTACCGCAATATTTTAAATCTATAGATCTGCGATTATTTTTTATTTAGATCGTAATAATATTTTATCGTGTGAACATTTATTCTAAGCTAGCTTTCCGCCCGCAGTTTTGATTCGAATTCGATTTTTTCCCGCCGTAAAAACCATCCTTGGACTTCAATGAACATTAAAAATAATTAATTGGTAAAATTGGTCCAGGCGTTGTTGTTGAGTTATGCGCTTACCAACACATTTTGCGATAAATTTTTATATTATAGATTAACATTTAAAGAAGTTAAAGACGCGTCCAATTTTTATACAAAAAATATTAGCTGGGTTTCACTTCACGAAAAATATTTCCCTTATAACATTGTTGCCCTTCTTTTTACCCGACTACGTGAAAATTTGTCTTCGTTTCGGAAGCGCCAAGGCAATATTAAAATAAAAGACTGCGCGAATCCAATTTTATTCTGTGTGACGTGCGTTGTATTTTTATACATTTTCGTAGTAGTATTATTGTACTTATTTAATTCGAGTACATAAATGGCAGGCGGCAGTTTCAACTGTATAGAAAAACTTCCCAAATCGCGTTTTGTTATTTCAAAACTAAGTACCGCCTGATATATTCTAAGATTGTATTTTTTCTATCATCATTTGTTTATGTAGGTACTTAAGAATTATACAACAAACAAATAAGAAATTGATTGGGTGTTAATATTACTATTTTCATTATTTCAAAGTTAATATTTCAACAACAAATCCTGTAACAGCCTTCAGCATTTTGCAAATCCAAGTTTCGAAACGTAATTCAGTCCTACATACAAATTATAACTTTAGTTTCCAATACACACATATTTTTCAGCCCATACTTGCAAATTGATTGTACGTTGTTAGAGCTATTAATAATATTTAACTCGTTTGCTGCCATTTTCAAGTTTCTGTAAGTAAATTACTTTGGTGTAGCCCACACTGCCGTATGTCGCAATGACCTGATTTTAGTTGAACACGCAAAAGCGCAAAATACTTTCATTCCACACGCCACATCTTTGCCCCGCTCCGCAAAGGGATTCGGATGTGAAGCATGTACCCTTAATTAGGAACGCTATTTAAACAATCAAATTACATGCTTAATAAGGCAGGGCAATCTTCTAAAAGATTGTCGACGAATTAGGAAGTTAATCACCATGCTGCTTAGAAACAATTACACGTAATCTTAATTTGTAAGTTGTGACAATCTTTGCAGACTCATTTAAGTTTTCTTTATAGGTATCTAGTTACCAGTAATAAAGAAAAAATAGTGTTGGCAACGTCATATTTTGTGGCAGGGACGGACGGAATAGAATCGCATAGAGCCTATTTTTGTTTTTAGTTACGTCTAGTCTATCTTATTTTTTGATTAAAAAGGAAAATTTTTGTTAACTGTCAATAATTATATTGCCGAGCCAGTCTCTTGTGTTTTTCGTAGTTTCTTTTCACCCTCACTCTGATAAAAGTTCACATTAGGTCTAGAATTTAAGCTATATTTATGCCTAGGTATAAATGGACAAATCTGTTTCAAGATTATGTTAAACTAGCTTTCCGCCCGCGGCTTCGCCCGCGTGGAATTTTGTCTGTCACAGAAAAACGTTATCGCGCGCGTCCCTGTTTCAAAAACCGGGATAAAAACTATCCTATGTTCTTTCCCGGGACTCAAACTATCTCTATGCCAAATTTCATCAAAATCGGTTGCGAGGTTTAAGCGGGAAAGCGTAACAGACAGACAGACAGACAGACAGACAGACAGACAGACAGACAGAGTTACTTTCGCATTTATAATATTAGTTGGGATAGGCAATCAAGATCGAGATTGATTATTCGCTATAAGTTAATTTCCTACTTATTGTTCCCCAATATTATTAATCGTCAGTCTGCTCATTTTGTATTAGATTGATTAGATACTAAAATTATGTGGATTATTAGGTTATGCTTCGTACATTGGAATTTCAAACTTTTATTTCTATATCTATCTATCTAATCGCTTTGTACGAAGTCCGTAGTAATGTTGCTGAAGACTTATGTATTCAGATCATAGTTGTAATAGGTGATAACATAATAAAGTATCAATGTGAAATGCGATTAAAGATCATTTAAACGCTATGCATAAAAACTTGTGATGTACCTACTTACATTAGTAGCAGGAAAAACCGTCTTGGAAAACTCCAAAAGGTTTTCTTAATGAATGATGGTTAGATAGGGACATTTCTGTTTGTTTCCAGGCCGCTTGGGATTGGTTGATCTTGATCCTGGTGATCTACACCGCGATATTCACACCGTACGTCGCCGCCTTCCAACTCAATGAGCCGGACTTCGACAAGCGCTCGCGCAGCTTCGGCGAGGATCCCATCGTCGTCATTGATATGATAGGTAAGTTTTTCTTACATTTTCGTACGTATACGTAGACTGTTGAATCTTGCATCATATTTAGTTACTTACGAACAAAAGTAAAGAATGTTGCGATTGAATGAAGAACTTCAAAATCATAAAATATAGTAGCAAACTGCAAAATCAACTGATAGTACTGATCTGATACCTATGTAAAATCATGAAATTAGATGCACGTTTTACATCTTTTCAATCATTTGTTCTTATATACGTAACCTGAAGGCTCTCCTGCAACTCTGTGCTATTATTATTTCAGTCGACGTGACCTTCATAATCGATATCCTGATAAACTTCCGGACGACGTACGTGAACGCGGCCGACGAGGTGGAGTCGGACCCCGCTAAGATCGCCATGCACTACCTGCGCGGCTGGTTCCTCATCGACCTCGTGGCCGCCATCCCCTTCGACCTGCTCCTCTTCGGCACCGACACCGACGAAGTGAGCGCCTTTACTCACACCACCCCGCCGACCCCCCTCATCTCACCTTATACACATCCAACTCTAGATATAGACAAAAAATTTTAACGCCTAACTTTAGATTCAATAGCCACCAGACGATCACTTGTCCGAATGAGAAGTTATAACTCATATCCCGATTATTCCAAAAATATTCACACTTAAATTACAAATTCAAATGCAAGACTGCATAGAGGCCATATAGTACAATAAGATTAGGCGACGAAGCACGAGTAGAAGGGTAAAATAGGTCGTAAGTAACGGCACGAAGTAGGTCAAGCTAGGGGTGGACGATGACCATTATAAAAATAACAATGAGGCTCTTTTCCAATCTGATTCGTCGGGATAAATGTTCAACATCCATTTCGGACAAATGTAGCTCTGGACATTTAATAGTGATCACGTAACTACACTAACTAGTGGAATGCAACTATTGCAACTCACATTTAAATCAGGTTATCGCAATTAAATAATGTCACTTCAAGGCCCCGCGTTTTACCATAAATACAAATTAGCTAAATATTTATTATTTTCTTATTCAAAATTATCAACCAGTAAAATTGACTTCACTTCACTCTCTTTCGTTACTCACATTACTTTTGTTAAATTTTGAATTAATTATTATTGATTATTCAATTAATAATTATTTTTTCGAAATCAGTGTACCTACTCCTGTTGTTTTGTTGTTTCCTTTAATAATTTCGGTATGGAGAGCCCAAAGGTGGGTGCGTATTGAATCTTTTATACCATTTCTTGTTACAGCAGGGGCTGGAAAATGATGAGGTATACCATCTTTGTGAACTATTTTTATGTTGCTGCCACTCGATTTTCTTACATTTTAGTTGACATGATTTTATTGATTAATTTCCACTAGCCATTTTCAATCCACCTAAGCGAATGCGTTAATGGAAGATAATGACGCTTCCCATAAGCAAAATGTTATCTCATCTTCAACCCTACACCGAGCGATCATCAACGAGCCCACTGCTGCTCACGAGCTTGCCGCCGGCGTTCCTTGCCCGAGATAACTGTTAGCCTTGTGGACCGTAGTCAGACCCTAGACTGTCGTCATAATTACCGATAGGACTATGCGTAGCTCCATAATACCTAGCCAAACACTTACGAGTAGCTTATGAAACTTGATTATGGTGGTAACGATCGCCGTCAGCTGCCAAGGTGACCCCTAGAGGACCTTCACCTTTTATTTACGACATAGTATACGTATAATAGGTATACTCGTATCTTAGCTTATGTTAATTACTTTCTTATGCTTCAAAAAACTACAAGAAGTATTATTTAGAGGAATGTAACGATAATGTTTAACTTGAATGAGTACTGTTGGAATGTATCCAATATAGAGTATGAAGATTTTACCTAGGTATGTTAGTATTAGAAAAAATAACAAAGGCGGAACATTTCATTGGCTTCTCATAGCAAAAGTGCAAAATTCACGAAATGCACATAGCTTGTTTAGCAAATACGCTCACACTTCCCAGACGTAATTGAGTAAGTACCTATAACTCAACGGGTATAAAAGCCTGTCCTCACAACATGGTACACCAGTTGGCACGAGTTATGTCGAATCTAGACAATGATATAGATATTACTTGTACTTAAAGCACCCACCTTACATCAGCCAATGACTGATCCATTTTTGTATCGACCAAAACTTACACCCACCTATGTTTTTTTCATTACCTACCGAAGTAATTTATGTTAGTCGCAAATTAGCACTACTTTATTTTATCACACTGTCCAATGAAACTGTTACATCATTTTTATTTTTTATTGGAGACTAAAAATTATCTTTGGTTGTTTTTATTTTATTATTGAAATAAATTATCTCAAACTGTTTATTTTTTGTTTTACTCATCATCTAACCCCAACCAGTTTACATCATAAACCTACAAATATTAATAAAAATGTATTGTATTATCACGATTGATCCAATCGTGCACTGTACAGAACTGCATCTGTAAATTTTAATTTTATAAATAGTCATATTGGGTACTGATTTTTTAAGTGCCGTTTCTAATTACTCATATGGGAGCAAGCATACTTGTATAATCCACTGTCCACACCATAATTATAAGGGCAAGAAAATTATTTTAACCGACATAGCAAGCGTTTTAGTATCACATAAACTGTGATATTTATCTGAGCATGAACTTATCTAAGTGGTTTTATTATATTAATCCTTTCTAAGCATTGCGACGACAGTATTTTAGTGCCTACTTACTTATTATATTGGTATTAAAAGTAGTAATGTAAACATTTTACTTATTTAGAGCTCTTGGTGAGTTTTAGTATAGTTTAAATATCAAATAGATTTTTAGTAGTCTACCTCGGCAACCATTTACGATTGCGTTTCTTTGTGCTCTATACATACATGTTAGAAACTTTAACGCCTTTGAGTTGAAAAGTGAAATATGGGAAAGTTTGGATATCTTCTTACTTTAATTTTTTTAAGTAGCAATATGGTGTCCATTACATGTCAGAACTTTGATTTCTGGGCTAAAGACGAACGATATTAAGGTCAGGGCAATGAACAAAATGTATCTGCTGTTAAATATTTTGCCATCCTATGCTTTAAACCCTGTATGCCAATAGCAACATCTTTAATTATAAATGAATTCATCAACGCACCTGTTTAACAGCTACTTTAGATTTGTTACAGTAGAAACATATACCATTGCATTCTTATCATAGCAATATTAGAATGTGGTTTGTTTCAATCAGAGTGCAAGTTTCTGATCATGCCTGAATTTTACATAAAAATCATAGAAAGGAATATCAACTACAAAGTAGTAATATCGCTGTTCACGATCTCACTTCTTCTTGATGAAGATAAATTCAGCATAACTTTGGAATAAAACGTCATCCAGCTCGTCTTTCTGTATGAGTAATATAAAAAATCAGTTCCAGTCATTATATGAAAAAAAGCTTCTACCCATAAAATTAAATGGATTCCGAGGTTTTTAAACTTATTTTGAAGTGTTACCTATTTGACTAAATCTTGTTGAAAATGGGTTCTGGCTGAAATAACAAAGTTTCATTCGATAATTTTAAACTTTTACTATTATATTTATAAATTACAAACTGTATTTTGTAGAAATTGATGGGTGACGAATACAAAGTGTTAGGTAAATGGATATATGAGCCGACACTTTAGGCCATGTTCACATATGCATAATGCATATAAATGGTATGGTGAAGTCAGAAAATTGATATCATTATTTTAACTATTATAATTTTCGTACAAATCTGGTTTTATAAATTTTATTTTGTATGAACATTTAAAAAATTAAAATGATGATATCAAGTTTCTGACTTCACCATACCATTTGTATGCATAATAATATGTTAACATGGGCTAGTGTCGGCTCATATACCCATTGACCTAGCACCCTGTATAATAAATCTTCCTCAAATAATTTCATAATAAGTCTTACTTATCTGTTCAAATCGTTTCGAAGCCTTGAAATTATAGAGATTAAAATGGTTTCTTGCCTGACTCTCGTTACACAGGTTAGCCTTATACGAGAGCGGCACATATCTTGTAATTGTAAAGTGTTTATTTAATAAAAGTATTTTCATTTTCTTGGAGTAACATATTTATATTATTAATTAATATTTAGGTAGGCCTACTTTTCACCCAGAGCCCATTTATTTGACTGTTAAAAATCATTAATATCAATAAGTAAGTAGGAAAATACTGAACCGTAGGAGGTATTTTCACCACAGTAACCAAAATTATGTATTTAGAAATAGGTAGCTTCGTATAATATTTTAATAAATTACCACAGTTTAGTTAATAAGGATACAAATGCAGTTGAGTGCTGGAATGAAAATATATAGAAGTAGGTATGTATTATACTTGTGACACTACCACTTTTCCCTTATTTAAAAAAACCTCTAATTATCTACCTCTAGGTCAACATTTGCTCCATACCTACATTTTGAACTTTTCAAAAATGTACCTACTACAATCAGGTAATATATTAAAACAAATCATGAATTGATTGGCTTTTGCACAGTGTGGTTACAAATTTTTTCACCCTATCTATTTGTGATCGCCTAAAATTCTTACAAATACTTATTATAACCAGCATATCTTTAGCTCAATATTTCCACAAATGTAACAGCCCCCATGTTTAAATCACTATCCTAACAAGAAGCTACTCTTAACAAAATTATAAAAGACCAGTTTAGAATTTACTTACAATTATATGCACCGCATTCTGTAACGAAGCCAGCTAATATTATAGTTTTCAAATAATCGCTTGTAATACCTACTGCAAAGTATATCTCAGTTTGGTTGAGCTCTAAAGCATATTCATAGGCAACTTTTGCTTAGTTAGCGTGGTTTTCGCTATGAGGCCTCGTTGATGCTATTTAGTATAAGCGAACGAATCATAAGCTTGATTTGCGGCTAAATTACGTTGCTGCTAGTGTCGGCGGAGTCTGAGCGGTGCTTGTGGTGGTTGCAGACGACGACGCTCATCGGGCTGTTGAAGACTGCGCGCCTGTTGCGGCTCGTGCGAGTCGCGCGCAAAATTGACAGATACTCCGAATATGGCACTGCCGTCCTACTTCTTCTAATGGCCACGTTTGTGCTTATTGCACACTGGCTGGCTTGTTTATGGTAAGCTTCATTGGCCAATCATCTCAACACCTATCTTACCATACCATCGTATTGTTCTGCCTAATCTACAATGAAAGTATTTATGCACAGGTATGCTATTGGGAGCTGGGAGCGACCTCAGCTTCACGCTCCGATCGGTTGGCTGGATGCACTCGCGAACGACGTTCAAGCCTCGTACGACAACTCTACTGGTCCATCGATGAGGTATGTATCAATTAACTAAAAATAAAGTATTGCATTAAAGGATTTTAATTAGAGTGACACAAATGTAATAATCTCTACTATTTCATTATTACAGGTCCCGCTACATCACTGCTCTATATTTTACATGCACTTCCCTAACGAGCGTTGGTTTCGGCAACGTGGCTCCAAACACAGACATGGAAAAAGGATTTACGATATTTGTCATGCTTGTTGGATGTTAGTATTTTATAATGTTAATAACTCAAATGTTACTAATAATATCCACCACTGTACACGTCACATAATACTCGTTTGTTCTTCTTCTAATCAATGTTCAATTTGTTTGCAGCTCTCATGTACGCTAGTATCTTCGGTAATGTTTCGGCGATAATACAACGACTTTATTCAGGAACAGCTAGATACCACACCCAAATTCTTCGAGTACGGGAATTCATCCGGTTTCACCAGGTACAATATTTCTTAAATAAACATATCGGTATTATCTCAGAGTTTCTATTAATTGTATTTTTATATTACAGATCGCTAATCCACTTCGTCAAAGGTTAGAAGAATATTTTCAACACGCGTGGAGTTACACGAACGGGATAGATACGTCTAGTTTATTGAAAGGTTTTCCGGAATGTCTACAAGCTGATATCTGTCTTCATCTCAACCGTAACCTCCTTGCGAACTGTTCTGCCTTCGAGGGTGCTAGTCCAGGCTGTTTGAGGTAAGCCCCAGCGACTTCAACCAATACGCTTAACATTTTAGTCAATTTTATCTATTGCTTGTTTAGTATAAAATTAAATTTCATATCTACTTCAAACCGGGACTTATGAAGTTATTAGCTACTTAGTGATGCATTTGTTCATCAAAACATTAATTCTACCTCACTTCTTTTCAGAGCTCTGTCCCTGAGATTCAAAACCACGCACGCACCCCCTGGGGAAACCCTAGTCCATCGGGGCGATGTTCTTACTTCCTTGTACTTTATATCAAGAGGCTCAATAGAAATTCTAAAAGATGACATCGTCATGGCTATTCTTGGTAAGCATTGTTTCTTGTTTACTCGCATGTTAACCCAAGTGCATACCTAATTCCTTCATAAACATGTTATAATTTTAACTAACAGATAACTTTAATGTGATTTGGGTGTGGAAGGTTGTAATTAAAGAACTCTCAACAATAACAATAATCAGTTCAAATAATAAATAGTACACAAAGCTTGTACCATCGGCATTCTATACAACAACAACGTCATTAGAGGTGGTTGTTTGTACTATACAATAAATTGAGTCAACAAATTTAAATCCCACCTCTGGGAACCACTACAACTCCTAAATAACCAGCCCCCCTAGAGAAAGTATCATCAGAAGCAGCCCCCCTAGATGAACTAGCTTCATGTTACGAAATTCACGAAGCGTAACTATTTCATAAAAGTCGGAGCGAAGCGTTTTCAGAATTAAAACAGTCACGAATGTTTTTTTCCCTGATTTTAAAGAAGAAGAATAAATCTTAACCCTATCAGTATTATAAAACTGATCATTTCTGCAAACTACAGGCAAGGACGACATATTCGGCGAGAACCCGTGCATATACCCGACCGTCGGGCGCAGCAACTGCCGCGTGCGCGCGCTCACGTACTGTGATCTGCACCGCGTGCATAGAGATGACCTGCTCGACGTGCTAGACTTCTACCCCGAGTTCCGCTCCTCCTTCGTCAACAATCTGGAGATCACCTACGTCATGCGGGACGTAAGTAACCACTTTTTGATCGAATCGAAAATCGAATCCGTCAAAACTCCATACAAAAAAGGGGCTATTCGACCACTTTTCGACTGGTTTGCGATTATAATTTGCACTTTGTCTAGACCCACTGATTTCATTATTTAGTTTTATATTATAGAAGTTTGGTAACTTATTTTTTGTTAGCTTAAAAACAGTTAGTTTGGGACACAAAATAAAATTAACATAAAGTTTTAACAAATCATTCATTAACTGATAAATAAATACATAAGGCTTTAAAATTAAATAATGCTACCCGGCATTAAGTCCGCCACTGTACTAGAGTACTCTTCTGTGCAAAAGTTTAAATAAATAAAAAATAAATAAAATAAATGAATGTAAAGGAATAAATCTTTGCATGTGTATGATAATTTCATTTCGTAGCAGCCGTATAGGTGCTACGACGGCTACCAACACCGTACGCTACGAGCGCTACGACCAACTACAGCAAAAATCGTAGCAGGACCCGCTTGCTACGGCCGTCGTAGTTTAAAATAAATCACCTACATTTTTTTGTATTATTTATTTTTGTTTTTATTCTAATCTCTATAATTTAATGGATTTTATCGATATTAGGTACTCCTTAGTATAGATCTAAATTTAAATTAAATGCACAGGAGGAGCTGTGCGGTATAGAGCCGAAGCGGCGCATGCGCTACGAGAACCCGAGTGACGCGCGTTTGCTGCGCGAGGCCTATGCGCGCACCACGCGCCGCCCGCACACAGAAACCTTCGCCGAAAAAGTGGTACGTATCATCCCACTTATTACCTTTAGAGCAGTGAAACCCAAAGTGGCCTACATACCCCAGGGTATGAATGCGTTCTCCAAAGGGTCTACTCTAGATACAAAGTGCACAAATTGGGGAGGTCTGATGGAATGAAGATAGGATGACTTACTTCTTACAAATAAAATATACACCATACGATAATTTAATCAGTCCTCACTATAATTAAAAAATAAAAATTAATAAGTGACATTTCAAAAAGACGCCTTTTTTTCAGGATTCCCAATGCAGCGATGATGATACAGAGTCCCCCGCCAGTAGAGGAATTTTAGAGTTCTCCACCGACAAGGCGGGCCAGGACGTCACTCCTCTCAACTTCAATTTCAGTAAACAAAGATCGACCACTCTTAACTCAATCACGGGTAAGTATAACTAATATCATCATGGAATGTAAGAATAAATACCTACCTTCTTACCTATCTATAATTTTCCTACAGTTTAACATACACCACAGATGCCCCATTCCAAGTATAGTTTGAAAACCGTCGCATGTGATTCAAATTGGGCATCGTCGTGTCTGTTATGGTTGAATAGAGTAGCTACACATAGATGTGGATGGAGCTATGTGCAAATCCCTTTTAAATAATAATTTTAACATTCTTCTTTCTTTATTCAGTTCTGGTAACTTTCTTCTGTACATTTTGAATTACCTATGGAGAACAAAATATTTTTCCAAATTTCAGCCTTTCCTAAATTTTGTTTATGCACATTTTACAAAAAGTAATGAAATATGCTGTTTGTTATCTTTGTAACTACCTACATAATAAAGTTAGTAAGTGTTAAAATGTGTTTAAAAAACAGTTTACGAATTCTCTTTTCTTCTTTCTGTTAAATGGTGCATAAAAATTACATCCGGCAATAACTATTGATTCAATCTGTAAATTCAAAAATGCGTAAATTTACACAGACAGTAATTTTATTTGTTTTAAAGCAGCATGTGGTACGCTTGTTGTTTTCCGTATTTATTTACTCCTTTTTGTTGGTGACGAGGGCGCGGTAGACGGGGCGCGGTGTGTTTGGTATTGTGGTTTTATTGCAAACGTCAAATAACTTGGTCGCGCTATATTCCGCCCCCGCCCCGCCCCCGCCGCCCCGCTCTGAGCGCGGCCCTTGTGTGCAGGCATGCTAGCGCAACTTAAACGGAGCTTCCCAGACCTCTACCATCATAAAACACACCAGCCGCTGCACAACAAATATTGTAAGTATGCATACGTCTTATTAGTGCATGTTTCAACCGATACTAATTCTTGTGAAATGATGAATAGGTACTCCCGCATTGAATACATTAAACGCAGAATTAGTTAAACGATGTACAATAACACGACAATAGAGTGTCTATTTCTTGTAAATAACGAGCACTGATGGCCTGAATTATTGAGTTTGAAATGAATGGGGATGAAGGTGCACATTGTGAGGTGGTTTCAGCGCAATCGACTCCTCAAACGTACCGCGGCCGCGCGGCGGTGCGGCGGCAGTCGTCGGTGGGCCCGCTGCACGACACGTCGCCGCTGACGGGCGGCGCGGGCGAGCCGGCCGTCAGCACGCCGGCGCACAGCGCCACGCTGCCCGTGTCCAGCCTCAGCACCAACCCCAGGTAGCGATGGCCGTTATTCATTATAATCGGTTATTTAACGAGTGATCATTCGTTATCCAGAAACGCCTAAACTAAAGTCCGGTCGCCGAGCACGTAGAATTTCGTCCAATGACCCCAAGCTACTCATCCTTTTTGCTTTTAGAGCGTTGTGTGTAAAAGCAAAAAGGATGAGTGTGAACTACGTTAAAAAAATAACTAGTTGTGGAAACGTTATTCTTGATCTAAAAACCGTTGTATGTCAGAAACCCATAACGACATGTTTAAACCCCAGCTCGTACTACACGAACGCGTCGCCCAGCCCGCCGGCCGCGCCCGCGCCGGTGCACGTGTCCTGCGACGACATCTTGGCGCCGGCGCCGGCCGCCGCCAGGCCGCCGTCGTCCCGCTCCGCGCCGCACTCCGCCGTCAACCTTCACCAGACTGGCCGTCCAGCAGCACTCGCTTTCTCTAATGAAAGAACCCAAAATGCTGCACCGGTGGGTATTGGCGATAAGATTTAGTTTATAACTTTCCATTAGGAAATTGTATTTAAATATAATTGATCTGAGCAATCTGCAGCTATGTCCAGGTGTGATTGTGGTCAAATACCTGCCTTATTATGCATAAAAAATCTCCGAAAATAATACGTTAAAAGTAACTCTACAAACTGAAAACTGAACCTAGGTAAAAAAAGAGATAAATCGCTCCAAAGTTCATAAGAAGAAGGCCCGTGACGTCAAGTCGTGCTTATAAGTGTAGCACTTTGTGACGTCACGCGGAACTTCAACGCATAATAACTGCGTAATTACTTGTTTGATTGACAAATAAAAATCCTACGTGTCCAATATTTTTTGATAATGTAATTGACGGACTAAAAGTTTTTTTAGGAAACTAGCCTACTGTTTTTCTCGATTCTGACAATGATATTAAAAGCAACATGTTTTCTTTAGGATACAATATCCCCCCAATACCAGAACGTGGGCCAGGCGGCGTCGGCGGCGTCGGTGGCGACGGTGCTGACGCGGTTAGAGGAGCTGAGCCGGCGCGTGGCCGTGCTGGAGAGCGGGCTGACGGCCGACGTGCGCCGAATCCTGCAACTGCTGCAAGCGCGCGAGCCGCACCACGCGCAGGCGCACACGCCGTCGCAGCCGCTGCCCAAGGCCTCGCTGTCCGTGCCCCACACGAACGATGTGAGTTTGCTTTGAGATCTGTATTACAAACACGGTCGGCGTCGGTGGCGACGGCTATCACGCGGCTGGAGGAGCTGAGCCGTCGCGTGGCCGTGCTGGAGAGCGGACTGACAGCCGACGTGCACCGCATCCTGCAGCTGCTGCAAGCGCGCGAGCCGCACCACGCGCAGGCGCACACGCCGTCGCAGCCGCTGCCCAAGGCCTCGCTGTCCGTGCCGCATACGAACGATGTGAGTTTGCTTTGAGATCTGTATTACAAACACGGTCGGCGTCGGTGGCGACGGCTCTCACGCGGCTGGAGGAGCTGAGCCGGCGCGTGGCCGTGCTGGAGAGCGGGCTGACGGCCGACGTGCGCCGAATCCTGCAGCTGCTGCAAGCGCGCGAGGTGCACCACGCGCAGGCGCACACGCCGTCGCAGCCGCTGCCCAAGGCCTCGCTGTCCGTGCCGCATACGAACGATGTGAGTTTGCATTGAGATCTGCATTACAAAAACGGCCAAAACCCGGTTCAATCTCAGCCATAGGTTCTATCTTGTGATAGATCTAATATTGAAGGGTGGATTCGACCAAATAAGAGTAAGTAATAATCATGCTAATATTATAAATGCGAAAGTTTGTGTGGATGTTTGTTGCTCTTTCACGCAAAAACTACTGAACGGATTTTGTTGAAACTTCACAGTATTATTGTTTATAACCCAGAATAACATAGGCTATAATTTATGACGATATGTGACAAACTAAATTTCACGCGGGTGAAGCCGCGGGCAAAAGCTAGCTAGTCTCAGAAGAAATCGTCAGTTTTGACATATTTCCCATACTGAAACTATCAATGTGTCAGTTATACCAGTACAAAGTGCAAATTATAATCGCAAACCAGTCGAAAAGTGGTCGAAAAGCCCCTTTTTTCTATGGAGTTTTGACGGATTCGATTTTCGATTCGATCAAAAAGTGCGTTTTGTCTAGGGGGGCAGGAGTTATTCTCGGATAAAAGTTTGGTCGAATCGGGCCTTAATCAACCAATGTAAAGCCTCCAATCAATGCTTGAAATTAAATTGAGTTGAAACTTCTTGCGGTAATACGAACGAATCTAAAAGTAACTTCTGTAGCAATCTGCGGTAACAGTTCTAGTCTGGCGCAGCTTACTCGTAAGAGCCGGCTGGTTGATATTGTGGCTTCATTCATTGTAATTCATGTAGGCAAAGCTTAAATCTTTATGGTTGACTTTAATGAGTTGTTGTTGCGATGTTTCATACCCAGAACCAATGGGAGTGGAGCTGGAACGGCGACCGCGAGCGCGAGTGCTTTACACACGCTTCTAATCCCAAACTAAGCAAAGCTTGTACTATGGGTACTAGACGGCGGATATAAACATACTTAAATACTTTTTTTTGGAAATACATACATATTTTACATAGTACACATAATATTCACATCATTATATTTATAAAGTCCTAATAATAATTGTAGAATAATAGAATATTTTTTTATTGTCGATTTTGAGTAGAAATTACACAAAACACTTACAGTTATGCAGAGCGTTGTACCCTGGCACAGGCAATCATACGCCTAAAAGGAGGCTTCTGCCCGTTTTCACCATCAATTTCTAATTTTTAAGTGACCCCTATGAAAACAAAATTCCTGTTATGTGTTACCAATAGGGGTCACTTAAAAATTAGGGATTGATAGTGAAAACGGGCATTCGTCTATTAGTATTTAAGTAAGCCTTTATAAAGAAACTAGCGGCCGCCCGCGACTTCGTACGCGTGGATCCCGTTTTACCCCCTTCCCGCTTTTATGTTGAAATTTTTCCTGAATTTTCTTTGCTATAAACCTCACGGAGCCCGAGACCTTTCCAATGAATGCAAAACCGTGGAAATCGGTTCGTGCGTTCTGGAGTTATAGCCTCAGGGAGGAAAACCCGATTTATTTTTATATAGTAGATAAAGATTTTTATTTTTTATTTTTGATGTTTCATACCCAGAACCAATGGGAGTGGAGCTGGAACGGCGACCGCGAGCGCGAGCGCGGCGGGCGCGGCGGGCGCGGCGAGCGCGGCGAACGCACGCCCGGCGTGCAGCGCTCCGCGTCCGAGCCGCACGCGCCGCTGCCGCCCGCCCTGCCGCCGCCCCCGCACTCGCACTCCTTCTACAGGTACCACAGAATAAGTAATAGTACAGGTACAGAAGGATTACTCCGCAAGACGATTTAAATAAATGCGAGTCTTGCTACGACGCGATACAGCGGAATTCAGCTCGCACAGCACTACGTACCTACAATTTTATTCACCTACAAGTTTTGTCTCTTTCTATCGCGTGCCTCTGAACTCTTCTTACGCTGTTAGGGTTGCTGTCTAGTGAAAAAATATTATTCTACTTATTTGTAATGAGGTACGTATGTAGGTAAGTATGCATTCATTATGGAAAACCTTGGGAGAGGCCTTTGTCCAGCAGTGACGCATTCTGAGCAGTAGTCATAGTAGGTTAGGTTCCTATACTATCCTAAGAATTATAAATTGATTACCCACTTGGCCAACATACCTTTCAGCATCTTTGGAAAGCGAAAAAAAAAGATGATTCCGGTAGATTACTTTTCGAATTTAAACACCCGAACGCCGCACAATATTTCTTTCTCTTTATGTCCATTTTGAAATAAAACTTCGATCATAGAATTATCATACTACAATGCACGCCATCGTACTGACGAGCGCACGCGTGACACTCGACTGATATAATACCCGCCGGCGGGGCGCTTCGCTGTAGGTAATTATCGGATGTTCCGCGCGGAGTGAGCCAGGCCTGCAGGTACGCAACGCAACTATAGTCCGGTCGCCGAGCACGTACAATAGGGTATTTGACACCACCAATCAATTGACGTACTTTTTAAAACTGTCAAAACGACACTCTCCCATAGATTTTGTACGGCAATACTAGCATGTGACGTCACAATTCTATCAACTCAATGAAACTACTTTTTTCAATTTATAATGCAACCAAAAATCGTAATTTACAGGTAATTAAAAATTAATTAAGTTTTTAAGACCAGAAACAAGTGTCTTTTTAAAAAAGTTGTGGTTTAGAATTATTGGCGAATGGTGTCAAATACCCAATTTCGTCCAATGATCCCAAGCTACCCATCCTTATCGCTCGCGCTTAATCATACAACGTGCTCTTCTTGATTTCCTGGAACCCTAGGGTATTAATAAGACCACTTCAAAGAATGGAGAGGCATTAAATTTTTTGTTAAATTCAAAAAAAAAATTCAGCTTATTTTTTATACGAAATTATTTAAAAACTTTATTTTTCACTGAAATAATTCATAATTTACATACACTTATCAATAAAAAAAGTCTGCACAAAAAGCCTAGGTGACAATTAAAAAAAAACTAGATTGATGATTCCACAATATCTTGAAAAATATGCTTTTAGAAACACATATTCCTAAGACTCTTTAACTAGTTTTTATTTATAGAATATACCCCTAAAATTTCCGGAAAACAAAAGGAGCACGTTGTATAGCTGTCGCAACTGTGCGACGGGCGGCCGCAGTGAGTGCGAGCGCAACAGCAATATAATTACGAGCGAGCGATAAGGATGGGTAGCTTGGGGTCATTGGACTAAATTCTACGTTCTTGGTGACCGGACTTTACCCACATTTACACGGTAGACATGGCAATTAATTAAAAAGACGACACAAAGTAAAAGACTTCAACGCGTTAGAACTAATGTTTTCAAAAGCTTTATTTTTTCATAATAGCACAAAAGGGACACCATGGAACTCGATCACTATCGCCAATTAACATCAGCAATCCAAAAAAGTTTCCACCGAGTTTGCATTACATATTATAAAAATGTGCTTTTGCGAAAACAGGTAGTGTGAGGCAGGCGAGACGAGCGCACCCCGCTCCCGACGCTCGACGCGCTCGCTCGCCGAGTCCACGTCGTGCGGCTCGCTAGCGGGCGGCGGTGGCGGCGGCGGCGGCGGCGGCGGCGAAGGCGGCGGAGGCGGTGGCAGCGGCGGCGTGGCGCCGGTGCCCGCCGGCGGCACGAGGCCCGCGCGTCGCCCGCGCTTCCACTTCTGCCAGCGCATCACGCGCGTGCGCCTCGACGACGCCCGGGGCTTCCTCTGACGCGGCCCTCACCCGACGCATGGACCAATTTTGTACTTCCGTTAACGCCTAAATTAACACGTCCTCGCGAAACCGACACCGGGCCCGCGAGCCCGCGTCCTGTCCGTTCGTATTAATGTTTCACGATCGCTTTAGTAAATACTAGAAGATGTTCGATTAGAACGCTGTAGGGACTCGGCGCGTCGATGATAGTACCTATTGTGAGTTGCACGAGTGATTCGAAATGCAATAAGTGATGGATACATTGGGTGCTTTAATTTTATGTAATTATTGGCTTTTACGATAAGCCATTTTTAAAATTACGTATGAGTATAATAATTAATTGTACAACAGCACTATCTGACAGTATTGTTCTTCTACATTCTCGTTGAAATTTTGACTTCAGGTGACTACCCGCACATCCGAGGATGTTAATGTTGTATTTAATTTTAGATCTCAGCGGTTCCAGAAAGGGGTTTATAAGACTGAGAGACTACGTAACTACCGTGAACTGTATTTCCAGAAGAGAGTAACGATAAACGCTTTCTACCCGTCCTTGCTCCTTGCCTTTACATAGTAGCTAGGTAATGTTCTAACACTACTGTGCTCGAGATTACGAATTGAAATGCTCCTTGTGGAAGTGCGTTTATGAAGTTCTTGACACATAAGTATACACAAACGCATTGTTTAAAATGCGTAGCTAAGAAATAAATATTGTTCAATCTATTTTCGACGTCATGTATTCGTTTAACAAAACGTCTACATTAATTTACAGACAGACAAAATGGTATCACGTGGTAAATAAATACTGAAAATAATATTATGAAATACCAACTATACCTACGTAATATCAATTTTTCTTCTTCCTCGTATCAATTTATGTAAGTTTTACTATAAACGTGGCTCAAATTACTGACTTTATGTTGTAATGTGTATCCTAGTTACGGATTAAGAAAATTCGCCAATGTAATATCATTATAAGCAATAATGTAACCCACCATAATTTAAGGACGTACATTGCGATTATAATCTAAGGAACTATGGCATCCATAATTAACTAAATTTGTAATCAGATAGTGCTACATACGGCTTTAATTTTGATTTAAAATATATGGTCAAAATCATTTTTTAAATCATTGAGAGCGAGCACATCAACCCACAGTACTGCAAAAGCAACAACTTTAAAGTGCATACTTTGTTCACTTAGTTGAACTCGGTACATTAACTACAAAATATGAACACTATTATAAATACAATAATTATTATAATTTATGATCTAATACATTACATACAGATCCGTTGATCAATCAAATTATTAAAAAATAAATATATGAATTAAATACAATTGATTACAAAGATCAATATGCCACTGAGAACCATATAAAAATATTTTTCATTTGTTTCATGTAGTCAGTTTTAAATGCAGTTTTATTGTAATACGTGCATTTAAATTACAAAATATAACATCTAACGGGACTTTGTATTTATGGAAGTTCAGTCATGATAAACATTACATAAAATCAAGCAGTGACATAAAAGAACGAATAGCTACTTTAGCTAAAAATATTGTATTCAAAGAAAAGATAAAAAAAAAATCTAAAAAATTTTACAAAGCATTGTTCAGCTTTTTCGTTGTTTTATAATAAATATCTTTTTTTTTTTAATTTATATTGCCGCAGCATTTTTAATTTATGAATTGAAGCGATAAGGCCTTCAATTAAAAATGATAATTTTTGGTAATATGTGTATGCGTGCAGTGAATTATGTTCTTGTATTCACTGAGTCATGTCTTCATGATTTCTTAGAAGCTTAGTAGATCCAGTTACTATTGCATTATACAACGATTAAATTGTAGATTTTTTTTTAATTAGCTGAATAAAGAGCATATTATTATTAGTTATAACATTCTCAACATTAACAATAAGCGAATTCGCACATTTTTTAACAACTGTAATTTACTCCATTCAATTTATTTAAGCGCAATCGATATACATAAATGTAAATAATGATAGGTAGTTATAGATTTGTAAATCGGTCAATTCCCAGTTAAATATTGTTCTCAAAATATCTAGGTATTAAAATCTCTTTGCTTTGCTTTAAATTAACTCGCCGAGCACTCTAGATCTTATAACATAAATTGCTTTCATAGTGTAGATAATGACTTGGTAATATTAATTAATAAATATCTATCGAAACTAAGTACCATCTGCAGTTTTTTCAGAATAGTTTGTGTATATACCTTTTGTAAAAGGCTTAGATTATGTGATCTTCAATCTGATAATTTCTTTAATGTGTGGTCAAGCATCTTTTAAGAAATCAAGACTATACTGTAAATTCATTTATCGAATATTAGTTTTCAGACATTATCGTTCGTCACCTGAAAATAAGTAAAGTAGGTAAATATTCAATAATAAGTAGTAAGGTCTTAGAAAAGTATAATCCAATATATTCCAAGACAGTGTAAATACAAAGACTACCTTGGCAGGCGTTACTGTCTCACACGATATTAAACATCAGAATTAGACTGAACATTTATGTACCTACTATTCATTAGTTTGGCACACCATTTAAAGGCACAACGTGTAAAATAGTGTAACATCAAAAAATTGACCGAATGAATTAAATACGTTTAGGTACTAAATATATGCATATTTACTTAGATACTATAGAATACCTCCATAAGTACAGTCACATTCACTTCTTTTCTTGTAAGCATAGTTAAAATACAGAATCGAGCTACGCCGCAATAATATAAGTGAACATAAGCTTACTTATAAATATGAATTAGGAATCCATCGCATCTCGATTTTCATCATATTTTTTTCGGGAAGTAACATTATTTTTGGATAAGCACTATGTAATCATTAGCTAAAAACCTGATGAATGACGTCACGATACAAAACACGATTGAGGCTTGATTAATAGCGCTTAAGCACAGGGTTCTCGTTTTATTTATATCTATAAGCTAGCATGTAAGGATACTGTTGTCGAAAATTTAATTTAAATAAGCACCTAAATTAGCCTTACTGATTTAAAAAATTGTTCTTGAAACTTGTTGTTTCCTATTTTCACTGATCAGCACAAAATAACTTATAGTTACTTAATTAATTCGTGTCATTTTTGTTTATTATCAAAGGATAGAAAGAGAAGATTAAAAAAGAGAAAATTAAGAGAAGATTAAAAAGTTTGAAACAAAACATGGCATTCATACTTTTTTGGAAGGTTTACAGTAACATTTTGTCACTTTTAAAACTATCAATTGAACAATTTAACTATAATTGAATAAATAATAATAATAATAAATAACTTTATTCTCACCATAGTCAATGACAGTGCAATAGGTAAACTTAAAAAACTAGGTACAATGAAGGTAGGACAAAAAAATAATAATCTCGTAGTATTACAATGTAAGCAGGTTTGGTACGTACACAATATAGTTGGTCACTCAGTAGGACTATGGCGGGCTAATACCTGAATTAGGAAAAACCTGTATCTCAGGTTATTAACCCTCCACCCCATTCTAGGGTCAAAACAAAATAAGGAAAATATTAACAACAACAAGACAACAATAACATGATGAAAGTTAGCTTATTTTATGTTACATAAATTATTTGATTTACACCAATTTTTTTTTTTACACAATGATTTTAAAATTAGACTCACAGTATACTACATTTAAGACAGTGATTGATTTATTAAAGTACCACGAATAGACCACTATTTATTTTTGTCGAAAAATATTTTCAGTTGCACAGTAATTTAAACAGCTTAGTTTCCTCTTAAGAGTGGATTTTAGAGTAAGTCTATTCATTTTAACGATCATTTCTAAATCGTTGAAATGCCTGTATAGAAACGGCCCTGTGTATATTATTTGACGCCTGGCAAAGGTTGAGTTAAAGGTGGGTACGGGAGTGCGTATGCGTCTTTTATGTTGAGGAAGTACCAAGGGGTCAATCGTTTTGTGGTGCCGAAGGACAGATTGATATATAAACAATTGCCTAACTGTTAGGAGACCAGCCTCTTTGTAAAGATCTTCAGTTGGATATTTACGAGGTTTTTTCAGCATGACCTTGATAACAGCCCTCTGTGCTCTTTCCAGCTCAATAAGGTGGGTTGTAGCTGCTCCGCCCCAATGTTTTAAAAGTGACAAAATGTTACCGTAAGTTACTTTTTTAAGTAAAGAGTTCGCAATTAAATTAAATTAAATTGTTGTTGTTGAAGTTTTGATAACCGATGAGACAAACACCACTTTTACTTTCTTTTGATCGAATTAAACTTTAATTTATATCATGGTGGTGATCTACGTCGCTCATTCACGCTTTCATTTGTTTTATGGATTTGTGTGTTGCCTTTTCAATCGGGTGAACCGCACGGACAGTTAAATCATGTCACAAGAAGAACAAATTCGAATTCGTTAATTATGTTGTTCGTTAAATAACACTTTTTCTACTTTTGAGGTATAGGTACTCAGGGTCGGANTTTAAAGTGGATTTAAAGTGGAGTGGCGACGCGACGGAGAAGCTGCGTGAAAATATCGTAAAGCTTCCCAAAGGCTGCCCAGCCGAGCTGGATTCGATGATTGACCTTTTTTTCGAAGTTGGATCTACCTAACTGGACTGTTTGTCCCAGGTATATTGTCAACAATAGACATCATTTTTAAATCTTGTCCATGTTCATTTTGAAACCCACTTGTTGAGAGACTCTATTGAGGCCATCGAGCATTGTGCCTAGATCTTCCACGATCTCAGCCATGACTACGATCGTCTGCTGTCTGGGTGATGTACTCGCCGTTGATTTTTATGTTGAATCCGCTCCAGCCCAGAAGCTTGAAAACATCTTCCAGGGCGGTGGTGATGACGTCTCCCTGTCTCACCCCTCGCTGCAACTGGATAGGTTTCGGGTCCTGATCTTAAAACGGACTGTCACTGTGGCGTGTTTGTACAAGCCTTTCAACACTTTAATATATCAATAGTTAATTTGGCACAGTCGAAGAGACTGAAGCACTGCCCATGTTTCAAACGAATCGAAGGCTTTCTCATAGTTCACAAACGCAAAGTGGCTGATTATACTCCTTGATCTTCCGTATAATCTGCCATCAGGGCCGGATCTACCTATGGGCTGATTGGGCTGCAGCCCAGGGCCCCGGGGTTACAAGGGGCCCCCAGATCCCGCTAAAAAGTAGGCCATAATTTGAAAAAAAAAAATAGTTGTCTGTAAAATCGGTTTACGGACGATATTTTTACGTGACAACGTCATAAGAAGTTTCAGCCCAGGGCCCCAGAAATTCACTATCCGGCTCTGTCTGCCGTTGTGTATATTATTATGGTATATGGTCCTAAAGCCTTTTCGAAAACCGGCTTGTTCAGGGGGCTGAAAGTCGTCGAGCCTGCTAGCGTGACAATTCGTAATGACTAACGAAAACAGCTTGTACATGGCTCAGAAGCGAAATGGGTCTATAATTTTTCAACAAAATTTCGTCACCTTTTTTGAAGAGGAGTATTACCATTCTTCTAAGTGTCGGATCAATCTAGCTAGCACGTATTTTCTATGAAAATGTGTCAAATGATCCGTCAGACAGGCTATCCACAACTTATCCAGAAGTGGCGAAACAGGCCCTAACTAAACGATTGTGAAATATGCCCTCAATGTCAAATAAGAATAGTTTAAAAAACTAAAAACACGCTTTTAATTACTAACAGCACTAAAAAGCCAAAAATCATCAGGACCCTGGACATCATCTAGCATTAAAGTGCTCGAAAAGACAAATCCAACGAACCCAATCTCGATGAGTTTCCGCCGTTTCGTTTAGGAGTTCCTATGGCTACCTCCTGACTCCATCATTAGGACCCTGGACATTATATAGCACTTAAAGATCTCGAAAGACATCCAATGAACCGAAACTCGATGTGATTCCGCCGTTTCGTTTAGGAGTTCTTTTGGCCACCTTCCAGTCCCATCATCAGACCAGCTGGTACCACAATATTGTATTGCCATTTCTAATCTACATATAATTGCCAAGTTTCATGATGATACAAGACTTAGAAGTGCGTGTAATTCCGATTCTAAGATTCCATTACATAGTTAGTTACATACACAACGACCTAATGAGAGCGTGTTAAAAACGAAAAAATGGACAGTTACATTATTTAATTACGTGTAAAAAGAAATTTCTGTCATCTTACATATCATTAAAACGACATTTCACGACGAAAAAAATAAAATATAATAAAGGTGCAGTTGCCAAGAATATTGCCGAGAAAGTTCCCGAGAATATTCTCGGGAACACTGAGAATATAGCCTTTCACTGCAAATAGAGTGTATTGTTTAATATACACTTAACTGTTGACTTAATTTAATACTATTTTACTTAAGAAAGTTTATTTATTAGATAAACATGATTCTCAACCTTTCTCACTTAGGAGAACGCTCCCGGGAACGCTCCCGAGAATATTCTCAGCTGAGAGAGCGTTCTCGGGAACGGCACATCAATAGTCATAAGCATCATCGTCAGGTCATTTGCAGTACAATCAGCGTCAAATAATTCGTGACATCGAAAGTGACAAAAAAGTTATTGACATTGCGAACACACTTTAAGTTGAAAGACGTGGTGCGAACTTTTTGGCTACTTGGGGTGTCATGAACTATTTGACGCTGACTGTACCACGATCCTCTTTTATTTACCAGATACAAAAAGGAGGTTATGGCCAAGACTTCCCACACTGACCATATTACATGGCCATGAACTCACCTTTGTCCCTCTTGGAACAGCGTAAAGTCAACCTCCGTTGGCTGAGTGGCAGTGAGGAGCAGACACGTCAGGTGCCGTGTGAGGACATCGGAGGTAGGATCTCGGTCACACTGACCATTGGCTATATTATGTAACTAGCGGCCGCCCGCGACTTCGTACGCGTGGATCCCATTTTACCCCCTTAGGGGTGGAATTTCATAAAATTCTTTCTTAGCGGATGCCTACGTCATAACATCTACCTGCATGCCAAATTTTAGCCCGATCCGTCCAGTGGTTTGGGCTGTGCGTTGATAGATCAGTCAGCCAGTCAGTCGGCGGAGCATAATAATATAGCTCGTAGAGCTGATGGCCGTCTGGGCAGAAAAGTTCTCGAGTGGCGACCATGGGCCGATAGACGTAGTGTATGCAGGCCTCCCACATAGGTATACCGAAAAGGTGAAGGTCGCGGGAAGTACCTCACCCAGGAAGAATCGTGCCAGAAAGGGCATTGCTGTTGCGACAGGGTAGCACTGCTCAGTTCACTTTTTATTTCCTTGTAATATTTATGTGCTATTTCTTGTTTCTTTTTTCCGTATATCTTTGTCCTTAACTAAGTGATGTTCATAAATGTTTCTTTCTTTCTTTACCTGGATGCTGGCAGCACAGGACCGATCGTTGTGGAAATGTTTGTAGGAGGCCTTTGTCCAGCAGTGGACGTCATTTGGCTGTGATAACGACGACTAACCTCTGTCCCTCTTGGAACAGCGTGAAGTCAACCTCCGTTGGCTGAGTGGCAGTGAGGAGCAGACACGTCAAGTGCCGCGTAGACGACATCGGAGGTAGGATCCCGGCGAGACGCACCTCGTGCCATCCCACTCGTACCTTGCAGATGTCTATGCAGTCGAAGTACCTGGAAAAGAGATGAGATGTTTACAGTGACGTTTTGAAGAGTAATAGGCTAGTTTCCTAAAAAAAATTTTTTTAGTCCGTCATGTTTAATATAAAAAAATATTGGACACATATATTTTTATTTGTCAATCTAACAAATAATTACATAGTTATGGTGCGTTGAAGTTCCGCACGACGTCACAACGTGCGGCACTTTTATGCACGCATTGACGTCACAGGCCTCTTCTTATGAACTTTGGCGCGCATTATCTCTTTCAATTTTCATTAGTTTGAAAAAGTGAAAAATACGTGTAGAGTATTTTTTAATAAGTTAACTGACGGACTAATTAAAGCTCTTGCTTATTGACCCAGGAAACATCCCTATTGCCTGTACTAAGGCGCACAGCGGCCGCGTTCATATAGCGTCCCCAGACAGGGCAGCTATTGCAATATACGCTCTATTAACACAGCAGTAAGGCACTCATTTGAACACGACATCTAAGTCGATCCAGAACACTTCTTCGTCCCGTTTGTGCAAGCGGCACAACCCGCCGCAAGTCTTCTTCCACGACTTGTCATTGTAAAATACACTTTATTGCCCTATCAATAAGACACTCACTTGAGCACATCATCGAAGCTGATCCAGAACACGCCTTGGTCTCGGTCCGCGTGCGCGCTAGCCGTATGCGCGTGCACTGCGCGTCGTGCCTCCTTCTTTATAGGTTGCCATTGTAAAACACACTTTATTACACTATAATTAAGACACTCACTTGAACACACACCGCCGCGCCAAGTATAGTGCCCCCAGGGGTAGTAACCATTGCAATATACGCCTTATGTCACTAGTAGTAAGATACTCGCTTCAGCGCGTCGTCGAAGCCGACTTAGAACATGCTCTGATAGGTACTATGCCCCAAAGCAACACTGCTATTGTAATATACGCTTTATTTACACTAAAGCCTGGTCCGTGAGCACGTAGAATTTTGTTCAATGACCCCAAGCTACCCATCCTTATCGCTCGCGCGTAATTATGTTGCTGTCACGCTCGCACACTCACTGCGGGCGCCCGTCGCACAGTCGCGACAGCAATATAATTACGCGCGAGCGATAAGGATGGGTAGCTTGGGGTCATTGAACAAAATTCTACGTGCTCACGGACCAGGCTTTAGTAGTAAGGCGCTTACCTTGCCTTGGTAAGCCGTTGTAGTTGGTGTCTAGCGTGCACGCTGCTTTTATTTCTCTGTTAGCGCTATCATTGCAATATAGACTCTATTACCCTAGTACTAAAGCACTTACTTCAGCACATCATCGAAGCTGATCCAGAACACGCCTTGGTCTCGATTCACGTGCGCGCTAGCAGTATGCGCGTGCACTGCGCGTCGTGCCTCCTTCTTGATAGATTGCCAATATAAAACACACTTTACTACACTATAATTAAGACACTCACTTGAGCACGTCATCGAAGCTGATCCAAAACACGCCTTGGTCTCGGTCCGCGTGCGCGCTAGCAGTATGCGCGTGCACTGCGCGTCGTGCCTCCTTCTTGATAGATTGCCAATATAAAACACACTTTACTACACTATAATTAAGACACTCACTTGAGCACGTCATCGAAGCTGATCCAAAACACGCCTTGGTCTCGGTCCGCGTGCGCGCTAGCAGTATGCGCGTGCACTGCGCGTCGTGCCTCCTTTTTGACGGGTTGCTATTGTAAAACACACTTTATCACACTATCAATAAGACACTCACTTGAACACACACCGCCGCGCCAAGTATAGTGCCCCCAGGGGTAGTAGCCATTGTAATATACGCCTTATGTCACTAGTAATAAGATACTCGCTTCAGCACGTCGTCGAAGCCGACCCAGAACACGCTCTGATCGGTATTATTGCCCGAGGCAGCGCTGCCATTGCAATATACGCTCTATTAACGCAGTAGTAAGGCGCTTACCTTAGAAAATCATAGAAGCCGGTCTATATAAGCGTGCGCGCTGCTTTTGTTTCTCTGTTAGCGCTGTCATTGCAATATAGACTCTATCACCATAGTACTAAAGCACTTACTTCAGCACGTCATCGAAGCTGATCCAAAACACGCCTTGGTCTCGATCCGCGTGCGCGCTAGCAGTATGCGCGTGACAGAACGTCACGCTTCCTCCTTCACGAGTTGCCATTGTAAAATATGCCTTATTCTTAGTAACATTAAGACACTCACTTGCCACGTTGCCATTGTAAAATACACTTTATCACACTATCAATAAGACACTCACTTGAGCACGTCATCGAAGCTGATCCAGAACACGCCTTGGTCTCGATCCGTGTGCGCGCTAGCAGTATGCGCGTGCACTGCGCGTCGTGCCTCCTTCTTTATAGGTTGCCATTGTAAAACACACCTTACTTCACTATAATTAAGGCACTCACTAGAACACACACCGCTTCGCCAAGTATAGTGCCCCCAGGGGTAGCAGCCATTGTAATATACGCCTTATGTCACTAGTAGTAAGATATTCGCTTCAGCACGTCGTCGAAGTTGACCCAGAACACGCCTTGATAGGTACTATGCCCCAAAGCAACACTGCTATTGTAATATACGCTTTATTTACACTAAGGCCTGGTCCGTGAGCACATAGAATTTTGTTCAATGACCCCAAGCTACCCATCCTTATCGCTCGCGCGTAATTATGTTGCTGTCGCGCTCGCACACTCACTGCGGGCGCCCGTCGCACAGTCGCGACAGCAATATAATTACGCGCGAGCGATAAGGATGGGTAGCTTGGGGTCATTGAACAAAATTCTACGTGCTCACGGACCAGGCTTTAGTAGTAAGGCGCTTACCTTGCCTTGGTAAGCCGTTGAAGTTGGTGTCTAGCGTGCACGCTGCTCTTATGTTTCTCTGTTAGCGCTGACATTGCAATATACACTATTACTAAAGCCTGGTCCGTGAGCACGTAGAATCCCGTCCAATGACCCCAAGCTACCCATCCTTATCGCTCGCGCGTAATTATATTGCTGTCGCGACTGTGCGACGCGCGTCCGCAGTGAGTGTGCGAGCGCGACAGCAACATAATTACGTACGAGCGACAAGGATGGGCAGCTGGGGGTCATTGGACGGGATTCTACGTGCTCACGGACCAGGCTTTAAAGCACTTACTTGAGCACATCATCGAAGCTGATCCAAAACACGCCTTGGTCTCGATCCGCGTGCGCGCTAGCCGTATGCGCGTGCACTGCGCGTCGTGCCTCCTCGGTCCAGCGCGGGCAGCCGTGCGCCCACGCGCCGCGCCAAGTATAATGCCCCCAGGGGTTCCGTAGCCGAAGCAAACGGGTTGGACCCGCTACTTCTACCACGTCGAGGACCGAGTAAGCGTGGCGTGGTCGTAAGCCGAGGCGCTGGTATTCTTCTTCGTCGACCTGGAGATAAAAAATATACTCGTTTATGCCGAGGTCTTGTAGATTTCCTGATATCTTATTACTTGTGCTTGTTCATATTATGGTGGAAAATTTATTTTTCAATCAACTGTCCAGTCTCAGTTCCAAGACCTCTCATTTATTGGGACTACGTCCAGTAGAAGTGCAGCTACATCTCAGGTTCTACAATAAAATAACGAGAAAGAAGAAAGTAGTTTATTTGGTTCAAACATTATACGTTTTCCACAATTTAAATAGTATATAGCCTGACCAGGAACATAAAAACCCTCGCCATGTTGCGGAAAACTAATGGTACTAATTTCTTTTAATGGCAACAGTAACTGAAAACTTCATTGACATGTCACCTTGCATGTCAGTCTATTGCTGTCAAAGTGTAAACAAACTTTATTTTAAATGTGCGCAATTGGTTTTATGAATTAAATTGCTAAAATATTTTTATAGTCGTGAAAGAAAAGTGGTTCACAATGTGTTAAAGTATTTGTCGAAGAGAAATACTAAGGGGGCGTCCATAAATTACGTGAGACAATTTTGGCCATTTTTCAACCCCCCCGCCCCCCTTGGTGAGATTTGGTGAGATTTTGCCTGACCCCCTCCCCCACCCCCCTAATCTCACGTGATATTTAATAAAATGCCTATTTTGCAATGTCTATGCTTCGAGTAGGTATATTAGATTTATATGAAAAAATCAGTAACCCAGTGTCGTGCCACGCGCAGTGCAGGGTTCCGTAGCTTCCCGTCGTTTAGTAAGACAAGCAATTGCTTCAACCTAGGACCAGTTTTTTGATTCATAGTTAAAATAAATAATTGTTAAATTTTGCTTCTAATGGTTAAATATTAATAAAATGTAAACTAATAGTTAAAAAAATGTACTAAAAGTCAAGTTAAACATTGTTAAAAAAACATTTTTTTCTGTTATTTAACCACTTGTCATTTGACATCTGTCAAATTTGACTATTGGTTACTTTAACTACGAATACATAATATTTTCATACTTATGTAATGTCATTTTTTAGGGTTCCGTAGTCCTGACAAGGAACCCTTATAGTTTCGATATGTCTGTCTGTCTGTCCGAGGTTTTGCTTGGAAACTATTGGCACTGGGGAGCTGTAATTTTGTGAAGGTATGTATATTAATCACGCCGACAAAACGGTAAAATAAAATTTCTAGGGTAGAATTTTTTCAAGGAAAACTATAACGATTAAGATAGATTACTTAGTTTAAGAGTAATAGTAATTATGTTTTTGTGACGAGTGGTTTCCCCACAATAGTCCAGCGGCGGCGGGGTTCAAACCAGTGTTCCTTGGATCCCGAGTCGGCCAGTCTGACATCTTCACCGTTCGGTATTGTAGCTTTGTTCTATAGTTCAGGATTCTATGTGAGTATCTACTGCTTGTCTGCCAAAAATCCAACCAATGAAGGCCAGGGCATCATGAAAGAAACATAAATGGTCGAAGCCCTCTTTCCCACTGGGCACTTTAGGCACGTGCTCAGGGCCCCGCGACGGAGGGGGCCCCCGTCTGTCCGTCTCAAAATACCTTCTTCTAGATGACAAGGGCCCCCTTGATCCGTAAGTGCCCAGGGCCCCTAGTAGGTTAAAGACGGCCCTGTGTTTACATAACTTTTTGTCCTAAATTAAATTGGAGAAGTTATACATAAGCAAAAAGGATTTTTTTTTGCTTATAACTTCTTCAATCTTTAATTTAAGGCAAAAAGTTATATTAACATATTTGTAGGCAAAGCAATTTTCTACAAATTATGACTGTACAATTTTTTTGTACGACGCATAGTTTCCGAGACATGCACGCGGGCAACCGTAGCACAGGGGCCACGCTGCACGGGCCCCCTGTGCTACGGTTGCCGCATGCCCCGCAACCCAGGCCGTGGGGGGCCCGCGCAGGCTGGGGCCCGGCTGGCAAATGCCACCCCGACTGTATGGCCAGTCCGACGCTGTAGGTACTACTACTGAATCCTTTGTCGATCGAAGTTTCAGGACCGTGGCAGTTTCAGCATCTAAGTAAGTTTAAGTTTCAAAACACAGTTTTATTCTGATTTGTATTTTATAAAGATATGAAGGATCATTTGAAATCACGTCTGTGTGGTTAGAACCCATAACACCCTTCTATAATATAGTGTAAGAAAATAATTATTCTATTGAATAAGTCTCGACCTTGCGGAACCATGTTCGCATGATCATTTGAAAATTGTTGCCTTGAAATAATTTAGTCACAGAGACCTGGTTGTTTCAGCTTGAATGATCTCACAATATATTATTAGAAATATCGTAAACATAAGTTTAGTATTTTATATTTCAACAATATTAAGCGCAATGTGAACGCGTGCATTGTATTATGTAATTTTGTCTGTGATCAAAATTTTATATTGTTAAGCTGAAAAATGAAACGCATGTAATAATTATTTGAAAATTTTGGCTATTTAATTATGCAGTCTGAAATTCTTGACACACGACTCTATATTACCTCTCTTTCATAACAGATTTAACAATAAGGAAAAAGAGTCTACGTGTAAGTTACAGAATAATCCTTTGATTTTTATGAAGTTGACAATAATTTGAAACCGATATGTATTGCAGATATTAATTACAAAGATACCGACTCTGAAGTTCAATTAAAACTTACATAACTTACTTAACAAACTGTTAAATACTTACCTACCTACAAGATGAATGCGCCAAAACTAACCGCGCTTGCCAGTCAACGAAAAACAAACAATAGATTATTGAAAAATGAACTTCAAATAATACAGTCTGTTTAATTAAAAAGCCAAGTAAATATAACGGACTTTTCGATGATTTTCTTTTATTTCATAACATTAGCATCACGCTATTGTATGTAATGTTATCTAATATAATGTTCTGTTAATTACAAAATATTGCTATAAAGCATGTTGCGTGTTTGACAGTCTTAAAATATAAAATTAGATGAAATAGATATTACTATCATAAGTAATTGTTACAAGATTCTGCCATAATTGAACGTTAGAAACCTACTTACTTAAGTAAGATGTCAACGGCCTGGCCAGTAGTGTTGGTATCGGTGTATGGTATACCTGACATGTTGTGTAGTTATTAGAGCCTTGCTCGCCATGATGTTTTCAGTGGTTTTTGTTTTAATAACAAAAATTTCAACAAAATGAAAGAGCCGAGTGTTCACTACAAAAAGTTTTTTTAAATTTAAGTCGTGGGCGTATTTATACGCACATGAAACGATTTAAACTATTATGTATTTATGTTTGTCATAAATAACAATTATATTGAGTATTGATGGATGAATTAGTTATAACATCCTGGAACCAAATAGGTACGAAGATTTATGTCTACTTTATTATGTTAAGTCCCTTTATCTGAATTTACATGCGTCAAATTTTATTTTACTTGAACTGCATGAATTTTACAGGATAAACGTTAGATACCTACCTATTAACTATGAAATAGTTTTCAGTGTAAAAAAGACGATTTCTATGTGTGTCGCCGCTGAATTACAGTCCACTTAAAGGTTTTCAATGGTAGGTATGTATTAAAAATTCAAACAATAATAATTATGTGTTTGTGTGAAATGCATTTTACACGCCCTTGTAAAGCGGGAGTGGACCGCTGTATGATAATAACAACGCACTGAATTTAACGACATCATCTCAGTTAATTTAAAATAATACAAAAAGCCACAAACATGCTTTAAACTTTTTATACTTACAACATTACTTATTAATATGTATTTGTTGATTGTATTGTTAAAAAAATGGCGTACGTGCTAAATTAATACATGTACTTACTTACTTATATCATTATTTAAACAAAGCACATAGTCACATAGTTAATCGAAAATTGCATTAATTGAACATTGCAGTCTATGAAGCGAGTTCAGTGTAATAAAATATCACGCACATGCGAGTCATTGTTTTATTTACTTTGTATCTACATTGTTTATTATGCTTACCTAACGTTACTTCTAATACAATATCCAAACTACTAACTGCTTAGCCAGAAGTGTGGAATCGAATCCTATCGATACTATTATTGTTTCTAACACGAAGCGGGAAGGAACCTAAATCACTTCGTTATGCTAGCCACTACAAATACAGGGTGACAATGTACCTATCTGTTACCGGTAATCTGTATTATCCGGCATTCTATGCAACACCTAGGCAATGTATAAAATACCAAAAACGCTCAGGTAATGTATGAAATATCATTCAATTTATAACGGGTGTTTTTTTTAGAGGTATAGGTACAACTTTAAATTGGTTACACTGTTTCTAGTGATATTTAATTTGATAGTTGGTGGTGCATTTGTGGACAGTATGTTTTGCCATTACATAATTAAATAGAATTACTTCAGAGCAACGTTTGCAAATTGTGCAAAAATGTATTTTAAAAATCATGGTTCAGTTTTCCATACAAACGTCCATATTACGGTCGACGTGATTTTCGTAACTTTTCATTCCTCAGGTGAATGATATTAATGTGGCAGCCCTATCTAACGAATGGCGCCCCCTTTTAAAGGTCTTTGCGCCTCCCCTGGGGGACGCGCCTCCCCTGGGGGACGCGCCCCCCACTTTGGGAACCAATGGTCTAGACCCACTGAATTATACACATACTTATCCGACATAATAACGCTCGTTGAACAGTGTTTTAAAGTGACGTTTAGTATGGAAATGACATTTTAAAACAGAATGTGTAACTTTTTATTAGTAATAGTTAGGGAGGCGAATAGGGGAATTTTCGGCAATACTCGAGCGTGGCAGTTTAAGATATGTCGAGAGATACCTTAGACCTAATAGAACAACCTTGTAAAATATTTAGCTCTATATGTAGTGACGCGCGCCTAGGATAGACGATCAGATTAGTAAAAAAAAATGGATAGTCTGAAATACTCGAGCGCGTCAGATTAAGATATTGGGGGTTGATTTTAGTGTTTAAAGACTAAAGGATGATGGGCACAAATGTATGGAAAGTGGTACCCGCTCCAATAGCCATAACCAATATATATTTCAAAAGGCCTTTAGATGTAGAATAATGACTGCTATGGGGCCAGTTCTAATTCACGTTTTGAAAGCAGTAATTCCACTAAGTATTATAATGAAAGTATAACACTATCATCCATGTATACGAGTATGTACTATGACTACAATCTATTAATATAACTAAAAGAAGCCTTGAAAAGGAAAGGATTATATCTACGATGAACTACCCAAGCTTCGCTTTATTCGCTTTCATCATCATCATCATGATCATTTTAGCCATAAGACGTCCAGTTGAACATGGGCCTCCCCCAATGATTTCCACAACGGCCGGTTGGTGGCGGCCTGCATACAGCGCCTTCCCGCTACCTTTATAACAGGGTTCGAGGATATATATCAAGGGATATATATCTTTTTTAATGATATATATCAACTTTTAAAATTTGTTACTGTATTTGTACTTTTTGACATAAGATTTTTATTTTTTTAGTTCATTTTGCCGTATTTCAAAGAAATTTTATGTTTTTCCTTTATTTCTCTGATTTTAAGTTTTAAAAACATTAAAAACATGTTTATGTAACACTTATGCAATAGTATTCATGAATAATACAATAAAATAATAGTATGGCTTTCATACAAAATTGATATATATCAAAGTTGATATATATCCGATATATATCATAAATATCCGATATTTTGATATTTATAATAAATATCGGATATTTTCGAACCCTGCTTTATAAGGTCGTCGGTCCATCTTGTGGGTGGACTTATTGGGTCTTGTGGGTTTATTCGCTTTAGCAACCCATAATACTATAACCCCTTTATTTCTTAAGGGTTACAGTATAACCCTTAAGAAATAATAAAACTCCAACCCCTTAATTAATAAAAGTTACACCCTAGTTTAACACTGATTTAAATTGTCATTTGGTATGGAAATGTCATTTTAATCCCAGGTTCATCCTAGGTATAACTTTTTTTAAATAAGGGGGGAGTAGTTCTTAAAATAAAAACATTTATTTCACAATTATCTCTATCAATAATTATAGAGTTAAGGAAGGATGATGGAGCAGTAAACCCTTCATGCCTCGCATAACCTAAGTATCATAAGATGGACACGTATGATACTTCGGTTACACAAAAAGTATGTTCATCTTCGAACGCAACCAGATCTGAGGCTGGTGGCCATAGTAAATGTTGTTCGTCTTGGTAAGACCTTTCAAATGACACTACAAACATAACTATTGGAGCCGGGTACCATTTTGCAAATAAGTATGTTTATCTTCGAACACAACCAGATCTGAGGCTGGTGGCCATAATAAAAGTTGTTCGTCTTGGTAAGACCTTTCAAACGACACTAGAAGCATATCTATTTCAGCCGGGTACCATTTTGCCCATTGTCCTTTAACTAATCTGACGATAAGTCCTTGACGCCGCCGAGTTATAGGGTCGCGAACTTGTAAAAAAAAAACGTTAATCCGGCATTCTCGAGTGCGATTTTTTATTTTTTATTTTGAAGAATATAATCAAAACTTACTAAAAATACAAAATCTGCCGGTTTCCGCATGACCGGAAGTGTGGGGAAGCCATTTCGTCTTCCTAAGAACGCGTTACGGAATATAAGTCGCGAACGATACATTTTACAAAAAAAAGTTTAAATAAACAAAAAAGGTAATTTTATTACATTCTTAAATTCCCCATTTTATCAAGGAGAAAGAAAGGAAAAAAAAGAAACCAAAAAACCTTTTTCGGTCAGATTAAGAGAACCCACCAACATTTTTGTCAGATTAAAAAAATATGCTTTCAGGATACCGAGATAAACCTCCCCTATGAAAATCTGACGCGCTCGAGTAGGTATTTCAAAAAACTTTATTTTTCGCATTTTCAAAAATCATCGTAACTTATCGTCACGCCAAAATCGTCAGTTTTTTTAAAGGGAGCTTCCTTGGGACCTACTTAACACCCCTTCCAAAAATCTGACGCGCTCGAGTAATATTTTTTTTTTTCATTTTTGACTACTTTATATGCCTACCCCCACCACGCAAACCGGCAGATTAGTATTGTAGTATACCGTTGTTATCAGAGGCACTCGGGGCATACGTAGCATGAATATCTGACGCGCTCGAGAATGCCCAAGTAACTGTTTTTTTTAACATTTTTGAAAAACCGTACACGCCAAACCCACCGTTATAATGGTTTTTGCCATACGAGCTTTTCTTTTCGAAATTATTTTATCTTTCGATTTTGATAGGTCTCGACGGCGCCGTTGAATTACGCCATTTAGCTACCTCGCCTTCCTAACTATAAGGGGGTAAATATCTTTGAAGTTTTGAACGTCAACTCCATCCTATTTAGCGGTTGGCTGTATAGAAATAATGCCTGTGCCTTTTGCTACAAAAGAAAGAATCGACGAACAAATTTTGACACTTTGTTTGTTGTTCTTCAAAATGTCATCTGTCTGTGATCATTGGTGATCATCATCATATAGTATATTATATATAATCATCATCACGTGTGCGTAGTTATTTTTTAGATTGATTTTATAACTTTTACATAGATACTGCTGCTCGATATGCTTACGAATAAGTAATTTTCGATGGATTGAACACAACAAGAGCTCAACGATGACACTAGAAGCGGCACTTGCTCTATGAGAGCACATTGTCTTAACAGTAGAAGAATCGTGGTGGTACTATTTAAATCCTCATTGATCTTCATTTTTGATATATTTAAAGGTTTATCAAATAAAATGGAATTCAGAAACATTAAATGTCAGAAGTGCAGGCACATTCTTTTAGAAAACTACGATCCCAACAATAGCTTTTGTGATACAGATAAATGTGACAGCTATAATACTAAAAACTTTATACATTTACCAGAAGATAAATTACCAGTTTGGATAAAATCCAAAATTGAAGAAGAAGAATGGACTAAAGGTAAATTGCATTGTGAAAACTGTGGGTTCAAAGTAGGTTCCTTCGATTTCATTACAGGAAGAAAATGTGAGTGCAAACAAACAATCTTGCCTCCTGTTCATTTTATATCCAGTCAAGTTGACAGACCTATTGTTACAACCAATGTTATATGTAATAAATCATGAAGCTATTTAATTATTTTATTTTAATGCCGAGTTGTGGCATTCATAACCTTCAAATTATCAATAACTTACATTGATCTTGGTCAACTTGGTTATTATAATCATCATTCAAATTTTAGCCACAGAATATCAACTGCTGAACATGGACTCCCCCAATGATTTCCTTAATGAACAGCTGGTGATTATAAAAATGCCAGTTTAGACAAGACAGTTTTTTATTTACAAATTTTAATAGATATAAACTTATTCTACATTCATATTACTAGGTAAGGATTCATTTATTTCAATATCTCTGCACTTAGCTGCTTGTAGTTCCCTTCGAATCTGCAACAATCACAAGTAATGTTACATAAGAATACAGGTCCCAATATTAAATACATTTGATAAATTAAAGCTAATAAGTAATAACCTAACAGATAATCCAATAACATACCTCTGGCGTGATAGTTGGATGAGACTGCTTCCGCAACAACTCGAGGAGAGCATCTCGTTGTTCTGTAGATATATCTGCTTTATAACGCTGAACGAATGTCAGAAGGGCTTGATGCCAAAGAACTGGCAAATTGCGAGGATCCATCTGAAACCTACAAGAAAAATAGCACAATTTAAAAAATACTCCTGAGCAACTATTCATGAAATTACTGAATAAGTTAATAATACCCTCACCTTAAGAAATGGAATACTACTGAATCAACAACTCTATAGGGCAGAGCATACTTTTTATCAAAAAGAATGCGTAAAAATATGGAGTTAGCTCCTGTGTAATCCATTTCTGCAATCTTCAACATTGCTGCGCTGGAGTGAAGCACTGGGACTGAGTTTCTGGCCAGGACGGATCCCACAATTATAGCTTCACGTAAGGTGCAGTCTCCAGACTATGAACACACATTTTTAAATAAACAACTTGAAAACATTGAACTGCATGGTGTTTAAAAATAGTAAAAATGTAATTTGAGAAGCGACACTAATCGCAAATTTATTTGATAACAATTGTATGAACAAAACAGAAATAACTGCAATACTTTTCTACCATTTAAATAAATTAATTAGTTAAGTTGGCTCCCTATATTGTTGTTTCTAAATCACAAGAATAATAAGATCTAGTCTTATATTCCCATTTACCAATGAAGTGATGTACTTAATAATTTTGTATTTTAGAAAAATAATAAAAATTCCAAAAATAGACTTACCTCCAAAAGGGGCAACAATATGCCCTTCATGAATGCACCAGGCTTAAATAAGGCTTTCCGGAGAGCTTGATATAAATGAAAGTTCAGCCTCTTGTACTCTGCCAGATCATCTCTTACACGGGGTAAAAGAACTAAGTTGTAAAAACGCTGTGCCATTTTCTCCTTTAAGTTTGATGCAAATATCCTTGTTGCCTTTAAAGAAAATACATTACAATGATACAAAGCAACATCACCATAACAATAGTAAAGTAACAGTGGAAATATTTAATTAGAATCAAATCAACATCTGCTTTGTTATTACCTGATACATAGCTGCTGCTGACCAAGTAGTAGGTTCAGTTATGTACAATATTTGTTCCCAGTTCTGTAGATGGGGTACCATTTTGAAAGCCTTGGGTAATTTACCAGATCGGTACTTTTGTAGGACATCCCTCACACCCTCATACATAGTTTTTATCCTAAAATTAAAAATTGTTATACAGTTCTGTTACAGATTTAATTTTAAACAATAATTTAACTAGTAGGTTAATAAAGGCAATAAATACATTTTTATTTATTTATGATTATGATTATTTTAAATAAATAATAAAAATAGGTAGTTAATAGTTGGGTCTTACCTGGGATCAATATTTTGTAATTTCAAGGTTTCTATGTCAGAAAATTGGGTTTGTAATTCTGTGTGTTTATCTGTGATTTTGTCTTTTATAATATCAGCAAGTGTGCGAGTCCTATCTGGTTTGGAGGACATAAACATTCTCAAGGCTTCCTCATCGTCTTCATTTATTTCAATGTTGTCATAGTATGCATCAGGTTCAAGATCGTCATGATCAGACCCAGAGTTGTCGTCAGACTCAGCATCTGAAAAAAGCATATATCATACACATGAAGTTTTTGTATAATACATATTATAGGTCATGATTTGGTGATGTAGGTATAATTCACACATACATTAGAAAAAGTAATGGTGTAATATCTGTAGATTGGGTTGACTGAATTAAAGTTACCAACCATTGTAAGTTGCAGGCAACTGCACATGTTTAGCAGGTGAAGGTCCCGCTTCACCTTCATCCAATTCTGCTTGCTGTCTCCTGGCAGCTTTAAGAATTTTTTTGGATAAGTCTGCATTAATAAACTGAAAATTATAGATATTTTATTACCACAGGAAGACAGCCCGTACAACAGTAATAAACAATGTGACACTTGTACTGACTGAACTATAGAAGACACAATAGAAGTATAGAAGATTTATATTAATATGGCTCACCTCCTCGTCGTCATCATGCCTGCTCCTTTCTTTCATCCTATTTTTATTCTTCACAGCATTATTAGCCTCTATTTGATCAGCGAGCGCAACATTTTTCCCGATTTGGGAAGGTTTCAGTTTTTTAGCTTTACCCATATTTAACCTTATGACAAATTTAACTTTTTCTTGTTAATTTTACTGCTAAAACTTATGAAGCGTTAGTAAATTTAATAAACTACTGCAAAAAGTAAAAATTCCTAAATTCACACGTGCTACGACGTTCCGTGACTGTCAACAGTGTCAACATGTCAGACCTGTCCTGTCACTGTCAACGACTTGTAGTTGTCAATGTCACTGTCAGACATTTTTTTTTTAGTTCGATTCTTCTTTTCTTTTTGTGAGAAAAGGCAAAGGCGAAATGAGATATTCAGATTTTTAACCATTTCAGCGCAGCTCCCAAGGAATGAAATGGGGCGAGTAGAATACTTTAAAATAGAGTTGAAAGCTTTTGGAAACTAAGTTGAAAACGTGAAAATTATGCCTCCTTGGTGTTTGGTAAAATTGGAGGAAATAGTTTTCGAAGGATTGCATGGCAATGTCTCTATTTTTCCATATTTAGAAACTATAAAGGCCAATGTTTATCCCACTTAATTTTAAGCTGCGTGTGTCAATGATAATTATTATTATTACAAAAAAAAGTACCTACGACGATCATCTTTAATGGCCACTAAAATTATTGAGCATAATTCATTTAATATAAATTTTCAGATAGGTAAATTGAAGCATTATTGATTAATATGATTAAGGAAATTAAAATAATACAGATTAGGATTTTACGAGTATAGTTTACAGCAAAGAAAAAAATAAAATTTGAAAACATTATTTCATCTTTTCACATAGGTATAACATAAAAATATTTATGAAAAAAATATTCATATACAGAAATATCTACAATCCTTTGTTGAAGGCCAAAAATGTATTTATTTATTTATCAAACTAGCGCTACTTAACAAAACTTAACCAACCGGAAATTATCATTATCATAATTACATGACTGCACATTGCAAGCTTTCACTTTAAACTTTTAACAATTGATTTAAATTCAAACACCTTTAAAACATATAGGACTTGATAAATCAATTTAAATTTCCATCCAAAGCACATGAACTTATAAGTAAAATTTAAGCTATACCACTATATTCCTTGTATAAAAGCACAAAGTTTGGTTCATAATCTAGGCTATTGTTTTTCACTATTTTAGAAATACTTGTTTATGTTACTCTATATCAGGTAAGTCCTCTTCATCAGCAGAGCTTGAATCATCCTTTTCGTTTTCATCACCAAAGTCACCAATTTTATCGGTGAACATGTTAGAAAACATATCATTCATGTTGTCACCTTCCTCACCGCTTTCATCTTCATCTTGCCAGCGCTCAAAGTCTACTTTTAGCCAATGGTGTTTCTTTTTATCACTTGTAAGAGTTGGCCAGAATGGTCCGTCCGATTTCTTAAGAAGAACTACATCAATAAATCGGCCTTTGTTGCAATGAGTACTTTTTTCTGGGTCTATTTCACCATATAACGGAATTTCAACTTCATGCAACTTCTGATCTGGTGCACATAATCCTTTAAAATGAACTCGTTTATTGTCGATTTTAATTTCTGGCTTTTCGCATTCAACATTGAAAGTTAGAAATATACAAGCACTTCTTTGAGCCCACGACACCGATGGCGGAATGACCATTGCTTCTGAACTCATACTGAAATTTAATTTGAAACATGTTAGTAAACAAAAGAATACAAATTATTTATAAATCTCACTGCATATTAAACTTACTTTTGTGATAATAAATTTGCCGATTTTTCAAGCATCTATTATTTAGCACGGAACCGCAGACAAGCAACAAAATTAAGACGAAAAACGAGAATCGAGAAGCGAGCGACTTTTTGACTTGTTTTTTTTTTTTGCCATCGGAATCGAATGGTCTTTGACATATGATAACAAAGATGGAAACCATCATGTGCTTTGAAAATGAAGCTAATTATCTTTAGCTTCATGGCTTTGAATGGGTCCTCTTCTCCAACCAATAGGTCCAGACAAGTTGCACTTTTTGATCAAATCCAATATCGAATCCCTTGTAACACCATATAAAAAGGCCTTTCAAGAACCGTCTTTTGACATAAAAATCTGACATGTTTTGGTATTTCTATAGGGGGCCAAGTTGGGCCAAGTATCGGCCCCCCTAGACAAAATGCAAAATGTCGTAGCTGGGACGACGGTTCAATGTAAGAAGCCAAAATAAACTAGAATAGAATGTATTTACTGCTGCTCCACTCTACTTCTCTTATGAATGACATAAGAATTGAAACGATACGATTGTAGTACGATGCTATCTATCGGATACAAACTTAAACCATTACTATTATATCCTTGCCGCACTGCCCGCACTGTCATTCGGTTGTTATTACGTGCTCTGTGAGCATGAAGCTACAGATAAAAATGGAGGGCAGAGTTTGGAACAAAACTTGAGTCAAATACCTACTTATATCTATCTCGCTCTCTGCGGCCCTACCTCTCTTTTTAGTGTGAACTGTAGTATTGCTATCTTCTGATTTAAATCTCCTTGTAAATTCTTCGAAATAGCCAATACACTAACCAAATCAGAAGTTAAACAAATAAATAATTAATATTTGAAACTAAGATTACCTAGTTAAATAAAAAATCACAAAATTGTCGGCCATTTAGGCTTAATGTGTTGGCGAATCAGGGAATTACAATCCCAATTCCTGGGTAATCGGTACCATGTGGCAACATCGGCCCAATCCGGCCCATCATGGCGGTTGTTTACTATTTTGTTTATTAAGCAGTTAATTTCGTTTGAGATTGTTTACAGGAAATAATCATTGTTTTATCACAAGAATTGGTGCAAAATTTTGTAGTGCGTGGTTGCGGTAGTACGTGCTGTCCTGGAAGTGACATAAGATTCCACGCGTAAGTGTTTATTTCGTGATTTCCGACATTGGATCATTGTAAACATTTTTCACATTTTTTACAGTAATTTCTTCCTAAAACGTTTTACCAGTAACTACACTTATCATTTTTAATGATACCTATGTCAAGAAATAAAGATTTTACATTGGTTTCATTGAATTTGAGCAATTTTATATTTTTTGTTTATTTAGAAAGAGCAAGTCTGCCCACAGAGAGCGAGATACTGATACTTAGTTTGTGCTTCAAGTAGGTATTGGGAGTCTGGCCTCCATTTTTATCTGTAGCTTCATGTCTGTGAGGTTGTCATTTAAAAAAAAATAGATCTGTCAAATGTCAGTTTTTTTTCCAGTTTCTTTCGTTCGTAATCACAGTTATGGATTAGAGTTCGTAATCGTTGTTTTTGTTTCACAGTTTTGTTTGTTTGTTTAAATTTATTTAGACTAACACAAAAAATATTTAAGACGTTACATGGACCATGCTTCATAGGATCATTTCTTGCTCTTCGATAGACCTCCACACTATGTGAAACCACTACAAAAAATAAATTACGCTAAGATTTTGTATCGTGTTTATATCATGATGAATAGCTCAAAACAAAATATACCACTTAGCATTAGCTATCCCAAAATTGTAGGATTCATGAGTGTTGATGTTAGAAGAGAGTACATTGGTGATTTATCGCAATTAAAATATCTGAACCGAGTTGCAAAGGGAAGAATATATTTAGATTTAAGCCATAAAATTGATGAAGCTATAAAAAGAACTACCGACGACAATGTCGAAAAAATTAATCTACTGTTAAAGTTTCTTGTTGATAGAATCAAAGATATACCACATGGAAATCAGTTTATTACTTACAGGAGAACTTTGATAAGTATTATGTGTAATGCCTATCATGCAGATCATATCCGTATAATGGCTTGTCTGTATAATGGTTCTATATACTTATGTTCATTGGACACTCCAAAAGAGATAAAAAGAATACAAAACAGAACCAAGCAGGAAAAAATATTTTGTGCTTGGGGTTACAAATTTGAACAATATTTATTGTCAGGTAAATAACTACTGAATACAGTATTCTATAAGTTTTTGTTAATTATTTTATTTTTTAGTAATCATTTGGTCTATTCATTAGTATCATGTGCAATACTTGAGAATAGCTGCTTTATTTGTGAAGTGAGGCAAAATTATTTTTATTTCAGACCTTCCTGGTCAATTGCCGGATATTGACAGGCCAGTCATAGAAAATGAGGAGTTCTCTCTTTACTACCAGTCCTCTCTAGGGAAACACCAACTCCTTTATGGTGCTCAAATAGATGGTCTTCTGGCTACAGACAAAGTACCACCTCCACCTGACACCAATGACTTTCAAACAAATTTAAATTACCTTAGAAGTAACCAGTATATTGAACTAAAAACTAATAGAGAAATACGAACACCAAACCAGGAACAAAATTTCAAGTATGTATCGCAGTAACAATAATTTATAAAGTTTTTTCAAATGGTCAAATCTACTCACTTGCACATCAACTTTTCACAAATGTAAAAACTTATTCTTCTCAATTTAATTTAAACCTTATAATGATTGAATAAAGTTTAAAATGCATTATTAAAATTTGTCCTTTTGAGCAAGGGATGACCTGGGAATGTTACAAAAACAGTCATAAGTCAAAACAAAAAAGATAAATATACTTACTTTATCTTCTTTTATTTGATATTCTTTCCATAAGAGTAGATCTGAACATAATGCTTTCTACTTTTACAGGAAATACAAACTGTTGAGATGTTGGTGTCAGTGCTACTTAGCTGGTTTAAAAGGTTTACTCGTAGGATTTAGAGATGACAAAGGAATAGTAAGGAGATTGCAATGTTACAATACTGATGACATTGCTGCATATTGTGAGGCAAGTACTTCAACTTCTATTGTGACTACTGACATAATAGTAAATTACTTAACACGGTGTTTTACGTCAGTCACGATGCGGTATGCGGGACGAGCGTGTTCAAACCAATGGGATAAAGGAAAGGGATTAAAGGCCTCTAACCCCCCTACCCTTTGACCATAGTTAGCATACCATAATCGCGTCACGACGCGTAGGTACGTAGGTACGACGCGTCGCTGATTGAGGACACTGTTACCACACAGGTCATAATATTAACATTAACCTACATTATTTTAATTAAGCTTTGGTGTTGTTTCAGAATGAATGGCAACCTGAAAAGGCTTTAAAATATCTGGACGATTTTTTAACTTTCATTGAAACCAGTTTCAAGGATAAACTCGAAGAAACCAAAAGTAATGATCAGGAGCCACTTCATCTTCAATTTGATGACTATGGAAATAACTCTATTACGGTTTCAGAGTGTTCTGACAAAAGCAATGTGATTTTACCCAATTGGTATCTGGAGAAATGTAAATAAATTATGTAAGAACATAATGTTGTAATGTTTAATTACTTGAGCTCCTGTATAGATGACCCACGCTGAACTGTCCCACCAAACTCAATGACAGGGGGGCGCTATCATCGTTCAACTATATATATGGTTTCCAACATGGCAAAAATCGAAACCAGCGATCCGGTATTGACGGTGGCGCCCTACTGTCAATGTCATGCATAGGACAGTTCAGTATTTTGGAACTATACCTTCGTAAGACGGTATTATAGAAAGAGGGTATGCAGTCATTCCAAATACCACGAAGCTAATGGATAAAGATCGTCACATACAACCCGGTCGAGTTAACTGCGCACCTTGCAGCCGTGACGTCACTTCGACGCTCTGGCACAGAATAAGTAATAGTACAGGTACAGAAGGATTACTCCGCAAGACGATTTGAATAAATGCGAGTCTTGCTACGACGCGATACAGTGGAATTCAGCTCGCACAGCACTACGTACCTACAATTTTATTCATCTACAAGTTTTGTCTCTTTCTATCGCGTGCCTCTGAACTCTTCTTACGTTGTTAGGGTTGCTGTCTAGTGAAAAATTTATTAATCTACTTATATGTAATGAGGTACGTGTATGTAGGTAAGTAGGTACGCATTCATTATGGAAAACCTTGGGAGAGGCCTTTGTCCAGCAGTGGACGTCATTTGGCTGAAACGAACGAACGCATTCTGAGCAGTAGTCATGGTAGGTTAGGTTCCTATAGGTTAGGTTGGTCATGTGTAGGTAATCAATAATTCTTAGGATAGTCCTAAGAATTATTGATTACCTACACATGACCAACATACCTTTCAGCATCTTTGGGAAGCGAAAAAAAAGATAAATCCGGTGTAATTTCTTTTCGAATTTAAACACTCGAACCCCGCACAATATTTATTTCTCTTTATGTACATTTTTAAATAATACTTCGATCATAGAATTAGGTACATACTACAACGCACGCCAGCGTCCTGACGGGCGCGCGCGTGACACTCGACTGATATAATACCCGCCCGGGGCGCTTCGCTGTAGGTAATTATCGGATGTACCGCGCGGAGTGAGCCAGAGCCCCGATTACGGTAACTTTTATAGCGTCTACAATCCAGACGCGTTTCTGATTCTGCGATACGATTGGTCAAAACAGCTGACGTACGCTGTTGAACGACCAATCGTATCGCAGAATCGAGAAGCGTGTCTGGATTGTTGACGTTAAAAGTTACCGTAATCGGGGCTCAGGCCTGGCTCTGGTGCGAACGGGTCGAACGCGGGTAGGTGCGCGGATAAGAGCTAGGGACTAGGGAGTCGCATTTCGCGAGGTGCGCAGTTAGCTCGGTCTGGTTGTATGAAGTAGATGGCGATACTATTTAAAAACAGTAACATCGGGACACTTCTACCTACCTAGCGTCTTCCGATGGTCATGCTCTTGTCAGAGCAGCGTTGATACTCGACACGTGGCCAATGTTGAGCAGCCGCCGAACGCCGATTTACTTGTTTGAAGAAAGCCAGCGACCAGCGCTACCTCATCGCTGCACTGGCGAGACGACGTTCGAAAGACGCTAGTGTGGCCTAAAGGTCGCTCGTTCGCCAATGGATGTTCGCAAACAGCCCTTATGTAGAAAGGTACCTAGGTGCCTAAACAAAGTTAAATTTTGATAAACTATTACAAACCCCTCCTTACGGACTTATTTCGAGGTGCAATAATTCGCAAGACTATGACTATTCATACAATTCAAAACTTGGACTCGTTTAAAATTATTTTAGTCTATTGCCTAAACAGTTTTTAAATCATTTGACACTCATCTTGACTTGTGTCATGCAAGACATCATTGTTGAATCACAATCACCATCACCCCGATCACCCCTCACAGCTCAAAAATGATTGAAAAACAAATTATATTACCCGTTATCTAATTCAACCAAATCCAAAAAGAAAATGTTTGGTAAGAAAACGTAACCAATCGAGCATTATGCAAATATGGGGCAAATAGCCGAAGAAAAATCGTCAGTGAAAATGGCCAAGAAAAGCTCTTCGACAGTCAAGAAGTCATCATCCGGAGGCACTAAGAAATCGAAGGCCGTGGCGCAAGAATCACTGAATTTTTCTGACCCTAAAGTGCAAGGAGTGCTATTAGTAGGACTACTGGCCGTATTAGCCCTGGCCCTATGGTTTGGCTTCACGCACGGTTGCTTGTCGCGCCGGCGGCGACGCCGACGCTCGTCCTGCTGTTAGAAATACAAAACATACTTAGGTAAGTACTTAATATTATTAATTTAAATTTTAAAGACTTTCGACCATAGTTCTCATTGTCGGCGTTGTTTTTACGGTAGTTTTTTTGTATACCTACTATCTTTATTAAGCGTCAGCCTACTACCTAGACTAAACATATGTTACGTGGTGCGGTAGGCCTGAAGCTGAAAGAAGGTTGGGAGTTGCGGGGATTTCTGGCTTGTTTCGCCGGCGTAATTCCATTCAAGCAAAAAAAATCGGATTGAACTTCGTTAAACGGATAGATACAACACCCTTATTGTAATATGAACCCGAAAACGCTAACCGCCGAAAATCAGGTCTAGACCGAACACTCGCGCTCCATTAAGATTAAACCTTTCCCTTTTTACCGATATAAGCCTGGAAACTTGAAATAGAAAATAAAACAAAAAAATCATATCAGAATGATATATTTTCAAATGTTTACATTCATATTAAACCTAAATAATAATATATTTATGACCAGTATGTACAATTATTATTTTTTAATAATAGAACACACTCCTTGGACTTAATTCTATTTCAGTTTAGATTAGATTAATATTCTAGTTTAGTTAATGGAGCATTCTACTTTTACCGTGCTTTTACATTGTCTCATGTAAGTAAGTACATTAATGTACTTTATTTACAGATTTGAACGTAGAGTCCATACTTCGGTGCTGCTACGAGACGGAAAAATTCTTCGTGCACAACGGACTCTGAAATGACAGAAACGTATCACTAATTTTAAGACTTATTGATATCTAAATAACAGCAATAAAAGTTATAAAATAAATGTCTTCTGAATCGATACCCGTTTTATAATGTATAGGTAATGTAGCACTTAGCAGTTATCAAAGTGTGAAAGTGATTTTCCAGTCAATACGTCTGATTTTGATTGATTGGGGGACTGTGATGTCTTGTGCTCAGAACCCTTTTTTAAAAGGGCTTCATCCTCGCCTGGTTGCATCAAAATAAATTATGTTCAAGGCAGGAGAGCAATAATAAATCCTTGTGCGTACCTAATATGACATTGAACCTACAACCCGGTCGAGTTAACCTGGCGCCATGAGTGCCGTGACGCAGGAGGTGCGCGGGTGAATGCGAGAGTCGCATTCCAGCATTGTGTGCAGTTAACTCGACCAGCCGGGCTGGGATGCACGCAGTGATAAAATCTTATAGATGATTTTAGGCGACAAATGTATGGGCTTATCACGCAAAATTGATAAACGCTTATCACGGTGCGCATCCAAGGCCTAGTAGTACAGGTTGTACATGTGTTTTACCAAAAAAAACTGGCCATTATTTGGGCCTGATGCCGAATTATGTAGGTACGAATTAAGCAAACCCAAATATACTGGATGGAATTTTGTAATGCCACCTGTACCTCTAGTACGAAAAACTTTCGAGTTCGTTTCGTTGCGTATTCAAAGTGTCATCGAAAAAGTTTGTATGAAAAATTAAACAGCGCCCCCTAGGGCGGCTATAATATAGGGGGCGCTGTTTAATTTTTCATACAACATTTTTCGATGACACTTTGAATACGCAACGAAACGAACTCGAAAGTTTTTCGTGGATTCCGTGGAGGGTAGTTGAACGGGAAGCATGGTCGATCTATTTTAATGGTTTCAATTTATTATTTAATGGACTTTAGTGTACAAATTTGGTGTTATTTTGTGTTCTAAAGTGCAGTGAAGTGATAAATTATAAAAAACATTGAAATACTTCGAATTTGAGCGCGCATCGAGTGTCGAGTGGGTTGTCGTATGAACAACCCGCTTTGGACCCGGTGGCGTCTCGAAACCTGCTTACGGGCATACTTAACTCCACGGAATCCATGAAAAATCAATAGAACTGAAACACCCACGTTCTATTGATAACTATGTCNAAAAAAGTTTTTCGTACTAGAGGTACTGGAGTGAAAGTACTCATAACTCTGTAGATAGAAAATTTTACTCAATCAAAACATTCCTTTATTCATGCCTTTATTTTTTTTAAAGAAAGAACTACATTCAGAGTTCCGAAAATTATAGATTTTTAACAATTCCCAGGTGTGGCAAGCAGACATTTTTTGGAAATCTTTGAATGCAGTTCCATTTCTTTTTAAAAATAAAGGAATGTTTTATTTGAGAAGAAACAATCATCGTTTGTCGAAAAATAAATAGACTTAGGATAATATACCTCCAGTATACAGAAATTAGGATTATATCACAACAAAATACCTTATAATTCCCATGATTCAGTTCCTTCACCCCATTCGGAATCATTTGTTTCTTCTTCTTGTTTCGTCTTTGTCTGCTCCAAGTTAGTGTTCGTCTGCTCCAAGTTATTTTTTTGTTCCAAGTTAGTCTTTGTCTGCTCCAAGTTAGTGATTATTTGCTCCAAGTTTTTTGTTTGCTCTAAGTTAGTCTTTGTTTGCTCTAAGTTGGCCTTTGTTTTCTCTTCTAAGTTAGTCTTGTTTTCATTGTCTTTATTATTTGGAGATCCTGAAAACCAAAAAATACTTACGTTTAGTCTACCTTTATCTTTATTCTGAAAATGTATATATATAGGTTACGTAAGCCAAAAAGAACATTTTAACTGTGTTGGGGGGAGACTTTACTGGCAGGCCAAGTGCCCGTGCGCACAAAGGGTGCCGTACGACGTGGCGACGCTTTTGTTGTTGTATGGGAACTTTTTATTTTAATTTAAGAGCGTTTACGTCTAGCATGGCATGTCAAGTTTAGGTAATTTCGATGCTATTTTTATTCACACTAAAATAATTGTGACTGTGTGCGTGTTCTCACGCTCTATAGTCAAACCAAAATACTTTGATCCACCATCGTAAAAGTGTGCCAGGCTGTCAAGTGACAGCTCAAGGAAACTATAAAATCTTCAAATCTTCCAACACTGACTCCATAATTATAAATCATAGTATACATTAGTCCTAATCTATACTTATAATAAATCTGTAGAGAGGTCAATTNCCACCAGACACCTCCATGTCTAGCGACCGAGGCCTGTTAGGAAGGGACAGTTGGAAACCATAAGCTGTCCTCTTGCGCCCAGGGTGTCGGCGGCGGATAACCGGAGTGTCGGCTGAGGCCTCTCGCTCCCCCTTTCCAATGCTTCTTTCTGTGAAAGAACACTTTCACAGAGAGTAAGCACACTATACCATAATTTTGTCTCATAAGAATTGTATTTTATACTAATGTAGATATTGTTTCCGAAAGCGAGCGGGTTCATTCCGTACCTGTACGCTTCATGCGTTCTCTAGCAAAAGCTGAAAATCAGTGTTCTGCCCTTTTGAGGGTAATGTTTATACTGAGCTCTTTACTTTTTGCATCGCTGCGGCACACATCACTCTGATGCAGGGAACTATTTGAAACGCTAGTCATCTTTATCTTCTGTTGTTTTGTGACTTTTGTTATGTTGCAACTGTTGAAATTATTACTAACCTGTGTAACAAAATACGAGTGGTGTCACCTAGTGTGTTTCTTGACTAACTAACTTTATTTCAGATAAATATCAGTCTATGAGAAATCACAATTGAGTTTCAATAGCAACTATACATAATGTGTGTGTGTTAAAAGCATTAAAAAAAGTGTGTATTACAACAAATAAACAATTTATCTATCTATCTCACGCCTCTTCCCGATTGGTAGGGAGAGGTCATTTCCAACCGCCGCTCGTTCACTTAGGCTGGGTACTGTTGGAGCGTGTCAGTCTGCTGCGGTGACTCACGTGCCAAGACTGCAGTGTTGACTGACAACCATCTACAGGCTCTCGGCCTATACGGTGGAGGAATGGCCCGAAGCATCCATGGCCCGGTAGAACCTGGGTAGCCCTATGTGTGAGTCGATCATGCCGTCGAACACACTTTTCTAATACAGGCAAAACTGCCTCTATGGTGCGACGTAAAATTTGGTTGACGGCCAGGCGTACCCTTCAGCACTCTAGGGCCTAGATCCTCAAGCTTCTACCTTTTGGTTTCCACCTCTCGTGGTGCACGTACACGTACATTTCCCCTTGGGACCTATGGTCACCTCGCAACTGGCGTCTATTCTCGGTTGTCGACACTAGCTTTGTCGCCACTGAGGATAAATGGCATATAGCCTGACCAGGGACATAAAAACCCTCGCCATGTTGCGGAAAACTAATGGTACTAATTTCTTTTAATGGCAACAGTAACTGAAAACTTCATTGACATGTCACCTTGCATATCAGTCTATTGCTGTCAAAGTGTAAACAAACTTTATTTTAATTGTGCGCAATTAATTTTGTGAATTAAATTGCTAAAATCTTTTTATAGTCATGAAAGAAAAGTGGTTCACAATGTGTTAAAGTATTTGTCGAAGAGAAATACTAAGGGTTTGAAGGTAAATAAATAAATAAATAAAGGGTTCGGACAATATTTTCATTGAATAATGTTTCCGACAAAGGTTGTCAAATTGACTGACATGTTTATCGTATAGTACAGTCCACTATGAAAATTAGCTGTGGTTTGTTTCAACTAGCAATTTTAAAAAATTTTGTCACTTTCTTAGTGTTGATTTTTATGGATTTGGGAAAGAAGTACCGAGTTTGAAGCGTTCATGAGCGGACATTGCAGTTGAATATCCAAGTTCTGAATTTGATTATTGATGAATAATAAAATAAATCCTACTAGCTCGATTGATGGTTTCATTTAATTTATTTAAACCAGGTTACCTATAATAATATTTTTTCGTTAATTTATGAAAATATCAAATTAGCCCGTAATCCTGAATCCTGATACATAAAGTTAGCCTATTAATTTAACACAGGTACGACTGTACTCAGTGTTGCACTATCAAATGCAATTGACGCGCCTCTATGCCAGGGTTTTTATGTTCCTGGTCAGGCTATAAATAATATCGATTGTCACCAGTGGCGACACATACTTTCCCAGTTGTAGCTACAGGCTTTCTCACAACTTATGACAAATTAGAAAAATACATCCCAATTATGCCTAGTTTGGGAAAGAAGTACCGAGTTTGAAGCGTTCATGAGCAGACATTGCAGTTGAATATTCAAGTTCTGAATTTGATTATTGATGAATAATAAAATAAATCCTACTAGCTCGATTGATGGTTTCATTTAATTTATTTAAACCAGGTTACCTATAATAATATTTTTTCGTTAATTTATGAAAATATCAAATTAGCCCGTAATCCTGAATCCTGATACATAAAGTTAGCCTATTAATTTAACACAGGTACGACTGTACTCAGTGTTGCACTATCAAATGCAATTGACGCGCCTCTATGCCAGGGTTTTTATGTTCCTGGTCAGGCTATAAATAATATCGATTGTCACCAGTGGCGACACATACTTTCCCAGTTGTAGCTACAGGCTTTCTCACAACTTATGACAAATTAGAAAAATACATCCCAATTATGCCTAGTACACAAATATTGACGCAAATGTCATCGTGCATGACATACGTAAAGTAAAAGTCAAGTAAGACCAGAGGAATACAAATATTATTGATTTTATTTTGAACTAGCGGCCGCCCGCGAGTTCGTACGCGTGGACCTCGTACCCCTTAGTTCGTAAAATCTGTTTTTTGATATCATGTTGATAGATGGCGTTTCACGGATTCCCCCGCATGAATATTTACGAACGAACGTCAGAAGCAGTAGTTTGTCCAGCACTGTAGATTTTAACCAATGACGATAGATTGCGCTTTTTAGACACGTCTTATTTATTTATTGAAATTTATTTGTCACATATCGTCATAAATTATAGCCTATATGTTAATCTGGGTTACAAACAATAATACTGTAAAGTTTCAACAAAATCCGTTCAGTAGTTTTTGAGTGAAAGAGTAACAAACATCCAGACATCATGACATCCAAACTTTCGCATTTATAATATTAATAGGATAGTAGGAAGTAGGATATTAGTTAGGATTGTTATTCGCCACTAATGACAATAATTTTTTTTCCCATTTATCCTCAGTAGGGACATTCAGTGTCCACAACCGGGAATAGACTGACTGCGGATACTATGCGGTATCCACGAATTATCTCAGCCTGTGCCTCAGTGATATCATGCGTTGCGCTTTTTTCAACAGTAGGATACTCCACGACTACACAGCACTGGGCCATACTCGAGCCCCCCATATAGGACCATGGAACGTGAGACGCAAAAGTATAGGCAGCGACTCAGTGCGGCCGGGCCTCCGAGATTAAGGCATCAACCGGCTTAGTGCGCCGGCGGTAGCCAAAAGCTTAGGGGTGAGACGATTCAAGTGGCCGTCAAATGACCACTGTCCAACTAACTACAATCCGAGGTACCTACCGCAAAGATTTTACGACTGTAATTCCCTGCTGGCAGAGCATTCCTATTAACTATTCTGTAGAATTTGTTGTAAAAATAGACTGTAATGATAAATAACAATAAAATATTTTAATTACCAAGTGATCGCAAAATCTACCACCAAGATTTTGCGGATACACTATAAACGTCCAGCTACCTGTCAAAGATCAACGTACGCGTGACACATGTCAGCAGAGCACCGAGCGACGTGACCTCACTCTGGGGCGCCTCGAGGCGGACTGAATTTGAACGATTCGTGCGCGGCGATTTATAGTAGTTTTCAAATACTCATAGAAAAAAAATTACAATGAATTATTTAACATTTCAACATACATACATATTTTAGATAAGTCAGGTGCGGTATGAGACGCAGATTACCATCTTATGAATTGAGACTATCACATTTTTCAATTATGTCTCTCGCTCAACGACGCAGGATGGCGGAATTCTCAATATTGTTTAAAATAATAAATGCCAAATGGGATTCAAGTGAGTTGCTAAGCCATTTCTCATTTAAGACCACTGGTAGTGCAAGAACTCAAAATCTTTTTTCCATACCAGTTGCTCATAATAATGTCACATTCAATGACCCTATCTACCGAATGTGCAGATCGTACAATAATGTAAGTAAAGATCTGGACCTCTTCGGTCCAACTAATACATTTATTCGGACTTGTAGGGATAGGGTAAATGAATTGTTATAATAAGATTGAGTGAAACTGTCTTTTGTTTATAAGCCCGTTTTTTTGTTATTTCTTTGTTATTTAAATGCTGTGCCTGGCTCTAATCGGAGTTCAGACTTAATATTGTGCTGTTGTTGTGTTAATTGTATTGTTATTGTTTGTTCTCTGTAGCTGTGCCTTATATGTATAAATAAATAAATAAATAAATAAGATAGTCTTCTATCATATTGAGCTATTTTTGTGTTGAATTAAGGAAGAATATTGGTGAAAAAATCACTTTGATTTCTGGGTATTTTACGTTTTTTGAATTAGTGATTTCTTATTGTAAAATGTTTAAATCTAAAAATTTTCTCAACTAACTATTTGCCCAAGGATCTATGCTATATGATATAAATGTTTATTAAATCGTTTTCACAGTATTTTTATAAAAAATTCAGCTTGTAAACTGACGCTAAAGTGGAAATTTAGTAAACCTGTGTGAACTTATCTTGATAGAATTCCTAAATACTATACTAATCGAAATATTTTCTCAACTAACTATTTAGACTAGGAAATTGCCTAATTATTTATGCCTATAACATATTTGTAATATAACTGGTTAATGATTGTAACGAGTTGAAAAAGTACTGTTTTTGCGCCAAACGGCGTAAACGCTCTTAACTATTTTTGAATTAGATATACAAATAAAGATTCTGTATTTCCATCGTCTACCTGTTGTTAAAATCGAGCATAAATGGTCCTAAAAAGTAAATCTCTATTCTGTATAAAAAAAAAACACTTACCAACAGTTTCTGTTATTTCCCCTCTCATTATCTTCAATATGTGTTGTTTTTCTTTCGAAAGATGTTTTCTACCATTTAAATGTACCGTCATTTGGTCAAAGTTGACCATGAATACCTGAAACAGATAACTAATCTGTACACACGATCCTGTTATAACTGTTTTTGCGGTGAAAGAACAGCTAACAGCTCTTTTTGAATTGGGTTCTCGAGATATTAAATTAGGACACATCTTAGTACATAATACAAAAAAAATCTATCTGATAGCATAGATAGGAGACACGCTTGCAATAACATGTTACTGATTACTTACCTTGCAAATATTACAATAAAGTTCATTATCCTTAGGTCCTGCCAATACTTGGATGTTTTCATTCGTTTGCTCATTACTGGAGTCTGTTGGCACACTTTTTTCAGGTATATTCATATATCTTTTTTCACGCTTGATCAGTTTTTCTCTAGAATCAAGGTAATAATGAACATTTATTAAATAACTACACCATAATAATTAAGTCAAATAAAAATAATGAAGTGTTGAATGTTATTTCATAATTTTGCGAAATCACTAGTCTAGGAAGTTTACCTACATTCGTTCTGCCGCAGAATCAGGCAGCAATGCTGGATTTTTAGGAACTCTCCGGCCTTCTACAATTCTAAAACAATATAATAATATATTTATAAATCACAGAGCAATTTATATTTAAACGGGCGCTACTCACATACTATAATACAAAAAAAGTCCCAATTAACTTTTTAAAAAAAATAAAACCGACTTCAAATGCGTGAACACAAAAAAAACTAAAAATTAAAAATGCGGAGATATTGCGTATAAAAAAGTTCATCCCCAATTTTCCATCCTTGGGGGTGAAATATTTTCTTCAAATTCGCATGAAACCACCCTTTTGATAATACCTATTTAACAAAAAAATAATCGTACAAATTGATTTATAATCGGCGGAGATATTGCGTATAAAAAAGTTCATCCCCAATTTTCCACCCTTGGGGGTTGTTTTTTCTATTATTAAATTTAAATGGGACCACCCTTGAGGTATTACCTATACGCCGAAAAAAGATTTGTTCGAATCGGTTCATAATTGGCGGAATTATCGCGTAACAAACATAGAAAAAAAAACATACGGGTCGAATTGAGAACCTCTTCCTTTTTTTGAAGTCGGTTGAAAAGAGTGTGCCAAACTAAAAATGATAGACTAATGGATGACTTATGATACAAATATCTTTACAGATGGTCTATAAAAGAAAATAAAAAAAAGTAAAAGTATCACTATTTCAGAGATGTAATGTATTTTCATGTTTTCAACCGACTTCAAAAAGGAGGAGGTTCTCAATTCGACCCGTATGTTTTTTTTTTTTCTATGTTTATTACGCGATAACTCCGCCAATTATGAACCGATTTGAACAAATCTTTTTTCGGCGTATTGGTAATACCTCAAGGGTGGTCCCATTTAAATTTAATAATAAAAAAAACAACCCCCAAGGGTGGAAAATTGGGGATGAACTTTTTTATACGCAATATCTCCGCCGATTATAAATCAATTTGACAGACAGACAGACAGACAGACAGACAGACAGACAGACAGACAGACAGACAGACAGACAGACAGACAGACAGAGTTACTTTCGCATTTATAATATTAGTTGGGATGGGATAGTTGGGATTTGTATTATACACAGCAACAAGACATAGGCTCAAACTTGGGGATTTTAAAAAACATGTAAAAAAATCTTAAAATTGAAATGGTGATACCTTAAAAAAAATGTTTTGTTAGATGATCATCTATTAGTTCATCATCTCCTTAAGTTTGGCATGCACTTATTGGGACACATAATAAGCATAAGGTTGATATTATTCTATTACTTACGCGCGATGAGGTTTACCCTCGTAGTGCAACTTAGCGTGCGATGTAGAAGTGATATGAACGTCGCATAGCTCACAATAAAGTTCACGAGCCCTTAAAGGTAGCTAAAACACAAATAATGTTTTTGTCTGTTAATGTTCTTATTGATAAAATTGTATTTTTTTAACTAAAACTACAGACTAGAGAATTTCTATATAAATATTAATAATATGCTGTAATCTATAAAGAAGATTGGTTGGATTGGTTTTAATTTAAATCTTTACCCAAATCTAAAATTCATCATGCATGAAAATGTGTTTTAGTACAAATAGAGTTTTAAGTGTCATTTCAATCTTAATATTGAAATTGTCTTATACCTTTGACAGAGATTGCCTGTTTGGATGTTGTAACCATTTCTTTTGTTTCTTCAAGTGATTTTTTGAAACATAATGAAGTTGTGCTGAAATATTAATTCAATATGATAATAAAATATACAACATCTTCCATCACACCCTTATCTATCATAACCAAAGATGTAATGTTGTGTGTATAAGTGCCCGAAAAATGGCAGTTACATACTAATAAAGAATTTTAATAACAGGCTGATTGAATGAGATATGAGTGCTCACTAAATTACAGACAATTATCTACATATATAAGATTGTCAGCAAGAGGAACTGATGTGCCATGAGGCCTACAAAGATTGTTGTGAACATGTATTTTTTTTATTATTTACTTACAAATTGCTCAAGGATGTTAAAGGGTAGTATAACCCAACATAAAGGAAATAAACCACGGCTATAACAGTGTATAACACTTGAAAAATAAGTAGTAACAGTGTCTAAGTAGCTCAGTTGGAAGAGCAGTCGCCTGGCAAGCTGAACATTTAAATTCAAAGTTAGTTATTTTAGGTAAACAATGCAACCTGTTATACACTCTTTTCACCAAAAAACTTTGTAAACATTGTATGTTTCACTTACTAATGTGGGGTGTGTCCAATTGGTAGCAGCACAGTCCACAATTGTCCGGTTCATAAAGCTCCAGTAACTCACTAGGTAAACCTCTAAGTGTTTCTTTCGGAACACCACAACCTACAATATGATAAAATTAAAACCTAATTGCTACAGACAAGATAGATCCCTTAATCATTTTTTGTTACAGGTAAACATTCTTAGGAAACTTATAACTTACGCATTAAAAACTTTATTTTTTCATGATCACATTTTGGTTCTCGCTGTCTGGTTCCTGAGAGTGGCGGAAAGAAGTTATCTTCTTGGAACTCTATATCCATCAGTCTACGTGGGTGATACCCTCCACTGTAGTTGCCAAAAGCTTCATAGTAATGATTATTTCTGAAAATAATTTTAAGATCTTGTCTCAGTGAATGCCAAGCCATGTATGTACATAATATGTGATGTGTCGGTCATAAGAAGGAAGCTATGCTGTCTATAAATGATAAATAATGAGAAAGTAGGTAAAATTTTCACAAGATAGCAATGCTATCATCACTGTTAAATTGTAACAATGGTAAGCCAAAACTACTAAAACAAATTAAGGGTTTTAGATTAAAGATTAAACCCTGTAGAAATTCCTCTTGACAAATTACAGTATTGATAGCTCAATACATACCTTGCATCAGCATTAGTTCTGCGTCTATGTGTACTATACATTTCGTCATGGTAATCATCATCTTGCTGCCACCCTAAGCCACTTTCCAGAAAATGCCGTTTCGCCATCTGTAATCAAATCAATTAACTTATGACTGTGTAAATTACAGCAGGATTTTTATTATAAAATATAGTAGAATGTGTAGTACAATAATGTTTTTATTTAAAACCAAAAACTACCTCTACCTCAGACCAAGTATAACCTCTACTCTAGCTTTTATAAACAGAATAGCAATTCACACACACAAACTGAAATTAAGGCTTTTTAGCACGATTTTTTTACTTTAGTTATTAATTCAAAAACTAAATCAAAATGTTCATACAACACTACACTTCAGTCAGCCACAGCACAGCCACCATAGAGAAAAGTAATACATAGGAAATAGAGAACCCTCTCTGTCAAATTTTTGAGCCTACTAATTGATAGCCTGGTGTTAAATTCCCTGTACTTAACCTACGTACGTAACGCTCACATACATACATAGTACACGCACACATACATACATAAAGTCCACGCACACATACACACAGTTCACGCACACATAGGCCCTCATAACCTTCAAAGAATTATTGTTTTTATGATGTACAATGTAGAATTATTTCAAATCCATTATTTTGAAAATATTTATCTTTGAAACGCGTTACTAGAGGAATGGCAGACATTGCCCCAAAATACCCTTCATAACATTAACTGCAGCATGCTCAGATGAATGGAAACCATCATCAGAGCAAGAGGGGGAAATACCCATCATTAATTAATTCATTTGGTTAGTGATAAGCTACCCTAATTTTAATCTGGCCACAATTTCTAATTTTTGTTCAAAACTGAAAAATTGAAATTTCGTTTCGATGATTTTTTATTAAATAAAAACGACTAAATATTTAAAAAATCTATGTTATTTTATTTTATTTTAATTATCTCTTTATTTTGTATAATAAATATTTCATAGATCAGTAGTAATTTTCCTTATTTTCATGCTTTTTTTTGCGTTCCGCTAAATCTGCCGGTGTGTGTATATTTTAATTAAGAAAAAAATGAAAATATGAAGGAAACAGGAGCAGCGACATCTAGAGCGTTTTAGGGTAGTTAAAAAGTATTTGAATTTATTCATCGATTTCGCTGTTTGGAAGCAAGTTTCACTTCGATGACCGTTGTATGGAAGTTTCTTCACCCTGACAGCCACAGTCAGCCAGCCTCGGAACCTGTGCTCGGAACATGAAGCTACAGATAAAAATGGAGGCCAGACTCCCAATACCTACTTGAAGCACAAACTAAGTATCAGTATCTCGCTCTCTGTGGGCAGACTTGCTCTTTCTAAATAAACAAAAAATATAAAATTGCTCAAATTCAATGAAACCAATGTAAAATCTTTATTTCTTGACATAGGTATCATTAAAAATGATAAGTGTAATTACTGGTAAAACGTTTTAGGAAGAAATTACTGTAAAAAATGTGAAAAATGTTTACAATGATCCAATGTCGGAAATCACGAAATAAACACTTACGCGTGGAATCTTATGTCACTTCCAGGACACCACGTACTACCGCAACCACGCACTACAAAATTTTGCACCAATTCTTGTGATAAAACAATGATTATTTCCTGTAAACAATCTGAAACGAAATTAACTGCTTAATAAACAAAATAGTAAACAACCGCCATGATGGGCCGGATTGGGCCGATGTTGCCACATGGTACCGATTACCCAGGAATTGGGATTGTAATTCCCTGATTCGCCAACACATTAAGCCTAAATGGCCGACAATTTTGTGATTTTTTATTTAACTAGGTAATCTTAGTTTCAAATATTAATTATTTATTTGTTTAACTTCTGATTTGGTTAGTGAATTGGCTATTTCGAAGAATTTACAAGGAGATTTAAATCAGAAGATAGCAATACTACAGTTCACACTAAAAAGAGAGGTAGGGCCGCAGAGAGCGAGATAGATATAAGTAGGTATTTGACTCAAGTTTTTATTGTTTACAGGAAATAATCATTGTTTTATCACAAGAATTGGTGCAAAATTTTGTAGTGCGTGGTTGCGGTAGTACGTGGTGTCCTGGAAGTGACATAAGATTCCACGCGTAAGTGTTTATTTCGTGATTTCCGACATTGGATCATTGTAAACATTTTTCACATTTTTTACAGTAATTTCTTCCTAAAACGTTTTACCAGTAATTACACTTATCATTTTTAATGATACCTATGTCAAGAAATAAAGATTTTACGTTGGTTTCATTGAATTTGAGCAATTTTATATTTTTTGTTTATTTAGAAAGAGCAAGTCTGCCCACAGAGAGCGAGATACTGATACTTAGTTTGTGCTTCAAGTAGGTATTGGGAGTCTGGCCTCCATTTTTATCTGTAGCTTCATGGCTGAACTGTCCCACCAAACTCAATGACAGGAGGGCGCTACCATCGTTCAACTATATGGTTTCCAACATGGCAAAAATCGGAACCAGCGATTCGGTATTGACGGTGGCGCCCCACTGTCACTGTCATGGATAGGACAGTTCAGTATTTTGGAACTATACTTTTCTCTATTGTGACAATGACACAAGTGACAAACAAATGTAATGCACAGATTACTTATTAGTCTAATGATGTAATGTGATTGCTGCTGTTGTTTGTTCAATTCGTGATTTTTTTTCTCAATCAAACACTTTAATTAGATACACAGATTAGAGAGTTACATAAATTCACTATGAATGACCAAGACAAAGTGTTGAAATATTTAGTGTCTGTCGAAAAGTTAGCCAATGAAATTTTGTCTGACAAACGCGAGATTATTTTGCTCGACAAAAGAAGAAACCATAACAGAGAAGCCCTACGGGATCTAACGAAATCGTGTCAGCTAAAGTGTTGGATGACTGTAGGTTCAATTTTGATCAAAAATGATGTTGAAGTTACTAAAAATCTTTTAGAAGCTGATCAAAAACAATTAAGTATTGATATAAACAAACTCCGCTGTGATCTTAAAGTGAAATTAAATGATCTAAGAGATTTAGAAATGCAACCACCTGTACCTGGACTAATGTTAGTTCCTATGTCTCATACAGAAATGCAAGGATTGACAAAAGCTGGTCTATTTTCTGAAGATTAAACAATTCTAAAATACCTACCATGCATTTTTTATTCATGTTATCAATCCACATCGTTAGGCTGCCCAAATTAGGCAGGGACATCTTTTTTTCTATGCGACTACTACTCAATATGCATAGGATATTAGTTGTAGTTTCATTGTTTAGCTATTATTAATATAACAATAATGTTATAATCAAAGTAGTAACTATTACTACTTGATTTTGATTACATTCTAGTATGTATTATAATGCAGGTTATAGGTACTGAATAAAACAAAACAAGTGGTTTTTATGGTCTATTTATTGTACTTATCTAGGCTGTCGCTTCAGGCAGTGTGGTGATGATATCAGAGTCACCTGGGTCTGTGATGGCAAGTGTGCATACTCTGTAGTATTTACCACAAGCTGTGCCAAGTTCAATATTGTTTCCACTGTAGTGGTGGACTCCGGTCTTTGCCAAAAGCGCATAATATTCAATCTCTGATTTCCTGGAAAAAAATATATTTATATTGTAATGAATTTGTGCATGAAAACTGAAAATTTGGACACATATTAATTTATTAAAAACGTAGGGACAGATGAATGTTGTTTGAATTTTGTGTATAATGACAATGACTTGGGTAATACTTACACAGCACATGTTTCACAGTAAAAAAAGCACCAAACTGGTACTATTTATTGAGTTCAGCATGGACAGACTACTCCATAGGTTTCCCAAATTTTTGGATTAACAAGTAAAAATTTATAATGTAGCACAGAACTTATTAATATATCTCCTATAAAATTATCAATGTGAATATTGTAGGCCACATTGATATTTTTTGTTGCCGGGATAAGTTTCAATATTGTAATGAAATGAGAATGTTTAAAATGTTGAACGGCTGTCATATGACTTTAATAAGTTATTTATATTTAATAGATTTTCTCAAGCTCGGAACAAGAAAGTTGCAACTTGTTAATCCAATAACAGGGAATCCATACTTCTTTGTCTAAGACTCCATATGCTTCCCTCAAATTAAAAAAAAACCATGGGAAACTCTACTTCTCAGTAGTCTCACCTTAGAGGAGGTGCATTCTTGGCAATGATAACCAGCTTCGCCTTTCCTTGACGGAGGGTCTTCAGAGTTTGCTTGTAACCCAGGCAATATTTGCCCGATTTCATTACCAACGCGAGGCGTGAGTTGATAGACTCAATGGTCTTTTTCTGGAAAGATAAAACAATGCAATGTTTAGTGCACAAATTAACTACTAAGCAGTTGTAAATAGTGAGACTAGTGCTTTGAAATAATTGAGGATTCAAGTGGGTATGTACACTTCCACGTTTTTGAACATAACCTCAAAATATTGTTTGGTGCTTCCTCAACCCCGCAAATTACATAATTAGCGAGCCTATCGAGCAACATCATAATATAGGACTTCAATAAGAGGAGGCCTATCATAAAATATCAGATAAACCATGCCATCAGTCCGGTTTCAATGTAAAAAATTCACGTGGAAACTTACTTGCTTCTTAGCGGCAACCATTGTGATTGTTGGCGTAATACAGCACAGCGGGAAAAGCTAAAATAAAACTTTCAGTTAATAATTGAAGTTTTCAATGTTAAATAAGAGTAAATTAGATTTGAATTTATTTTTTACACAAATCACACAAGAAAAGACGAACCTAGCGCAACCACGACGACAGAAAGACTTTTTTTTTAAGATAAAAAAAAGGGATGCGCATATTTCATAGACAATCATCAACGAATCTCAGAGAATCGATTTTTAAAATCGTTTCTTGTTGATTTAATTTTATTATTATTTTTTTGTCCTGCATAAAAAATCTTAAGCATAAAAATAATATATAATATAAGTTAGTAAGTTACACAACTAAAACAACAACATTTTTGTATCATTATCAGAGCCCCGATTACGCAAATTTTTAACGTCTCCAATCAGACGCGCTTCTTCGGTTTTGCGATACGGTTGTTCAAAACAGCTAACGTCCGGGCACGTTGAAGATGAAAATGTAATAGCGTAATGGGGGCGAAGAAATCGAAGAAGCGCGTCTGTATTGGAGACGTTAAAAATTAGCGTATTCGGGGCACAGGGTCATTCAGGGCCAATCCAGGGGTTCCCAAATTTATTCGAGACGCGCCTCCATTCGACCATAAAAAGAATCCGTCGCGTCCGCGGGTGCCCCTCATCCTCCAGTCCAGATTTATTTATATATTGGTATTTGGTCGTATCGAGCAGTCTGGAATGTATCCTTTCAGGAGTCGCAGGCTTTTTAATACTTCACAGATAACCCGCGTCCCCCGTTAAAGGTAATAGCGCCTCCCCTGGGGGGTGCACCCCCCACTTTGGGAACCCCTGTCCAATAAAATGTCGGAAAAAAAGCTTGTTTTTACAAGGGTTTAATCGATAATTTATTTTTTGTTGTGTATTCATTCACTTGGTTTAAGCACTCAACTTGAGTGATATGTCTCTTCACTAGTGAGGTCAGATTGTTTTTTGGTCGACGGCCGAGCGGCAGCGGCCATTTTGTTGTGCGATTTCTTGCGATTTGTGCTTTGTGGAATGTGGCATTTCAATTTGACGCTTGCGTGAATTTTGATGCCGGAATAGGTTTCTTTTACTGCTTCTACTTACTACGCGATTGTACTAATAGATCTACATGTATTAATTTCTTTATGTAATCAATAAGAGATAGTTTTTTTGGTGATTTAAGCGTTCTACTTCGATTTTTAGTAGTCAGTTTTATCATGGAAGGCCCACCAAGCCGTGGCTTTCGTGGCGGTGGACGCGGAGGTCCTCCAGGTCATATGCGAGGACGAGGAGGATTCGATATGCGGGGACGGTAAGTAGAACAATATCATAAGTTTACTGTTCAAATATTGTAGGTTAGGTCCTTGCTAATAGTTATGCCCAGTTTGTAGTCGGTGATTTGGTTTTTGATCTGCATTTTTGTGTAGGTATACATCGTTGTCATAGATAAGACTGGAATGTCAACTAAAAGTTTTGTGTCCCGTAGTGGCGGCGGTCCAGGAATGAGAGGTGGCCGCGGCGGCCCTCCGCGAGGGGGCATGGCACCACGTGGTGGACCGCGCGGTTTCCGCGGTGGCCCGATGCGAGGCGGCGGTGGTGACCGAGGCGGGCGCAGCTTCCCTCCTGGCCCTCAAGGTCCAGGCCCGCACCCAGTCCCCACTATTGAGTCCAGAGGTGCTCCTCCTCAAAGTAAGATTTTTAGTATCTTCATATGGATTCATTAATAATTTATTTTCTATTTATAATGCAACAGATATGGCAATTTTTTGGAATTCTCTGCCATACATGAACTCATGTTCAATAACATACTAGTGCTAAATATAACACTAAGACTAAACTTCCAGGAGGGTTCAATAACCGTGGAGGACCAGGTGGAATGAGAGGTCGTGGCGGAAGAGGTCGTGGTGATTTTGGACAGAGGGGAGATAGAGGAAGCGGCCGTGGTGGCATGCCAATGCGAGGTATGTAACCGATTTTATTGTGAAATTAAATAATGTCAGGTCTATTGTAAAGGTGTGTCGATAAACCAGTTGAGGCTACAGCAAAGTTATTTTTATTTAACCTTTAACCGACGACGTGCGGTCTCACAGACCGCTCCGGTTTTTAAAATTTCTGGATTGCAAATTTCTACTTACTCCCATGTCCCGAGCGTCTCAGTACCTTCGAGTTTAGTTGCCCAAACGCCATTACAGATAGTGGTTACATCAATGAGGGCAGTTTTAATAAGATAATTCGATTTAAAGTTCAACAGCGGTCTGTGGGACCGCACGTCGCAGACTACGTGACATTTTTGTACCCTACTAAAACTTGCGTTTTTGTTTAAGACGACTCATTTTTCGTAAAAATGATGGATCCTGGGCCACCACAACCTAGGAAAAGACATTTCCTAATGATATATTGATATTTGGACATAATATTATGTAAAAGATGATAGTCTGTAATAAAAATACCTACTGCGAAATGGGTGGTAAAGCAAACAGTGACATGTATTCTAGGCTCTGACATGCCAAATCAGCCTGATGTCATTGCACCAGCTACAAAAAAGACGTACATTTTAGTCCACCTAAATTGAAAACGAAATTATCTTACAGGTGTTACCTATGTATACCGGAAATGCTTGGCATGCGGTAAAAAAAATGTCCTGTTGGTGCCTAATGTTTACCCTAAGTCAAATTTTTTTTTGTGCATGTAATGTACGTGTCATTTATTTTTATTTTATTCATTATGTTCACTATATTTAGGAAGGAATATAGTTTTTCTTGCTTTGATTAAAATTTACAAGTTATATAGGTATTATTGAGCTCTAGTGTTATTTCAATGAAATTATGGGTCAAAAAAGTTTTAGCCATATTTAAATAATTAATATACATTGATTCCTCACAAATTATATGTATGTGTATTTGTAATACTATAATGTTCTCAAAAAATATAAAATCAATATACTTTTACACAAAAAATGATTATTTTTTGAGTAAACAGTATAGCGGTCCCACAGACCGCACGTCGCAGACGGCGTGACAAAAATATCACGTCGTCGGTTAAAGGTTAAGAAGATATTTTCACTGCTTTACATTTCACTAAAAATTCACATTAACTAGGTCGTGGGGGCCGTGGAGGTCCTGGTCAGGGTGGCCCGGGGCCGCAGGGCGGGCCGCCGTCTGGCCCCCCCAACATGGCGCCGCGTGGAGCGCCCGCCGGCGGCTCACACCAAGGAGCTCCGGCCCCACAGCAGCAAGCGCCCCCATTCAAGAGAGGAGGTGGTCCTCCACATGGTGGCCCTGGTGGACCACCGAAACGCGGACGGTAAGTTAAGTCAGAGGTTAGGTTCGGTAACCCAGCAGATAGAATTTCGAACAATAATGACCCCAAGCTACCCATCCTTATCGCTCGCGCGTAATTAAATTGCTGTCGCGCTCGCACACTCACTGTGCGACGGATGAGTAGCTCGGGGTCGTTGTACGAAATTCTATCTGCTTGGCGACTGGACTTTAGCTTACTACATTGTATTGTCACTTTTTTAAGTAGGAGAAATAAGAAACAACTTTTTGTCCTTCAAATTAAGTTTTATTTTTGTATCCACTGATGTATGTACTAACTACAAGCAAGATCTATAATCTATTGCGCAGATTTGATGGCCCGCGAGGAGGTGGCAGGCCATCACAGGGCGGATACCAGCAAGCCCAGCAGTCGCACAGCGCTCCACAACAGTCCAATGGCTATGGACCACCATCGTATGTACATTATCATTTCCCTACTAATCGCCATAAAAAAAACGTTAAATAAACTTTAGTAATGAGTCAGACTAACATGGTTTATTATTAGCACACTTGCAACATAGTTTCCACAAGTAATGGTATCAAGTAAAATAAGCATTATCCTACTAATATTGTAAATGCGTTTTTATATACAGTAGAACGCCGATTATCCGAACGCCGATTAACCGAATCGCCAATTATCCGAATCGGTCCTAAGCGTAATATAAAAAATTAAAACCAAGTAATTTTTGTTTTGTTTTGTTGTAACAAGTGAGAAGTCGCAGGAGTCTAGATATATTTCAACTGAGCGTTATTGTACAACTGTAAACACTGTTAATAAAGTTGATTCTATGTGTGACAGTTCGTTTTTAACACGCTTTTTCCTTATTACCAGTCTATGTCCGATTATCCGAATCAACCCCGGTCCCAATTAATTCGGATAATCGGCGTTCTACTGTACTACTGTTGGTGTGACTCGTTAATTACTCAGTAGCACCAATTTTACTTAAAAATGATGAACCTGAATCATGATAGGAATGTGCCGTCTGATACAAACATGACGATGTGATTATATCTGATAACAATTAAGTTCTATTAATTATTATTTTATGTACTTGTGCAGATAAATATACAGGAATGAACTTTTTCAGACACACTGGTTACCAGCCATATGAACCACCACAAGCGGATCCCTACTCTCAATCCTCATACAATAACAGTTCAAGGTATGTACCAAAGTTTAAACTACATTTTTATTTATTTAAAAAACAGCATGATGAGCCTCTCATATAGGAATTGCCGTCTGAAACACAAATGCAGATATTGTAGAAACTCTGAATCTTGTTTACTATTAGTATTATTTTTTGGAAGAGTATGAGATTTTTACATAAGATTTTTTTCTGCAGTTCATATCAGGGCAACAATTATTCCGCGCCCGCCACAGCACAGGCCTCGAGCTACAACTCCAGTGGCTACGGCTCCGGGGGATACGGCTATTCCACTAGTGGCCAAGGTGGCTACGAAAACGATGCTTATGGGTAAGTCAAATTCAGTTCATTGTCTTCATTATGTGATATAAAACAAACTTGTTGCTACTGTAATGTACATGCTGTGAAAAATCACTTCATTTTTGTTTCAATGGGTATTTCGCCGAAACAGTAAATTTTCTGTGTCCAGGCAGGCGAACACATGTTTTTTTATATTTATATGTATAAAACTATTTTTATGGGAAAGTTAATCAAAAGTTTTATTTGTTTTTGCTATTACAATAGCAGAAACTACAAATAATACCGTAGAAAAACTTAATCAAAAGTCGGTTTTCTAATTTCCTTGTTATGTCCACTACTGTTGTTTGCCAAAATGAAGGCACATTATAACAAATTGAAGCGTAATTTCATTCTAATAGCACTCTCTTTATATTTGAGAAACGTTTGGCTATCAGAAAATAAAATCTTTAAATGTCAAATACTTAAAGGAAGGAAATAAAGTGAAGTTAAGTTCTTGTCCGAGTCAAAAGTATAATTTCCCTGGGTCTTCTTTTCGGCCATTGTAGTAACGAAACGAAAGAACTTAGAATGTAATGCACTGCACCGTTACACTCGGCCATTTCGTCCCAAGAGGCCATCGAGGCAGGACAGTACTTCGTTGATCAGTTTCGCGACAAATCGCATAAGTAGGTCCCTCCTTGGGTTTTTGTTTACTAAAAAGTCAATTTCTTTGGACGGTTTTTTGTAGCTAAACAATGGATTAATTTTATTGTTTATTTAAACAGATGTAGTGTCTGTAGGGGTAAACCCATGATTTAAATAGTAAATGCATAGGGTAAATAGGTTTTTGTCTGTGGTGTCTTTTAGGCATAAATCTAATTTCTTTGGCCCTAATTTCCTTGTTTTCCGTGGCATAAAATGGCCTAGGAAATTATAAAAGACCATTTTTAATTCGGCGTAAAGTCAAATTTTGAGTATTTCTTTATTGGAATAAGTTTAATATTTACATTTAAAGAAATGGGTATCAGAATAGATATAGAACAACTTGTTTTTAACTCTTAATTCAATCTACTGAATTTATCTTCCTTATTTGTGTAAAAAGGTCGTAATGATACAATATTCATTGGTATGTTTGCTTGCGAAGGTACACAAAAATGGATCGAACAAAAGAAAGCAAACCACAGAAGAAAACTTAGAGAAAAACATATTTATAATAATTTCCTTGGCTACCAAAAATTCATGACCTTATAACTTTATTTCTAAAACGAATTATGACACCCCTTTTAGATACATTAGCTTAGTTTTTGCTACTTAATACAATGGTAAACTAAAAATAGTTAAAAACAAAAATATATTTCGTACCAAGGAAATTAGGAAAAATTGACCATTTTTGGCGAAATACCCCAATGCACATCAATATCAAAGTACATTTGTAAATCTGTTACCCCCATGGAGCGGTTCTAAGCTTGATATCGTGACGCCTTAAGCCACGCCGATACACAGTCATGAGTCATGGAGATTTTATTGACTGGTCGTGTTACTTGACACATAAGTGTGTGCCCTTTCAGTGATACTAATATCCTACTAATATTATAAAGGTGAAAGTTTGTGTGGATGTTTGTTACTCTTTCACGCAAAAACTACTGAACGGATTTGGTTGAAACTTTACAGTATTATTATTTGTAACCCAGATTAACATATAGGCTATAATTTATGCGAATCTGTGGCACTAAATTTCACGCGGGTGAAGCCGCGAGCAAAAGCTAGTGTATCAATAAACCATTTTGTTTGTTTACTTAGCGGGGGCGCGGGAGGAGCAGGCGACGCGGGCTACGGCGCGGGCGAGGCGGCGTACGGCGGCGCCGCGCCCGCCTACGACTCGTATTCGCAACCCTCCTACAACTCCTACCAGCAATCACAGCCGCAATATTCCAACAACTATGGTGGTAAGTACGGGAAATATTGAGCCCTAACACTTACCGACTACACAGTCATGTCAAACATATTCAGAAGTTAGTTTTAACTAATTAAAAGCTAGGAATTACTGTAGTGTATCGTTACTTATGTCGTGTCAGCATTTGTATGATTACACGAATTTTAGTAGGAAACCTTAGGTTACTGTAATTTATTACCATAATTACTAGGTATGATTATAGAATCATTATTAGTTTGCTGCAATAAACAATTCAGATACATCTGTATGTTTGAATGTGGTAAAAACTTAAAACAATCTTGCACATTGCAAGTATTTATTAGAACTAAATGATTAAACAAAGAAAAATGATATTATTTTATAGTGCATAGTGATGATGCATAAGTAAGCAATATAGATCTATTTAAGAAAACATTGACAATGATTACTTTAATCAATATAAAATTAGGTTTGTTCTAGTAACTTATATTATTTGAAATTAGTTATAAGTAGGTAAGTTTTTATAAATCAGTATTAACAAAATACAGAAATCTTCTATATAATTATTTGCATTACAGGCAGTTGGTGATCTGTTAAACTAAAACAGAATATGATTTGCATCTAATACCACACTCTCGAAATAAAAATAGCTGGATCAATTATATTGAAGCAATTACATTAAGAATTAAAGTTTATACATATGAGTGCTAGGTATGAATGAAGAATACACAAATTTCATGAACTGTAGGCAGAGATTGTGAAATGACAAGATTAGACTCCTTTTGACTTATTATGGGATGAAAATGTTTTAAGATTGTGTCCAGTGTGAAATTATAGTATTTAATGTTATATCTCAGTGACCAGGTTGTTTATTAAAACAGAATATTACACATTGTAATAAAATGCAAATTTTCTTATTGAAGTATGATGATGGTATAGGTAGGTACCAAAATGTTTTAATAGACACTAAGTTCGTAATAAACTTGTGAAAGATATATACTGTGTATAATTTTATTTGGTTGATAAAATCACATTTAATTTTCTCACGTAGTCACACGAAATGGTATGACAAATAGCTATTATTAAGGAATATTAATAAATAATATTGAATATAAATTGAGTGTAAATTTATTTTTGTATGATTACAATCATACATTTTGGTTTATTACATATCCAGCTATCGTTATAAGTATGCCAATGTGTTGGCAAGGATATCTGATGGAATTCCAAGGTAATAATTTTGTGGTATTATTATAAATTCATAATTATTTAATATGACTAAAGTTGTGGTCACAGTAGCAAGATATTTAGAGATGCAGTTATAAGTTTAAAAATGGCATGAAATCCATTTTAGGCACATCACCTGCCTTTGACAGAATCATTTCACTAGCCATTAGCCAATATTGGTTAACCTATCAGATATTTTTATTTATGGAGAATACTGATTTCAATTTAATATGTGATCGTCAGTTCTATGGCAATTTTATCAAGAAAAAGCTCTTCCTGAGAGAACATTGTGCAGTTGCAGTACTAATAGTTTTTTGGTACATATTTATTACAAATGAGGAATATTTTTGGTACATAAAGTAACAGTATTAACATTTAAGACATAGTAAAGCATGACTAATAATTGGACATTCAATGTTTTCAGTACACTTTATGTAAAGGACGCAGAGAAATGCAGGTATTCAGGGTTGCCAACTTTAGGTAGGTGTGGTATAAAAGACATCCAGTAATTAATATATGATAATTTTTATACTTAATTTCGCAATCCAAAGTGTACAAAGTATTTAACAATATTCGCAGATTAATATCTGCTAGTAAGTAAAAAGTTAAAGAAAGAAACACATTATTTTAAGTTTCAATTGCAATAAAATACTACATAGGATTGTAGGTACTGTACTATGTACAGACGGCAGCACATCAGACTATACATTTTCGTTGCAAAGTCGCCCTTATCGCAACTACGTAAGATACCACAGTGTTTACGTTGACGTGCTATCGACTGTACTAATATAAGTACATATTTAGATAGGTACCAGCTTTTGTAGGAAATGGACACTTCGTTTTAAATAAATGTTTGGAAAAACCATAATACACAAGTTTATAAGATAAGTTACAAAAAATTGTACCTACGTATCCCTTGATTGTTACCTGTTGTGTATGCCATAATAAATCTATATCTATAAAAGCGAAAGGTCACTGATTGACTGACTCACTCATTACGAAATTTCAAAAACTACAAGTGCTAGGAGTCGCGAATTTTTCATGGGGATTTCTTTTTAGAACGTAGCTGCTCACTAAGACGGGATTTTGCAAAATTTAACCCCTAAGCGGGTAAAACGGGATCCACGCGTACAAAGTCGCGGGCGACCGCTAGTAAGTAAATAAAATGCTAACACTTAATGTATTGGCAATGATTATCTCACTATTCTGTGCTATGCACTAATATAATAATATTTAAAATATGAATAAGTTTGCTAAAACTGGGTTCATATTCCAAATGATGAAAAAACCTTTATGGTTTTATATTATGTAATTAGGTAGTTGTTCTGGCCCACATGAGATTTCTGTATCTCATTCGCGGAACCACAACATGATTAAGAACCACCTTTGGCATCTTAGTACCTGGCTTAATCAGACATTCCTACTTGTTATCGATATAAAGTATATTATCTACTAAAATTAGCCGTTAAGAATTGTGTCGCAAAAATATTGAGATTATGAGGCAAATATGAATGTTATTGTATATTACTTAATTATATTGAAAAGATTATAATTTTTAAGGCAAAACTAAGACTGAAACAATACCTAAAAGATGTTTCAATTCGTAAAGATCGTACTATATCGTATATCTGAAACATGTTCGTTGGCAACCCTGTACCTACCGACCTACCAATAAGAAGCGTGATATGGAAATAATATGATGGTTGATGGTAAATCGTAGTTGAGATAGTTACTGATGCAAACGATGATACTAATCATCATTAACAATGAAGCTCCAGTTATTTTCAGGTAACTTAATCTAAGGATTGAAGAAATATTATAATAATGGTAACAGATTACGTTGTACATACGATATTATGGTAACAGGTAATGAACATTTATATTTATTTTAAAGTATTAAAGTAAGATTTAAAAATCCACACAAGAACATGTACAGAAGTTCATATAGCTAATTATTATCTTATTTCATGAGAGCATCATTAATGATGTCACTATAAAGAACATAACATTACGTAGTTTTAATTTTATTATAAAATTAATTAAATCGAAAGGTTAATAATTTAATTAAATCAAAAGATAATAAACAGTATGAATATATCAATGATGACCATGAATGATACATGATAATAATATCTTCAAATTAAAGGTTTTGTTGTATTAACACAACAAGTATAAACAAAATTATAAACGATGCAAAGTAACTGATATAGGATAAGCATCTATTATGGGTGATTCTGGTTCAAGCAAATCTATGAGGCCAAACCAATTGGCGTATACGCTAGTTTTCATTATAAATTGCTAAGTTAACAAACAGATGTTATTTTTTCGGTACCAGAATTACCCCATGTGAGGTTACTAATTAATAGAAAATAAGTTCCTGTGTAGTAGATTTAAATCAGATGGAACCGAGTAGGGTCAGTGCGCCAAATATCAATTTTATACGGCAAGAAACGGTGGTAGGTGGTAATTGTATTATGTGTATGGTATACATAAGTATTATAAGTAGGTAAAGGGTGTCCTTGCAGGTATACATAAAATGATAATAGGATAAGGACGAGCTTTATTGACACCATTAATATTTAAGACATGGAAAGGATACAAAAGATAAGAAACAGCAGATGAAATATCAATAGCATAGGTTGCAATTCCGGTGTATTGACGTTTTTTCCGATAAATAATCACAAAAGTAGAATAATCATTTTGACTGCAAGAAATTTAGAAGAATAAGACGAACACAAACGGCAGGTATACAATTTGCAAATTTTGGACCAAGAGAATGAAACAGTCATTCAAAGATAAAAGTGGCATATCGCTTATCTACTTACATACTGAATGACAAAAAAATTTACGCACTGACCCTACTTTTTACTAGAACAAAGTAATTAGATTTACATTGTAGAAACAAGCTTACATAATTATTCAAATAATCCCAGATAGTACACAGGAATAGAACTACTAATTGCACACGCAGATTTACAATTCACTGCCACTGTCAATTCTAGTCAATGATTTAATATTATTCATTAACTAGAATTAGTGGTGGTTGTATGTGTTTCAGGCAACTGTTTTAAATATTTGTTTAATTTTCAGAATATGGATAAAATATCCTGATGAAGTCTTTGAGTGAAATTAAGGACTTGTTGTGAAATGCTGCAGCGATTAGCCGTGATAGTAAGGTATGTAATTTCAAAAAGCCAAAATCAAAATTGTTCACTTGTTTAGACCAAAGAATTAGTTTAGTTAATTATCCTTGAAATATTTAACCACTGTCATGATCTCGCATCGATAGCGCCAATTAAATGAATTTTGCAAAGTAGGCCTGTGGACACTACTACATATTTGAACAGCTAACTACCGCTTTATCATAAAGCCTACTAAGTACTGCTTTATTATCCATGATGAGCACAGACTGTATGTAATAAAACTAGTTTGCCTTATGATGGTGGTCACAACTGATGACGCTGAATTTTGATGACGATTGATACAGAATATAACAAATAGTAGATGAAATCTTGTAGGATAGGAAGAACTTACATTGTCTGATTTGATTTTATTTTTCAGGTACTCTTCAAAATCCAGTCGAAGTGCTTTACAGAAACGCGATGCCATGTTTCCGAAACAATAGTCTCGACTTTTGTTTGTTATTTTGTTGAATAAATGATAATGACTTATATCGGTGTATGTTTATTTATTAATTATCACATGTTTAGCCAAGGCGCAGACCGTGTAATGTGCGCACTTCCATACATGCCTATACTGACTGATCAACTGCCCGACTGAACTATCGGCCGACGAAAAATCGATGGTCTGCGCCTAGGCCCAGTGTAGGATAACTAAGATACTTTTTCACGCAAAAACTAGTACTGAACGAATTTTGATGAAACATTAATCTAGCTATGATCTATGCCAAATTGCCAAGGCCGTTATGATGTGAAATGAAGACACTGAGAACTATAATAACGGGGAATAGTGAACAAAAAGTTCACTAATCCCCGTTGACGGGGATTGTCAACGGGGAATAGTGGAAAAAGCCCCTATCTGGTGGTGTAAATGTGCCCGGAAACTTTAAATTTGAGCCCTCAGCCGTTTCAGCAGCAGTATTCAATAAAAAACGGGTCTGCCATGTCTCCGAACTCGATTTTTGTGGGGCCGGCACTTAGGTTGAGTTGCACCAACTAACTTTAAAAATAAAGGACATCATCCACGTTTCATATATTTTTGGTCCAAAATCAAAAGTGCCGGCCAACAAAAAAAAGTGCTGTATTCTGACAGAATACGTCTGCCTTAGCATTTGTTACTATGGCACCAAAGCCGTAGCTCCACTGTGCGTCGAGTATTTGAGATCTAAAAGTCATCGACTATTCATACATTTTTTGTTCAAAATCAAAAGGGTCGGCCCATAAAAAAAAAGTGCTGTATTCTGACAGAATACGTCCGCCTTAGCATTTGTTACTATGGCACCAAAGCTGTAGCACCACTATGCGTCGAGTATTTGAGATCTAAAATTCATCGACGATTCATACATTTTTTGTTCAAAATCAAAAATGTCGGCCAATAAAAAAAAAGTGCTGTATTCTGACAGAATACGTCCGCCTTAGTATTTGTTACTATGACACCAAAGCTGTAGCACCACTGTGCGTCGTAGTATTTGAGATCAAAGTCAGTCGTTTCATATATTTTTAGAACTCAAATACTACGAATACGATGCACAGTGGTGCTACAGCTTTGGTGCCATAGTAATAAATGCTAAGGCGGACATATTCTATCAGACTACAGCACTTTTATTTTTTGGCCGGCACTTTTGATTTTGGACCAAAATGGATGATGTCCTTTGATAAATTGATACACGTCAAAAATCTTTCACTCCATACACAAAGCACAGGTTAATGTTATTGTTACGGTTAAAATACGGTGGTGAAGCGTATGGGAATGGTACGTAGCTTTCACACGTTCCGGCGTCATTAATCCGGCATGCCCATACACTTCACGACCGGGTACCCAGCGCCGGTTAGCCGGCAACCGGGACGTGTGAAAAGGGCCTTACTGTTTTGTTACCAATAGGCTTAGATTAATAAAACCGTATTATTAATCTAAGCCAATAGGCTAGATGACAAAATATTAGACTCGTATTTTCTTTCACAATTAAATAATAACAGTGCTAACTTTTTTTTTGTGCTACCTACATCTAGAGATGGGTTTCCACCCGGGTAAAAACCCACATGAGGGTAAAAACCCGTTTCATTCCACCCGTGGGTGTTTACACCGGGTGAAAACAAATAATTTTATAATTATTTCAATTGGTATCTTTTCTTTATTTTTATTGAATTTTTCTCATTTAAGTTTATTGATTAATAAGTAATAAGTCAAATTTAACACTAATATGCATTTATATCGTGGCCAAATCGTAAAATTGATCACGTTATGATGTTGTGACCAATTATTTTATAAAATGGTGTTATTTCAAGAATCGTTGAACCGATTTAAAAGAAATTTAGTAGGAACACAATAATTTGTGATCATGGCAAGGACATGGAGGGGGGGATGCCAAAGATGCCAAACTCTCTCTTTGATGACATTACGGTATAACGTTACAAATAACAACACGCAACTACAAAGTACTTCTGCTTGAAAACTTGAAATCGACCGCCCTTCCGCCACTGTAACACATTGTAACGTTTTTCAAGACCTCCTCTCCCCCCAGATTGCATTACGTAACACTAGAACGCCCCCTTAGCAACAAATACCACTTCTCACTTTAAAAAAACGCTATTTTTGTTTTGAATTTTGAAAGAATGGGTGATAATGGGTAAAAACCGGGTTTTTACCCAAATCACCCAGTTTAAACCCAATCGGGTGAAATAGGTTTTTACCCACTACCCATCTCTACCTACATCGAGTTGAAATGTCCCAATTGAATAAAACAAAAGTATTTTTTAAATATTTTTTATTACGCTAAGGTAGTCTCAAATAAAAAATCATCAAATATATAATTTTCAATATGCACAGTTACATCTTTATACATGTAAATAATATAGTACATAACAAATAAATAATAAATAGTACCAAATTTCAGGATTTATCCATTAAGAAATTGTCGTTTGGTGAGAGTTATAATACAAAGTGACTTGACTAAATGCCAATTTGTATATTATGTGGGATACTCTTAAAATTGAAGAATAAATTTACATTATCTAAATTGTTGTTTTAATAGTCAATAATAAAATTATTTATATCAGTTAATAATGGCATTGTTCTTTGTTCAAAACGTAACATAATGTAACCAATTACTTTTCATCATCACCACCAACTAGCTTAACTTTATATAAACAATATAATATGGCCATATACGAATGAATAGGTAGATTTCTCATTACACTTTCTTTTAGAAATAAACAATTGCAACATAATAATAAAACCTAAGCAATATTAACTTACTTAAGAATAATTTTCAATATCAAAACATTTATTCTAGAGGTTATTGCTTAATATTACAATAATATTTCTTAGTAGGTTGTATCGATTCTCAGTACAAAATGACACTTGTAATAAATGGGTTTCAATTAACTCGATTGTAATTACGTGGATTGTCTTTTGAGCATAAATTACCATCTGTCACTATCACAAGTCTTTAAATTTCAAATGACCGAAGCACATGGTATAATTTTGTTACTTTGACTAAACTACTGGCATGTCGTCTTGTACAATGAGGGCACGAGCGTACACCAGCTCCCCAGGCAAGTAACATTCGTTGTTCGAAACGCCCCGCCGAAAAATGTACGGTCATGACGTATGCTCTCGTCAGGGTGCACGGACGCGTTATCTAAAGCTACGTAAATGTACTGATATCGTCCAAATGGATTCGCATATGGTAACGTCATCTACATATTGTCGTGCGAGCGAGACGAACTGTGGCTTTGTGGCGAAGTTACATTGGCTGCGGGCACCGGGCCGCGTGCGGTGTGCGTCATCACAGATCACAGGCGGCGCCACTACCAGTTGGCCATGCCGGGCTTGTTCAGCGTCATGAAGTATATCTGGCACGAGGAGCCGCCCTTGGCCGACGAGAAGAATACTTTGTCGTTGCGCTCGCACAAGAACTTGAGTCGTTGGGCCTTTTTGTGCATGAACACGCCGTCGAGGTGGCCGCTCTCGACGGAACGTATTTCGATTGCCTTGTTGCCCCAGCCCATGATTTGTCCTGTGCCGATGTAGGCTACTGAAGTGGGCATTTCTCCCCACTGTAACAAAAAAAAAAGTAATTATTAAAATGTACTAGCAACGAAACACACTTCAATATTGGCAATAACAAAATACACTAACCTGAAGAACAATATTTTTGCTAACACGTCCATTAGTATTCACATACACGCCTTCGTTGTCGTAGCATAACAATAACTGCATCCCATTGGAGTTCGGAAGAGGTACAATGCAATGTGGTACAATGGCTCCCTGTGTCTGAAAAAAATAGTATCAAATACATTTTGTTGAGGCTAAGAAATTTAATGAAGCATCTTTAAACCTTTGAACTTGCATGCTTGTTAGAGTTTAAAAAAGCCAATTATTTAAACAATACACTTACATGCTTCGGAATATAAATGTCATAGACTGTGGCAGTGTCCAAGTCAACAGCGTGGAAACCATCGGCAGAACCATAAATTACTTTCAGTCTTGTTTCTTCTTCAATGGTAAGATCTACTAAAAGAGGCCTGAAAAAAGTTATGAAGTGAGTATGATAATGTTTAAAATAAATCAATTACTTAAAATGTTAACAAATCACATACCTATGCTGTAGCTCTCCAAAGTTTTTGAAGGCCATGAATTTGTGATAGGGCTTAGGAGCCCAGGCGTATATCTCAATAGAATCCTTGAGAGCAATTACAAGGAATTTGATTCGTTGATATTTCACAATGCGGAAGTGGACTGCTCCTTGCAGCTCACCAACGTTGATCCAACCATTCCTCCTTTCCGCTTGCTGTAATACGAGGTCAAACATTAAAATTTGTTCATTGTTAATAATTCGATTAAAATAAGAGGTGCTTCTACTCACATCACTTAATCCATCGGTGCGCAGTATTTTTGACTTGAGCCAACTGAGATAGTACACTCGGACGCGGTTCTTCTTGCCGGATACCGTCACGAGAATGTTCTGTCCTTCTAGCACTTCCATTTGTTGGAAGCGGCGTCGTGAGATCAATTGATAAACTTTGCCTTGTCCAGAGCGGTCAAGTAGCATCAATCCATTTTCCGTTCCGATTAGTAAGTTGACTCCTGTAGAATGAGTGTAGCTTATTAGAATAAATATTACGCTATTATAATATTATGCCAAAACTAGGAAGAATTACGAAATTATCTATGTTGAAATTGTATGCCATCAGTAAGTTACAGTAGCTGGCTAGTTACAGCTACATATTTCCGTTTTCTCTTTCGCTCTCATAAAATAGTGATGCTTAACTTTGCAATAGAACGAGACGACTATGACCGAAAATGGGTAGCTGAAACTATGGTCCTCTGTACAGGCGACAGCACATCAGGAAAGTAACTTATGAAAAATTGTTCTTATTATGAGACGCTACAGTGCTCATTTCGCTATTGGGTCAATTTGCTATTGGTCCAATTCGTTTTTTTCTGCAATAGTAGTAAAAGTTGAATATCCTCCTTATTTTTTTCATTTTGGATATCCTTTTATTTTAGACCAATAGCGAATTGGACCAATCACGAATTGGACTAACCGCGAATTTGTGAATTTTTCACGATTGGACCAATTGCGAATTGGACCAATCGCGCCTATTCGCTCATTTTACTCTGATGTGCCGTCGCAAGTTTGAATGTGGAATACCAAAACGCTCGCCACTAACCCCAGAGCGCCGCGCAGAGTATCTCCGAGTTGAACCGCTTCTTGTACTTCCTGATCTCGGGCGTGTCGGAGCTGAGGTCGTGGCCGGTGGGCGTGACGTTGACGTTGACGTGCGACTCGCGGCGCGACGCGTTGCCGGAGCCGCCGGTGCCGCTGCCGGCCGAGCCCGCGCCGAAGCCGAACGTGAGGAAGGAGCGCTGCTTCTGTTGCAGGGGGAGGAACTGTTGCGAGCCCACCGACGAGCTCGACGGCGACTGCTGCAGCGCGCCCGCCACGAACGACTTGGACGGCGTGGACTGCGCCGAGGGGGGGGACGGGTGGTGGTGGGGGAGGGGCATGCCCCCGGCAATCGCTTGCCTGTACTGTGGAAGACCAAATTAGTATTACTTTACATTCTCATTTGAAAACTCAATTATATGCAAATTTCAATTGATGTGAATATTACTCGATTTTTTAACTTCGATGCCGTTCGATCGTGATCATTGACACTTAAATCTAAACATTAATAAGTGATGTTAGTCAGGTAAGTCCATTTCCCAGTTATTAGTGGTCATAATTCAATACAGTTGGAAAGTTATTTGCTCATTGCTATTATCTACAAAATCATGACTAAATATGACACATGACAGTATGAATGATTGCAGGCAATGATCAGATTATATTTGGCATTCCTCGAGTGTGGATTCATTCCATTCATCAATGATAATTTTATGAATGTCCTAAAACCTTGTATGTTGACAATAAGACATTTGACTGTTGTTGTTTTTTTTTTATGTGATATTTTTTTTTATGTGTTGTAAATTTGGATAAAAAATAAGATTGTAGTGTCATCTCAATTAGTTTTAAAACCAATTAAATTTTGAGGCAGTATGGCAAAGCGCCTTTGCTTTCCTGCTATCTTTGATTTCTACAAATTTTGTCCTTATGGTAAAGTTTGTCCATAAAATTTGTTTTTTTTTAGTTCTATAACAATTTAATAGACTGTGAAGGTTTGTTTAGTATACAATATACATGGCCCCGTACGTTCTTCATCCGCAAGCGGGAGGCAGCCCGCGTGCTCCCAGTCCTAGGACCCGCGACCATTGTTTACAAAGTTATTAATTAAGCCTCAAAATACTTCACTACCTAAAGCTAGGGCATATTCATACGCATTGATGGTCAACATAATCAATCCGATACAAATGAAAGCATCTAGAAAATGCATAAATAGGAAGAAATGATACAGATCTATTATAACAAACAACAATCTATGAGAACCTTTAGAAGCGCTTCGTTGCAACTCGATGGATACTTACTGATTGGCAACAGTCGTCGGCGAACCGGTCGCGGTCGGGCTCCGGGTGTTGGCATGATTGACAACGATTATACATTAATACGGTAAACCAAAAGCACGAAACCACACGGGACCCGTTCTCCTCGGGGGCTCCCAAAACTAGCGTCCAGTTACAAATATCAAGACTAGACTTTCAGTGTTAAAGGGAAGCTACTGAATGGGCTATGGAATAAATACAAGTGATTGGACAAGATTCGGAATTTGTTTTGGTAGCCCCTTATGTTAACACTCATTAGGCAATTTTATGAGCCAATTTAAAGATTCAAATTGTATAATTAGGTATAGTGTTTTATAAGCGCCCATTTGGGAGACTGTATGATAGTACATGGATAGATGTTGCGAATATAATCCCATGAAATTATATAGAAAATGATTATGTAGGTATTTTAATTAAAGATACTATAAAATTATTCTATGTATTGTCAGTGTTTGGTCTGAGTTATGATAATGAATTTGTTCTATGCATAGTGTACAAACTCTAACTAGACGTAAGTAATCAATGGTTAAAATGTGTTATACTTTATTGGCAAAAATACAATAAGATTTATAGTTGATTATTGCAGGTGTAATTCTCATAGCACCATACAAGGTGTTCAGTGACGTCAATCGATATCAATTAACCTATCTAGTATCAGAAAAACAAGACAATAGAAAACAATTTTATTGTTATCGCGCTAAGATGCGGAAAAAGATAATCCAGTTTGTCGCCTTTAACGCGTGTTTTGCATCAACAAATAGATGAATACAACATGAGAATGGGTTAAGTAATTGAATTGCTAAAGTGAAGTTCCTCAGACCAAATCCCGACATCAAGCAGTTTCTACGCTGTATGTGTAGCGAGTGTAAGGCTAGGCTATCATGAGTCTGCTCATCGGGTGAGCGTGTGAGCGGTACAGTGGTCGTGTATCTCACCTCCTCGCTGGTGGACTTGTCGTGGCGCGGCGGCGTGGTGGGCTGGCCCGCCTGGCTCACCAAGTCGGGGAGCACAGAGCTGGTGCGAGCCCCACTGCCGTCGTTCGCGCCACTCGACCGACCCTGCGCATAAAGCCGGTTTACATAACACGGGCGTAAGATTTAGGCTGCCTGGCCATTGGAAGAGGGCCTATATTAAGCAATAGGAAGACAGATAGCCTATAGCTGAGTTAATGCCCGTTTTCACCATCAATCCCTATTTTTAAGTGACCCCTATGGTAACACAACAGGAATTTTGTATACATAGGGGTCTCTTAAAAATTAGGGATCGATGGTGAAAACGGGCATTAGACTAGCAATTAAACTTGCAGAAGTTGACTTTCGCAAGCTGTTTGCCACTGTGTAAATAGCTGTGGCAAGCCAAATTCTGCAAGATTTACAGTGGTGACAGTTTGCGGAAGTCAACTTCTGCAAATATTGATACTCTAAAACTCGCTTGTAGGATACGCATCACGATATAATCTTATCGTCATTTTAGCGATAAATGTATGGGCTTATCATGTAAAATTGATAAAATTCCTGGATAAGTTTATATCGTGGCTCACATCCTAGGCTAGCCGCAGTGTAGAGACTTAGGCTGAGTTGCACCACCTAACTTTGACCGTAACTATAACATTATCCGATGTATTTTGTATGGAGTTTAACAGATTTTTGAAGTTTGTCAAAGTTAAAGTAAGATAGTGCAAGCGAGCCTTATTGGTAAATGTGGTCCTCTGCTGCGCTTCAGTGGACAGGCAGCCAACACTCGTTTTGTGATACAAATGACAAAACTTGATTCACACTCAAGATAGATTCGAATCTGTAATTAATTGAATTTGTAAGTTGGAGCATTCAGACTTGAATCTAATATTAAGTGTAGATATAATAATAAGGGCCTTAAACGCAACATCACAATTTTACGCTATCGATCAAAATAAGAACAAGAGTAATATCTATAACTAAGTAATGGATTGATGAATGTTACAATGACTAGTATTATTAATAATTTCTCAGCATCAGAGCGTGACAAACACAAACAATGCACAGCCATACATGCAATAAACACATTCACAAAAAACTGTAGATATCCTTTTCAGCTTCGACATGTCGTTAGGCGGTCATTCCCAAACTTGTTAATAGTTGGAGGTGTCGATGCTCGGTCTCCTAGGCTCGTTATTTAGAAGTCGCACTTCTGGCAGGAAGACGGTATTCGCGCGCACAGATTAATGGACAAGGTTAGAAACTCTTTGTGACTAGTGTTATGGTCAGTTAGTCTGAAAAGAAGCTGTTATGTGCAAACTAAAATGATAAAATACTGAAGAATATTATGTTGATTAAAATCTAATTATTCCAAATCCCGAAGTGATCAATGAAAATGTAAATATAAATTAAATAAATACGCCTATGAATGTATTTATTATTTAATCACGCCAATATGTAAGACGTGTGAGCAATATTAATTGTTACAACAAAATCAACCATTCAAATTTTAATTCTACAGGAAGCCATTTCTCTATAACTACACCTCCACTGGTTAATCTACATAAATATACGTTAACTATATACCACACCAATTTTAAAACACAGAATCTTCATTAACACTCGTTTATTTACGGGAGACGATAACAATTTATATCTTGTTACAAATAAATATAAAGTAAATATAACCCAAAAGGACATAATAAAAAAAAACAAGTTAGTTTATGAAGGTATAAAGATATAAAGTGTAACTTATCTTGAATTAGTTATCTATTATTATATGTACAGACTTGTATGGTATAAAGGACGCATTTTTATGTAGGTTTGGACTAGATTTGTTATATTTTTTAATAGCATCGCTTACACGCACAGTCGAGTAACCATGTTAACCATTCCCACACAGATGTAATACAAACCAAAACCAGAATACAGATAAAGGACTAACGTTCTTTCACTAATGGTTAGTAATAACTAGGTTAGAAATCGAACCCCATACCAAAATGTAAGTATGATAAATTCATTAATCAAACTATCCTGAGCGGGGAAGCAATTTACCTTATCCTGTGCGAGTACCGCTTCCTGCCCACTCGACATAAGCTCAGAGTGCCGATTGTAATGTGAGTTTCTTCGGAATACTATGTCAGATTCAGTCTTTTCTCTGCGGGGCCTGACGATGCTGGCGTCGGGCGCTGGCGTGGCGGTATCGGCGGTGACGTCAGGCGCGCCCGCGAAGCACACGCTTGACGCAGGTGAATCGCTGTTGACGGAACTCTGCCGACTCGGCGTGCTATTCTCGCTATCTTGCCTGATCAGCGCCGCCACCGTCTTCAGAGCGTCAATCGGATTATTCGCCGACACCTTTCTATCGCTCGCCTTCTTATCACTCTTCTTGACCTCGCCCTGCGCCGACATCTTCAGACTGTCGTTCATCTTTATAAAATCAGTCAATATCGGCTCGCCCGAGGCCGGCGACTTGATCACTTGCTTCCGCGAATTGTTAAATATGCCACTGGATCTCAGCTGCTTGCTCGCTCCGACCTGACTTTCGTGCTTAGGAAAGTATATTGCGGAGTGTCGCGTGCTGGGCAAAGGAAAAAAATCGGAGTTCTCCCTTCTGAACCCTCTAAAGAATCTGTTTGGAGAGTTCAACTCCGCGTCTTGTTCCTTCTTGTATTTGATGATGTCGGAGAGTTTGTCCTGGGTGGATTTCTCGCTGGGTTTTTGTGGTTGAGGTTGCTTGTGGCGGGCGGGCGGCGTGTTGTTGGCCTTGAATTGGGACCAGGGGTCTTCGCGTCGCGGCGGGGGCGTAGGCTCTACGCGCGGCGTTTCTTTCTTCTCGCCCTTGCCTTCTGCATTCCGCGAGGGGAAAAACCGCGCGAAGTCCCAATCCTTCAGGAGCACCGCCTCGTCAACGTCCGACTGCCGTTTATCGGTTTCCGTATTCTCTTTCTGGTGTTTTTTCGAACATGTCCGATACAAAAAGTACACGTAAATAATAAAAACAAAAATAAAACATGAAAATGTTAGGGATTGTGCTCACTAATCTTACTTTGGCGTGAGAAGCTATAATTTAGATGTTTGCTTTCAGTCCTACCTGAACATTATAAAGTGGCACAGCGACAATCTTGCGCGACGCTGTGGTGTATTCAAGAATGAAATTGCTTAAGTAACTAGTTTTATGTACAAATCCATTATCCTCAACCTCATGCGACCTCAAGTACTTCCCCAACCTCATAATGCCTTACATTAAGTTTTGAAGCTAATCAAAAAAGGTTTTTGCAAACCGGGTGCATGTTTTTCTTATTTTAATTAAAGTCGAATCAAAATCCGCGCAAGAATGTCGCTGTAACTTAATGTCACTGATGCTGCAGTATGATTTAAATTTCTTATTTGGCGACTCTGGAGCTTAGCTCAAGCATCGCAATCATTTACAATCGTTGTTACATTCTTGCGATATGAAATTTAGATTCGAAACTATGAAAATTGAAAAATAAGGCTCAGTTATATCTATTACTTGCAGTCAGACGCTGCAAAGTCGCCAATGTGAACCTTGATACAGGTGATAGAAACACATTCACAATATTATATTGAAGTAGTTCTAAACATGTCTATAAACTACTTAGAAATGACAAATAATGTAGCATCTTCACAAATACGCGAATGTGTTTCAAATCAGGCAGTTTCAAATGCACCCTCACGATCGTGTCATCTCGGTCTTAAACTTACCCGCTTCATCACGAGCGTGCGGTCTGGGTGTGGCTCGTCGTCGTCGGGCGTGGGCGGCAGCGGGCGCGTGGGCGCTCCGCCGGCGCCGCCGCCGTCCTCCGACACCGCGCTCAGGCCCGGTCTGTAGCAGAACTCGGGACTGACAAGCGAACCAAACGGAACCAAAAAAACGGGGCAAACGAAAAGGTAAACGCAAATCAAAAGTAACAGAAAGGGTAATGGTTAGTGTACACGGAAATAAAAGTGTGGGAAACATGATTGAAAATGAATTAAATGACAATGACCAAAAGTGGTCCAAATGTCCACCACCAATGAGACTTATATTGGCTTATAGTCCATTAAATAGAGATTAACTTTTAGTATGAGACGAAAAAAAAATAAGCTGTCAGTAAAAAGTTATGACTGTTTGAAAAAATGTAGTAGTTTACGCGCTAATCTCAGGAACTACTGGTCCGATTGGAAAAAATCTTTTTGTTATGGATAGCCTATTTATCAAGGATGGTTTTAAAATAACATCACCCAACAACCAGTAAAGACAAATGTTGTAAAAATGGGAAACATTATTCTAACAATTCTCACACGTACAAAGTCGTAGGCACAGCTAGTATAATATTTAACCCTATAGAGTTAGAGAGAGATAAAGTTCATCTATAACCCCGCGCCACATGCGACATGACATAACATACGTAGATGGACTAATCTACAAATGTGCCATAGATAGAATTATATCAAGAACATTTTTCGGATGAAAAGGTAAAAAACAGACTTTTCATTCAGTCATAACTTTTTACTGACAGAATATTTTTGATTGCGGTTTGGTTATAATGAATCAGTATTTAGTAGACTATTTTACTACATAGGTCTCGTTAGTGGTGGACATTTGGACCACACTCCATACATTTTTGGTTATTGTCCTTTGACTACACTACTAAACGAAATAATAATGTTCATCAATGTTGAAATGAAAGGTAAAAAATCTGTTGAACCACCGATGGTTCAACAAAAGTAATGTAAACACAATGTGATATGTTATATGAAATTAAAAATACGACATCCAGAAAGCAGGTATATCATCCAGATATCGATATCACCAGTCGCCACTGCAATCTAATATGCAATCGGCGCCATCTCTCGGTCACAGTGGTAACTATCTGTAACGTGGCGTGCTACTTACAGCGGTTTGGGCGGGTCGCTGGCGAGCAGCGTGCCGTCGTTGCGCACGCGGCCGCCGCTCTCTTCCGCGTCCGAGTCGCTGTCCGACTCGTCGAACGTCGGCTCCGGTGGGTTGCGCTCCACGGGAGGACCTAGCATTACATACCATTTTATACCTTACAATAAAATAGGTAGAATTCAAAATAATTTAACATATCATAACATCCAAAACGAATTAAGTACTTGTAAATTCAATCACATATTCGTAAGTGTACCAATAGTTTTAAGCATTTTTATACCGTTTTAAGCATCTAAATTCTCACTTGGAATAAAAAGTGATATAATTTTTTGGTTGTCACACACCATGTTATCATTTAGAAAACATGTAAGGGCACGTACCTTGCCCATTAGTAGGTGCACGCGGAGGTCGATTGGGCGGCTCGTTGCCTGACACCACTCCCAGTTCGTTGAGTTGTGCAGCCAACTTATCCAAATCCTGAAAATTTTAAAGCATTCACTACAATTCTTAATTTTTCTTAACAAAATATGAACTACAACATCCATATAAACTGGTTTTCTACTCGTGCATATTTAGTAAAACCTTGGGAAGCAAGTACATGTACAATAAAGCATTGCAATAAATAAAGATAAACCAACCTCTGGTCTTCGCGGAGGAAGCTGCAGTTGAAGATTACATTGGAGTGCAAAGTAATGTAACAGCGTGACATGGAAATAAAACAAATACGCAAATAAAACAAACAATTACAACAACTTGTATTGAAATGGATATAATACAGTCATAAAATTAGCTAACACCAAATGATGAATTCATATTTGTGTAAATTACAATTTCTTACTACATTGTAGAATAGTAACTAACTACTTACTATAGTCTATCCAATATAGCTTGATTAGAATGACGGCTGTCAAACGAATGTGACTAGTGATGGGTATGTTTCGTACGGTTCACATAGATGTATCGATAAGTTTTCGAAAAAATGATATGAAAAAATGCACCCAATTTTTCTTCATATATCTTTATTCATAAAAATGACAATTATGATTTAAATGTAAAGCAGGGTTCGAAAATATCCGATATTTATTATAAATATCAAAATATCGGATATTTATGATATATATTCGATATATATTAACTTTGATATATATCAATTTTGTATGAAAGCCATAGTNTTTGGCTTTGCCGTAGTCGGGTAATAAACTTAATTCCTATAAGTACCATTAAAGGTTTAATTCTGCATTACTTTTTTTTATTGAATTTCAATTAAAATAGCTATATATAAATTTAATAATCTATAAATTTTAATCAGTTTAAACTATTTTCAATTTTCCCTTGACCTTAAAGTGGTCAAATAATGTAAGTACTTACAGCGAACAAGTAATATTATCCATAGAAATCGTAATTAATTATTGTCTGTCTTTAGATATATTTTTGACTGAAATGATTCGCGTCTGGGTGTGCTGGGCACTCTAAACGACGTAGGCTCGTGGTAATGGACCTACTGCATACCTAATGTGATTTAAGTATGAAAAAACGAAAAAGAAAGAGAAGAAGAAGCTCATAATATCATTTCATCACCTTTAGTATCAATAAGTAGGTACTCGTAGTTAATACTTACCTAGGTATACATGTGTAAGAATGTCAATAAAACTACGTTTTAATGATTCCCAAAGTCAAGGAAAAAAAGGGCATCTCTTTTGTTTACTTAGGCTGAGTTGCACCATCTTACTTTAACTTTAACAAACGTCACAATTCTGTCAAACGCCATACACAAAACACCGGTTATTGTTATAGTTACAGTTAAAGTAAGTTGGTGCAACTCAGCCTTAGATTCATTCAACTAGTAAAGTAATGAGTCAATGTAATTTTAATACATTCTAGTTGAGTAAATATTTATGAGTCAATGTAATTTTTGTAAACATAGGTAATGGAGAAGTTTCGTGATGTTGAAAACATTAGATTTCACTGAATAGGATTAAAATATAGACCAAAACTAAAAAGCCGGTGAAGTTATTTTTGAAATCCATCAAGAAATGGCTGAGAAATTAATTATTTAAATTAGCTCCATATTTTCGCGTGGAACTTAAACATAAGAGGTGCCGTGACGTCAGACCACCTGTTTAAGTTTCAAATCACAATGCTTATAGATGACCCACGCTGAACTGTCCCACCAAACTCAATGACAGGGGGGCGCTACCATCGTTCAACTATAATAATATGGTTTCCAACATGGCAAAAATCTGAACCAGCGTTCCGGTATTGACGGTTGCGCCCCACTGTCAATGTCATCGACAGGACAGTTCAGTGGGTCTAGTCAAAATGCCATCGCAAACCAATATGAAGTTTTCACTAATGTCAGTCGCCGCGTCACCAGTAATTCGATTCGATCGGAAAATGGCAGCCAAAATGCACATTGAACCACCAACGACGCGGCGATATGAAAGTTCATTCAAAATCGAATAAAAGTTAAAAAATATCTATGACTTTGCGATTGTTTTTACTTTTTTTCGCTTTTCTTTTTTAATTTGTTTCTTCCTTCTTTCTGTGGGTCTAGTCAAAATGCCATCGCAAACCAATGTGAAGTTTTCACTAATGTCAGTCGCCGCGTCACCAGNTTCAGACTGAGTTTAGAGGTATACATGAAATAGTAAGTTTGGTTTATTACACTATTTTGTAACCAAAAAACAAAGTTTGGTCGATGGCCGCGCGAAAAAAAAAAGACGCCACTTTCCATACAAAATCTGGCATTGCCATTTGGCATGCAGGTACCTTAGTAAACTTACAGCTTAGTTACAACAGGATATTGCAAAATTCCCACTGAAACGAGAGTTAGCGGGAAGAAAACATTTGTATGAAAAAATCTAAACCGCGTAAGATAGACGCTTGAAATTTGGCATGCAGGTACCTTAGTAAACTTAAAGCTTAGTTACAACAGGATATTGCAAAATTCCTACTGAAACGGGAGTTAGCGGGAAGAAAACATTTGTATGAAAAAATCTAAACCGCGTAAGATAGACGCTTGAAATTTGGCATGCAGGTACCTTAGTAAACTTGAAGCTTAGTTACAACAGGATATTGCAAAATTCCCACTGAAACGGGAGTTAGCGGGAAAAAACATTTGTATGAAAAAATCTAAACCGCGTATGATAGATGAAGGGGGTAAAACGGGATCCACGCGTACGAAGTCGCGGGCGGCCGCTAGTAAATAATAAATACGTAAATTATTTATCAAATAGTAAATTATCAATGTTTTTTTACTATTTTGAGAATATTTTATGCAGCCTATGTTCAGCAGAAAAAAAAATTGAATTTTAATGGTGAGAGATTTTTTCAAATCGGTTCTATTCAAAACAAACTTTTCCTGTTAACTATTCTTTTTTTTATTCGGAAAATGCATAACATTTCATACCCACCAGCTGCGGGGGCAGCTAGTGGGTTATGTGGGGTTCTTCCTACCAGAAGGTGGGTAGCCCCTACACCCACTAAAAACCTGACTGTTACTGCCATGATTCATTGAGTGATATTTATTGGGGATATGAGGGAACGCGGGACATCGCCATTGGCTGTTGCCTGTAGCATTCGTCCTTAGCCGCCACCAGACACCTCCATGTCTAGCGACCGAGGCCTGTTAGGAAGGGACAGTTGGAAACNACTGCTGAGGAAAAGGCGAACCTTTTTGCCACCCTGTTCACTGATAACTCACGTCTTGACGTCGCAGGCAAAACGCCACCCTCATTACCCCCTGCCTCCTCCACCATGCGTGTGGTCCGCATACGGCAGAGAGAGGTTTTAAATGTCTTGCGTTCTCTTGACGTAAATAAAGCCAGTGGACCCGACGGAATTCCGGCAATTGTCCTGCGTAACTGTGCGCCGGAGTTGTCTCCTATTCTGACACGCCTGTATCGACTCTCACTTGAGACTGGACTAGTCCCTAAATCATGGAAGCTTGCAAACGTACAGCCCGTACCTAAAAAGGGCAGTCGTGCNACATTTTTGTAACTCGAGATAACCTTGTAGAGACGTCGTTAATACTCTAGCTTGATTTTTATAATTTCGAATTACTACTTATTGGTGTAATTTAACGCTGCATTTACACGAAATTATCATTTTTATTGGAAGCACTGTCGTCGAAAATATTGTTTGTAGGTCAGACGTGAATTATTTCTTGTCCGCCAATATTTAGCTCTCATTGATCGCTACTACAAAGTTATGTCGTTACTTTTGATGACAGCTGTCATTCTAATCAAGCTATATTGGATAGACTATAAGTTATGTTTATAAAATCTCTAAGCAAATCACTCCTAAAGTAAAAGAGATGACAATGAAATAAACAAACAGAATGAAATTCAACAGCCTCGTTACTGCTATCTAATAATCTTTAAAATACATTTACATGGTAATAAAAAAAATACCCTGTTTGTACTTTGTCAGAAGTAACAGTAAAAGAATCATCATTTCGTATTGTCTAAACATAGATTTAATAAAAATAAGTCTACCATGCACTAGCATACAGTACAGTACGCACCATAGGCTTGAACATGTGGTGCGAGCCGCGCTGCGGCGGCTGCGGGCCGCTGGCAGGCGGCGTCCCGTTGTTGGAGCCCGAGCTGTTGGACGAGCCCGACGACTTCGGCGTCGGGGGCAGAGGCCTACCACATTACATCCAAAATCAAAATTATCCTTATTTATTTAGACTAATTAAATTAGTACTTACAAATCGTCAAATGCTCTTAAGGAGCCTATACATGTCTCATTCTTTTTTTGCCCTACCAGCGCTTCGAGACAAACATTTGGCAAGTGCTGAGAAGAAGCGCCGCAACAAACTCAGTCACCACTGTCTGCCTGTTTAATCCAAATATCTAGCTGTATTATTTGGCGAAAAAACTTACTAATTCGTACTAAAAAACATTCGTTATCCGATTTCATTTCCGTTGATTAAAGCGACGCTCAGATGGTTGCGCGATGACGTGTCTTCCATGTGATATCATGGATTTTTTACTTATTTTATGCCCGATGAGAATGCTTAAATTGTACCACTTCAACTTATTACGATCTTATGATCAGCTTTATGAGCTCTACATTAAAGATAATTGATCTCACAACCATCTGAATCTAGCTTTAAAACTACACTACTTTTGATTTCTTCAGCTGATTTTTACTAATCCCGGGAGTTCTAGTCACTGAGCATTTTTATCTTGTATTATTCATTCATTTAATCATGCAGTTTTTTAATGTTCGTAACCTTTGTTAGCACAAAACCAAATTAATTAAAATCCGGGTTCTAATTACATGATGACAAAGGCATTTCACTGTAATATTTTCGTGGATGTACGATATGTAGATTGATGACATGTTCTGAGGAAAGATGCAGCATTAAATTGTATTTAGCTTGTAAATAAATAATGATATTTACCTATATCTATTAGGTTGCTGTGTTTGTGGGTCTGGCACTACAATCAGTCTTTGTGGAATGGAAGGCCTCGCCGGCGGGCCAGGTTCTAGAGTCCGACAAACGACAAATGTTAATAAACAATGCAAATAACGTCACGTGGTCACATGAAGTTAGGAACGTCGGTTACCTGGTATCTCCTCCCGCTCCTCGCGTTTACTGTTGCGTTTAGGCGGCGGCTGCGGCTGTGGGGGCTCCGCGGGAGCTCTGGGTTAAGAAACAGTTAATTGAGGACGAACACAGTTAATAGGCAGTTTTAGTTTGATTCATCATTAGCTTCGAAAAATTCTTGCAGTTAGAAACACTTCACTGATTTATGTCTATTTGTAATGATTTTGCTAATGGCTTTCTCAAAAAGATCATTATCTGCAGTAAACACTGCACTTTGTTAAAACACACTTTATAAACCTTAGCATGTGATGGTAATTGGTGAGCACTTACCATCACAGATGGAGACTGCTATCCCAGTGGCTATGAAAACAAAAGACACTCACCGTCCCTCCTGTATCTGTTGGAAGTTGCGGCGCAGCGTGTCGCCGCCCTGGTGCGCCGCGGCGTTGTGCACGATGGAAGAGGGCTCCCCAGCGATCGCATTCTCCTCTTCTTCGCCCTCAGATCCCGAGTATTTGTAGTCTTCGCGGACAGAATTGTCCTGCTTTCTCTTTTTACACCTATCTATGTGATCCTTCAACTGTATTCTCACTTGTCTTTCGGTAGGTTGGTCCCTGCACAATGAAGTTTCAATAAGTAAATAAAAATTAGAAGTTACAGCTAAAATACAAGTTTAAAGAGGACAAACCTAGTACATTACTTTTTAAAACATGTTATAGTCTGACTCATTTGTTATTTTGACTTGCTACATTTTGTTGATGCTGTTACCTGTTAGTAATGTTTTAAATATCCTCCTAAAAGTAATCATTTACCTGATAAAGGGATGCTTTAGAAGCTGCTCAGTATAAGGCCGTTGATGATAATCCTTGACAAGAACAGTCTCAATAAAACTATGAAATTTCTTAGCCCATTTTTTGGATTTGAGACGAGGAGGCGGATTTCTGAAATATGAGAATTATATTAGAACAAATTAAGTTCTACATTAGGTTGCTGTGAACATATTTGTATAAATTCACTTACCTTGGAATAAGAAAGAGAGCACGCATAGGATGGAGATCACAGAGAGGTGGCTGACTCTCAGCCATCTCCAAGGCAGTGATGCCAAGAGACCAAAGATCAGAGCGGTTGTCATAGGTGGCATCTGGATTCTCATCACAGGCAATGACTTCTGGCGCCATCCAGTAAGGTGTACCAATGAATGTATTCCTTCTACCGATGGTCCTATCAAGTTGTGCTGACACACCAAAATCCACTAAAAACCAAATAAAAACAATCAATACAATATGTCAAGTACATTTGAGCAAATAAAAAATAGAGATTTAGCATACCAAGTTTAACTTCAGCATTGTCAGTCAACAAGACATTTTGTCCTTTGATATCCCTGTGGATGACTTTGTTTGAGTGCAGGTAGCTTAGACCTCTCAAGATTTCTCTGCAAATGTAAGAGATCCATTCTTCTTTCAAAGATTGTCCTTTGGTTGATTTCACCAAATCCGTCACTGAACCTGTGTTTACATTATAAAAAGGTTTATTGCATACTCATAGATCGAGCTTTAATTTAAATCAAAGATAATTAAATAAATTCAATGTGACGTACCAGCACCACAATACTCCATGACTAACCAAAGTTGGTCATCTTTGCCGGGGGGACTTTTCTTAATAAATGCACCATAATAAGTAGCTATATTTCGATGGTTAGAGTACTTTTTCAGAACATTTATCTCAAGTTTGATTTCTTCCTCTTCGTCTTGTGTGACGTCCATAACTTTGATGGCAGCAAGTTGGCCAGTTTTGGTGTGGCGGCCCTGAAGATAGTACACCCAATTAAAATTTAAGTACATTATTTAGTATTTCCATTTCATTATGTTGTAAATATCATTATTTATCATTACAGATAACTTACTAACAAGTATGTGAATGATGATAGTAATGGGCATGATATCAATCTATAATTTAGGTTCATGACACACAAATGATAAATACAAGTAAATAAAGTGTTTGAATTTACATCTAGATCTACTCATTTACTATTACTGCAATGTTTAATGATTGATATTCTCAGTTGTAAACATGTTTTTATTCAAATAATCAATTCATAATCAGCTAGTAAAAAGTGAAGTTAGATTTTTTAAACAAGTTTTATCATAACATACAAAATATGAAAATACTAGATATATTTTTAAATACCTATTGTATAATGAACCAAATTCTGCACATTATAGTTAATAGAATAACTGAACTTAAAAGTGGGGGCTATCTGAAAGTAAGATTCATTGTTACATTATCACTCTCGAGGTATGATGATGACATTACCTACATTCATTGACATTAATAGCTTGACTCTCTAATTGTACAGCTTTCATTGAAGCCTATTAACTTTAATAAGTTCCCCAGGAGAGTTGATCTAATAAGCAGATGGACATTTATCATATGCAATGAAATAAGTTTTGTGTCATATCACAGGTATTGTTACTAGAGTATTTTCCCAGTGAAGGGCTACTTGCACTTTCATAGTAGAATACGATTAATGTTACCTTGTACACTTGGCCATATGTGCCATTTCCGACAACTTCTATGAGTTCGAAAATGCCAGCAGGATCCTGAAATGAATACGGGCAATTAAACTGGAGATAAAGGTTGATATACTTTTCTGTAAAGTGAACCTATACCTATGATTCACGCCCTGTGAGATCATTGCCCTTTAGTTGGATTTTATAAAATGTTACACGTAAGGAGGCTGCTAATCTATAGGCCTTTAGTTGCTCCTATTCTTAAAATGCTTTTAAAACATACCTTTAGAGCGCTGAGGTCAATGTCGTCCAATGAACAATTTACAGACGGTGCCAGTTGATGCGCCATTTTGAGTATATTGTCACACACGAAGACAAAGCACGGGAGCCTCACATCAATGTATAACAAGTAAAAAAAGCACTAAACTATGACATTGGCAAAGGGATTATTAATATTGTTGTATTAAATGTATAAATGATTTAAGAGACACATTGTTTACACCTAAATTTTGAGTAAATTACAGATACACAATTCGTATGTCGCACACACACCCGGCAGAGATGCCAGAATTGCCAGATTTATTTTATTTTATTTAGTGATGTGACGTGATTGTTTTCCGACCAATATCAAATAAGTTTCAATTGCATTCAATTGAAATATTAGGAACAATGATATTTATTAGTAATCAAGTATTTATTTGTTATGTAGAATATCAGTGACGAAAATGTTATACTGAGTCTTTGAATATCAATGACGATAACTTTATACCTAAAAATACAATGTACAAACGAGACTACGTCATTTTAAAACCCTTTTAGGTGCGATTGTGCTGCCATCTTTATATTACTTTTTATAAGACTGACAGCTGTCACAACGGCGCTAGAATCGCTAAACTATAAGTTTACGAATGAGTATATCGATTAGTAGATTTTATGTAGGTGCAATAAATATTTTTGTTCTTACAAATGAATCTGAAATACTTAGATTGCGCTTTTCATAGCTTTTAGCAAGTTTTATCCTAGGGAACCGAGTATAAATTAAGGATTTTTTATTTCTCTCTTCCACAGTAGGAAAGATCAAGAGGAAGATTAATAATGGCCCATTGCAGTTGGTTTCTGATTTTTAATGACAAAGGTTGGATTTTTCACTAGACCCATAATATTGATTGGACCCGCGACACGGGTCCTCTCAGAGGACTCCTCTGTGACACAGAAGACACCACAGATAAGGACACAGAGTCTGTGTTTTCACGAACGGAGCAGCGAGATTGGCGGTCCTTTGGTGCGCCGATAGAGTTTGCGCCAATGGAAACTGGCGTCGTTGCAAAGAAATGAGCCAAATAAAATTCATATTAGTACTTATTTGTTTTCAAGAGTTCCTAAAACATTTTATATTAATTTAACTAAATATTATGTCAAGCCACGGTCTGCTGCTTGCCTTGAACTTTTTAAATTTCCCCAGAGGAGTAGGATCTATTAAGCAGATGGACATTTACAGTATTTTCAGATGTAATAAAATATGGTTTGTATCATGAAGGGAAAATAAAATGATGAAAAAGAATGTTTCATTCAATAAACTTTTATGGTGTTTTGTCGATGTAGTTGCAAAAAGAACACAGGGTTAAAGTAGGTATCGGAAGTCCTCCTTACATTTGGTGCAGGTGTTGACCGGGCACGGATGCTTTGGCTCATATCTGCACCGCATTGGGAGGGAAGAGACGCCGTCCTGCCACGCGTGTCGTGGCGGTGCGGAGGACACGGCGCACCATACCCTTGCGGTATGTGCAGCGTGGGCTCCGCAGCGCAATACGCTTATCGCGGCGGTAGGCCGCGACCTTGTGCTGCTCAGTATAGTCAAAGCTATGCTGGACAGCAACGAGGCCTGGGTGGCAATGGCATCCTTCTGTGAAGACGTGATGTCTCAGAAGGAAGCCGCGGAGCGAGAGCGCGAGGATGATCCAAACGCGCCCTCGATCCGGCGACGGCGGAGGGGTCAGAGGAGGCGACAATATGATCGCCTTCAGTTTCCTCTCCTCGGTGATGGCCAGCGGGCCGGGGGCGTGGGGGCGCCCCCGCCTGCATTGCACAGGCCACCACCACCGTCGGACGGGAACAGCTGTGTGCTTCCAGCAGTTCCTGTCGCCCCCCGTCCTGGGGGGCTTGTAGGGCCCGCCGTGTAGGCGGGCAATCGCCGGGAAGGGCTGTGGTAGAGAAGGCTTTGTCCGGAAACCCACAGTTTCCTCCCACTTATGGCGAGTGACGGAGCACCGGGGTCTTTTTAGTGGGTATGCCTCGTCTTTCTGACTTGGTGAGCCCCACATAACCTACCCTGTCCCCGCAGGGTAGGTATGCGATTCAACGCATTTTTTTCCCGAAAAAAAAAAAGGTATCGGAAGTCCATTCCTAAACACATTATGTACCTACCTATCTACTACCTACCTATTAGATTAGGCTTATCCTACTTTAATATTATAAATGCGAAAGTTTGGATGTGTAGATGTGTGGATGTGTGGATGTCTGGATGTTTGTTACTCTTTCACGCAAAAACTACTAAATGGATTTTGATGAAACTTTACAGTATCATTGTTCATAACCCAGAATAACACTATTGATTTTATGACGATATGTGACAAACTAAATTTCACGCGGGTGAAGCCGCGGGCAAAAACTATATAGTTAGCTTTAACTTTATTAACTTTAACAAAAATGACAACAGTAACGTCTACAGACCCAATGGCCTTAGCAATCTTACAAGCAATTGCTCAGTTTTAAATCTCACTCCAAATATTTAAGAAAAAGATTTTCTCAAGTGTTGATAAATATTGGTACCTACTCGTATTTCTAGTAGGTCCTCTGTCTATGTAATATAGAAACCTCTCGAACTGCATGTGCGTGTGGAAATGCGTTGATACTATCTTCAGTAACGTAACTTAAATTGTAAATGCTTGGTGAGAATATCCTTAAACAGAACTAGGAGTAGGAACTTACTTACATGTTGCTTCAATAATTATAATCTTTTGTATTCGGTATATTTCTAATATGGGAAATAAGTAAGACACGAAGTAACCATAAGCAGTCAGGGAAACACCTTTGTCTTGTTGAAGGAATGAAGGTTTTCACCCCTGACTCTAAGTACTAATGCTATAGCCGTAAGACCGAAGGGGTCAATCTGACTTTAGAACTTTCAATTAAGTCCTTCTATCGACATCTGATAATGTTTCATGCAAATTTTAGTGCCTATGGTTTGAAAGTTGGGACTTTTGACCCAGAGATTATGGGTTCGATTTCCAGGTAGGCCACAAAGTTGTGAAGATCACTTTGAAGCGGTTCTAACTATACTGTCTGATAAAAATACGTTTATCCGCATCTGTATAAACAAGTCCTAGGTTTGGATACTAATCGGGTCCCTTTAGAGATATTGTATTTTTCTGATTGCATTGGGAGATTATTTAATGTTAAGTATTCAAAGTTGCATATGCTACGACATCATAAAGGGGAAGCGCTGGACGCAGGCCGCTACCAATCGATCAACATGGAAAGCATTGGGGGAGGCCTATGTTCAGCAGTGAGCAGTGGACGTCCTATGGCTGAAATTATGATGATGATGATGATTCAAAGCTGACGTCGCGCGCGTCATTAAGGCTCATTCAGTCCAGCACTAAAGACCCCCGCACGAGGGTTCAACGGGAACCAATTAATAAAGTCTCGCAAGAGTCTACCTTGTCTACGGCAAGACTCATCACTACTATCATTGTTAAGATCATCAGACACCCTTGCATTTAAATTAGGCTACATCTGAATACAAGCAAAATCATGAAGACGCAATTTCGGTTGTACTCGATACCGGTTCCTGGCCTAGTTGTAGTCGCTCGAAACGACGTGTGCTATTGCACAAACACCAAACTAAAATTATTGACTAGATATTACAGAAGTAAAATATAGCGGCGGTGCTACGTGCGGCCGCGCGGCCGTGCATACCGAATCGTAAGATCAAAGCACGCATAGGTACTTTACCCACAGCACTCCCACACTCGCATCTTTGGCTGTGCTGGTGCCGCACACAGGCGCAGCGGAGGCAACACTAATAAAAGTATAATAAATGTTACCAAGACACAGGCACAGTGTACGGTACTATTTGTTTGGAGGGAGGTTGAAGGCACTCATACAAGCGAGGGAGAGGTGTTGTCGCGGCCCGCCAGTTTACCGTTGCGAGGCGTGTAGTGCGGCCGGATCGGACCGCGACCCGCGCGCCGCCGGCACCCAGCTACTGCACTCGACCTGACTGGTCACCGGGACTCTCAGGACTTGCTGTGCCACGAGGGTGTTCATGAACTAACTCGAAACTTGTTCTGGAAGGTAGAGACGAAGTGCTACATCTCGTGCTTTATTCACTGGAGTGTTATTCAGATTCTGGTGGTTTATTGGATCGCTTTTACATCCACGAAGGTGAGTTTTAATATTATGACACTTATAAGCATTTTATGATTAACAATATCTATTATGTGTTCCTGTTTTGGCTTTTACCTACATTTATTGCTCTAACTGTAATTAACTACTTACTTTAGGTTAAGCACAGTTATAACACTAACAATATGCACCTACAATTTATTATATCCATTGCGCATGCTTACGATAAGGTATTTTATAAGCACAATATAAATATAAAGGCTTCAGATTTGATTATAAACGGAGTTCACGTGTAAGTTGTAAGCTGGTTAAGGAAAATAGCTTTTAAAACTGTTCCACCAATAAGTTTTAAGTGTTTCTTTTTACACTAAATGCGCCGAAGCTCGTAGCCGCAGACCAAGCGCTTCTGAGGAAGATTCCGATAATTTCGTGTCAATGAACACGAAAAATGTCTAAGACCTTTAGTGAAGACAATGCACTAACTTCAGCGTGTTTGTTTTGGCTGGTACATGTTAAAAAGGGTTTTATATTACAGGTTGCTTTCAAAACTAACATAATAATAAGCTAACAAGCTATTTTGGTATATCTTTACTACATTAATGTAATGTATATCCCATCAAAAACAATACTTGTCAAAAAAACCAAGTCTCGCAACTCAGTTGTTCTACGGTAAAAAGTTGTGAGATCCATGTAATACCAAGTCCAGGCCAGGAAATCTTTAACGTTTTACATAAATTATTGACTTGGCCATCGCACTAAATAATTTTATTTACACGTGTTTTCATGCGATGACCAAGTCAATATATTTATGTAAAACGTTAAAGATTTCCTGGCCTGGACTTGGTATTACATGGATCTCACAACTTTTTACCGTAGAACAACTGAGTTGCGAGACTTGGTTTTTTTGACAAGTATTGTTTTTGATGGGATATATCATTTTTATATAAATGGACAAATGCTAAAGCCTTTTCCAATAAATCAGTATCATTCAAGTTTTGCAAAGTGGCAGGCTGCAAGACACTAAAATTGGAAACAATTTCATTCATTCCAAGGAAACGCGATTTAAGTTGATTAATGATGATGTCTAATACACGATAGAATACGTTCACTTTAAACAAGCTTTCAGGATCTTGGAGACGTTCATCCTCACAAATTTCATCAAAATGACGTTTCACTTTTCTCTGACGAGTTTAAGGAAATTCAGGGTTTATAGACCATTTAACTGCAATACTATTTGCTTCCGTTTTTAAATCTTCAAATTCATGTCGATACTTTTCAAGTTCTTCTAGACAGACTTGCAAACGCTTTGAAGCATTTGAAAGATCGATGACTTTAGATTGAAGTGCTTTAGAAGCCGCGTCTATGGTTTGTAAGACTTTGCAATGGANCGTTTCCACCCTGTAGACCATTTAACTGCAATACTATTTGCTTCCGTTTTTAAATCTTCAAATTCATGTCGATACTTTTCAAGTTCTTCTATACAGACTTGCAAACGCTTTGAAGCATTTGAAAGATCGATGGCTTTAGATTGAAGTGCTTTAGAAGCCGCGTCTATGGTTTGTAAGACTTTGCAATAGAAAACCAGCAACATAATAAAATTGTAGTTCTCTACCTTCTTCTTTAGCAAGATAGCTTCATTTCTCTCATCTGATTTGGAATTTAATAAAATTAAAGACAAAACTTTTTTTTACTTAAGTAGTATGTGTAATAATAAATGTTGGGAATTGAGATTTCCTCTGACCGGGGGCCCCTTCGGGCTGGGGGCCCGTGGCATTTTGCCGACTTGCCACCCTATAGTTACGCCACTGGTCGTACCAGCTCACGCACTCTACAACTACTTTTTTGAGTGGACTATTGAGCGAAAGCGCATTAGTAAACTATCACGTGCGAGATCGAATGTGAAACCAGTGAAACTCATTTGTGCGATAGGACAAATATTTATTTGTAGGTAAATAAATATGAATTACAGATTATTGTAGAATTTACTTAAACACATTATTCAGTAGGTTCCTACATAAAACTGTCAGTGGAAAGTTCTAGACTATTAAAGAAAACTTGAACATGAACTCCTTTATTAGCTAAGTACTTACATATTAGAATAATATTTACAAATTTACTATTAGTGTATGTAAGCAAGAGTTATTAGGTTAATTAAACAATGGAAATATAATTGCTGATAGTTAAGTATTTGAGGACTTCGGCCATAAACGTGAAGTGTGATAAAAGGTACGGAACCAGGGCTTCGCGCCCACTGACCACAGCCATATCGATCTTACATGATTGATCATTAGAAAAAAAACACGTTTTGTATTATACACGTGTAGCGAGAGGCGTCCACTAGCGACTCTTTCGCGACACATGTGGCAGCCACTCGATACAAATCTATTATAGGTAAATAATAAATTTCAGCTACGATTATTAATAATGGCCACTGACCACACGGACCACAGACCATCGTCGTTTGTGCGGTTCCAAAGGAGATGGCGCGCGTGTCACACTGGGTGCCCGTTTGGTCGCGTTGCACAGATTATTAATAATATCTACTTCATTAGTGCTCATCTCGGCATACGAGCTCTAGAATTATCAATAATTCCCAATTTTGTAACATTTATTTCTCTACTGCTGCGCCCCTAGGATAATAATGTTATACAGGGTGGAATTTTGTAATGCCACCTGGAGGGAAAGTACTCTTAATACTGTAGACAGAAAATTATACTGAAAGAAAACATTCCTTTAATTTTGAAAAGAAAGAGAACTGCATTCATACATTTTCGAAAAAATTTCGAAAACTCACTACCATACCATACAATTTTCTGTAAATAATAATTAAGATAATTTAAGATTTCATAGTTTTCCTTTCATTTAATTTATCAAGTTTGTTAGAGAGATTTCATCATTATACTTAACCCTAACGATCGATGCAATACAAATACAGGGTGTAATTTTTGTCATATTTTAGTTGGTTCGATTCCCGGGTGTGGCAATAAAATTTTAGGAAATCTTTGAATGCAGTTCTATTTCTTTTCAAAAATAAAGGAAAATTTTTCTTTGAGGAAAAAATTCTATCTACAATATTAAAAGTACTTTCCCTCCAGGTGGCATTACAAAATTCCACCCTGTATAGCCTGAAGCCTTCCTCGATAGAATGGGCTATGCAATACAAAAATATTTTTTCAATTCGGCCCAGTAGTTCTTGTGATTAGCGCGTTCAAGTAAACAAACCTTTAAGCTTTAATATTAAGCTTTAATAGAGGCTGTTAGGTAAATGGTATAGCCGACATTAGCCTATGTTAACATTAAGAATATAAATAAATAGGTCCATAGTGTGTTGAAGTTTTTCATGTTTGTGTCGGCTTAATATACCATTTAACTAACACCCTGTAGATACCTATCTCGTCGCCATAGTATAAGCTCTGGTTTTGATGTGATAGTTGGAACAACAAAAACAGATTGAGATTAGCGACTTCGTACGCTTGGACCTCGTTATAACCCCTTAGGAGTGGAGTTTCGTAAAATCCGTTTTTAGCAGATTTCTACAATCTAGAAACCTACTTGCCCAATTTCAAGTTTGTAGGTGTTATAGTTTCTGAGATTTCGTGATTAATCAGTGAGTTGCATTTCGCTTTTCTACATTCAATAAGGCCTTTGTCCAGCAGTGGACGTCTTTCGGCTGAAACGAACGAACGAACAAACAAACGAACATTCAATAAACCAGTATAACAAATTATAAATACATATTTTTATATCTACGAGAAAATAGAACTAGAATGGTAGGTAATTTTAGACGCCAGATCTATGCCTCGGCGCGCCTACCTGCGCGTTATAGGTACACTATGTCATTGTGGCAGCAGTACGTTACGGCTAGCACGAAAAATTTTCGAGTTCGAATCGTTTAGGTATTCGAATCGCCATCAAAAGATTTAGTACAAAAACTACAACAGAGCCCTTGTGAACGTGTCCTAAAGTGAACTTAGTATGAGAAATGGTTGCACGAAACTTATTTTGAGAATTAAAATTGTCTCGTTATCGTTTGATTCGAAGGTTGAGTATCGAATTTTACCGAATATGCAAACGATTCGAACTCGAAAGTTTTTCGTGCTAGCCGTACAGGTGCCGCTGCCGCTGCGCTGATAAACGCCTAACGGTTTTGGTTACTTTTTACTCACGATCCTTTTAAATCCTATTTTAAGACGAATTTGCATGTACACTGAATAGGTACAACCTGTCGAATTAATTGCGTACCTGGCGGCCATCGACGGTACGGACGGGGCCAACTCGGGGAGGTGTGCGGAAGTGGGAGGGAGTCGCATTCCAGCGAGGCAGTTAGCTCGATCGAGCTGTATGTAAAAAGTAAAAATGTATGTCATTTTCATTAATTCTTATCCTTTACCGGAGGCGGGTGTCTGATAAAATAGTGAACAGCGTTATAAACAAGATGTGGTGCAACATTATGCAGAGGGTGGACCCGGTTTAGCTCGTTACTCGGTGAACCAACTACGAAGGCGTCGCCGACACCGGTGCCGTGTTGCGCCACCGATAAGCCGCTCAAAGTGTAACAGGTATGATATATGTCACGAAATCTGAAAAAGAATTGAAATTAATTGCTGGTAATTCACTTAAACATATTGTATTTTAGAATTTAACAAAACAAACAAACATTTTAGACTGTTGCTGACTGTAGGAAGTTAAACATATTTTTTACTTACTTTCCAGGTTTATCAATAAGGCCGCCATCGCGAGCTTGACAGCACACAGTGATGTACTCTTGGAGAGCACTCTGGTTGAAAAATACTGTTTCGATTAGTTCTTTATTCCCTGTAAAAAAATAACATGGCTAAGGGACAAGGCAAAACAGTTACAGAGCATTCAGAACACTAAACTTGTAATTGCATTTTACATTAAAAAAAGTACATTATGAACTCTTGAAGTAATATAGCTCTAGAGCTCTTAATGTAACTTTTTAGAAGCAAAGTTATTATTTCTTTGTTAACCCTTTATACGGCAGTGGGAATATAGTTCCCACTACCAAGATCCAAAAACATTGAAAAATTTGGACTTGTTACGCCTTTTAATGGCTTAAATAAGTTAATAAAGTGTGTGAATAGTAAGTGCATACCTATGTATTTTGTCAGTTTATTAGGAAGCCTAATCATATATTATTTTTGAAACTAACCTTGTGATAGTATTGCACTTATAATTGGAAAAGCAGCTCCTTGCCAAAATGAATAACATCCGTCTACCAATTTATTAGTTCGTCCTTGAAATCCACCTTCTACACGCATTTGGCGATTCACACACCATCTTAACAGGGCATCAATGTCACACAGAGCTGTTCTATTTAAGAGGGCTAGAGATGCCAAGCCACAAAATGCATATCCACCATGAGCTTCCATGCCAGGACAGCCAGCAAAACCACCTTCATATGTTTGGCAACTAACAATCCATTCAGCTGTTTTATCAAACAAGGCTTCTGTGTAAGTATTTGTTATTTTAGCAATGCTTATAGCGCAATATGCACCTCTTATATCCTGTTCACCACCTTTATGAAGGGCAAAGGAGCCATCAACTTCTCTTACTGTCCACAAAAACTTCTGAAGAGAACTTCTGTCTATGGAATCGTATGCTTCATCTGTGCCAATAATACTAAGCGCATTTACTGCAGCATAGGTAGTGCCAAGATGAGGGAATTGTTTTGGTCCACCTCCATAACCACCTTCTTCATGTTGACAATGTGACAAGAATTGAACAGTGTGTGAAAGAGTTTCAGCATCAGGCATGTCATTAAGCAGCCATAGTGAATGCAGGATCCAGTAAACTAGCCATGTTCTGCTGGCATCTAAGCATTCATAACTCTTAGGCAGACCTTTTAACCACGTCTTAAGCACAGTTATGTGAGCTTTCCTATTGAGTAATGGCAAATCTGGATCAATGGCAGCATTTTTCTCAAACTGTTTGTATAGGTTCAAGATGACAGCTTCCACATCAATCTTAAAACAACAAATACCTATGTTTTATTAATGTTAAAATAAGTGATAGTGATTGGTATTAATGAAATTTTAACCTTTAACTATGGACGTGAAAAAATAATCACACTCCCATGGACGTCGGGTCTCACAGACCCCTATCTAAAAATTCTAAAATACTTCTTATTTTTATATCTGAATTAATTTGAATTTATTAAAGAGTTGATATATATCTAATAACTATTAATAAAGGATTCAGTGGTAAATGTAATCAAATTTTAACCATCATTGAATTATTTTTTTGCAAATTTAAAAAACTTAGACAGTTTTCAGTGTTAATTGACTTGCCATCACATGTAGGCTCCTTGATTACAGTCGATTATTAATAAATGAAAGTAATATTTTTTTCCTAGCTAATTAATAACCATGTAACATAAAAACATGAACAAAATTTCTGAAGGACATAAATTAAAAATTTTGACAAGGGTTAAAGTTACTAAAATTATACACAGTGGCCTAGAACACTAAAAACAAACTATCTCTACAGGCATGTGTTATCTTTCTTTGAGAGCTTTGATAGACAAAATGTATACCATTCAGAATCGGAATCTGCAGCAATGGTGAATTCTAAGACATCCAAACTCAAAAGAAGAATTGTCTACAAGTAATACCTTACTCCTGAAATGTTCTTTAAATAGTTGGGCTAATAATATAGCTGATGTACTCAGATACTTTCTGCCATGAAGTATTCTTAAACTAGAGCAATTTACTTAAGATTACCTATAATAATATAATATTAAAAAAAATAGTTGACAAGTCACATCCATACAAGTATGTTTGTATGGAAATTATAGTCATCGGGTCTCCCAGGCCCGGACAAAATTTTGGATGGTTATTACTCACGTAATATGTGCCGGAAGACGCGATTTTATGCCTCATCGGTCTAAACACAGTTAAAACTGAAGCTACTGAGATGGTCGAGAGCAGCACGTGGCGGGAAGGTGTTTAAACCGAGAAATCGGAATGGGGGGTGGGCCTCTGAGACCCGACGTCCATAGTTAAAGGTTAAAAACAAATGAATGAAAATGAATTCCATGCCTTGTTAAAGAATAACAAATAAATACACTGTTTTGTAAATTTTAAGTAAAGATTTCAGTAAATTTAAACTTTTGTAAAAATAACAGTTTGAACTAGCCATTTACGAAGATAGGTATTTAATTTTATCAGAAAACTACTATTTATTTAACTAAAGGCACAATCACAGAATACAATTCAACAATTTAAAAAATAACAAGATTTCACATACCTGATCTGACGAAGTATCCGTAATTACACCTTCTGAAACGTATTTTTCTTTTGCTATGTCATTATAACATCTTACTTCGTTGTCCATGATCAGAAGAAGTTATTCAGATTGTAAAGGTAGAGGAGGTGTAAAATCTTGCAGCGTGTGTTATCTATAAATAATCGGTAACCTTTACTTTATTAATAGCAGCAAGCAAGAGTTATTTGTCAGACAGGTGAGCAGTTATTATAATCTCACAGGTTAGAAGTATGTAAACAAAACGTTGTACAAGACATCAATTAACACTAAACATATTGGTCGAAATAGTCAATATTTTCGAATAACAAATCGGCCAAAATTAGCTTACTTTAAATACATTAACTTTACAAGTAATGCCACAAAACTAATCTAATTTAAAAATTTTAAAATTTCTTCTTCACAATTTTACAAGCACAGTGGGTGTTATAAATGAAAGAAATGTCAATCAAACTTCAAACAAAAAATGACACTAACATTTTTTTTAGTTCGATTTACGACAAAGGCAAAGAAGGCATTAAACTATATCAGCCAAGTCTTCAATGAGAGTTGAGGACATCAAAATAACAAAGATTCGTATCTGTATACCACAGATTAGAGAGTATGCTGTATACGCCTTAGATTCTTGGTCTTAGGAGGTATACGCTGTCTGTGCTGCACTCCTGCACTGAGCCCCGATTGCGCTAATTTGTAATGTCTCTAAATTAAAATGAAGATAACAATTTTCTGACTTCACCATACCATTTATATGAACATGTTAACATGGGCTAGTGTCGGCTCATATACCCATTTACCTAACACCCTGTATATTCTATTATTTTCAATTAATACAGTGTGAGTACGTGTTCACCTCAACTTTCGTTGAGCGGCCTATAAATAAATAAGAGAACCACAGCCAACTGGTAGCAAGCAGAATAATATTATATTATCATAGAATAATCCTAGCGGAGTAAAAAAAAAACAAACGAAAGCCTCTGACCCACAGTTATGGATAGATCATGAAGCTACAGATAAAAATGGAGGCCACACTCCGAATACCTACTTGAAGCACAAACTATGTATCACTATCTCGCTCTCTGTGGGCAGACTCGCTCTTTCTAAATAAACAAAAAATATAAAATTGCTAAATTCAGTGAAACTCAATGTAAAATCTTTATTTCTTGACATAGGTATCATTAAAAATGATAAGTGTAATTACTGGTAAAACGTTTTAGGAAGAAATTACTGTAAAAAATGTGAAAAATGTTTACAATGATCCCATACCTTCTTCTTTAGCAAGATAGCTTCATTTCTCTCATCTGATTTGGAATTTAATAAAATGGTTTCTGTTAGCGCTTTTTGAACATCAACAAATCGAACCTTTAAAGCAAACATGGCATCAAAGCGTCCTGCCCATCTAGTTGGATTCATTGTTTTTAATGTTACTGAATTTGATGATACAACGGTTTCTCCTTTTTTGTTGTCAGATATAAAACTAGATAATATATTCCATCGTCTAACACTATGGCCAAAAAAATTATAAATTTGTTGCACAGTTTCGAATAATGTTTGTATTTCTATGACCTCTTTTACTGCATCATTTACTACCAATTTTAAATTATGAGCAGCACAATGGACATACACTGCATTTGGCTCTATATCTCTTATGAGTTTTTGAACTCCGCCATAAGTACCTTTCATGGTATTAGCTCCATCGTACCCTTGTCCACGGCACTTATTCAGAGAAATACTTTTGTCATTTATGGATTTTATTATCTGCTTGGACATTGATAAGGCAGTTTGATCCTTAACCTCATGAAATCCTAAAAATGACTCTTTAATTACGAGCGCCTTTGGAGTTCCAGTTTCATCTTTCTCGATTACACAGTAACGGTAAAGTTCACACAATTGATCTGTTTTGGAAATATCTTGAGTAGTATCAAACAAAATGGAATAAAACGGTGCGGTGACTATTTCATTTACCAGAGCATTTTCCACTTTTTGAACCAGAACAGCAATGAGCTCATTTTGTATCTTTGGACTTAAGTATTTAATCTGGCCCTTAGATTTGCTTAGCAACTCTTGTAAAATAGGATCGTATTTGGCTAATAACTCAACAATACTCAAAAAATTTCCTTTTGGACCAGAATCGTTGCCATATACCGTTTCTTTATGGCCACGAAAAGCTAAATTACAGGTTGAAAGTGTCAGAGTAACATCAAAGAGTCTAGTGAGTACCTGGCGCCAAAAATTTTTTTCTCTCTTGATAATGGACTCTTGCTCTTCATCTAGTGTTCCATGTAACTGCCACTGTCGATGTACAAAACAAGAATGCAAATGTTCTTTCGATGTCTCATGTCTTTCTATGGCTTCCACAATATGTTTCCAATCATCATAGCCTTCCATCCAAATATTTTGTATATTTTTAGATGCCCTATTTGCAAATAACCAACATGGTTCACAATATGCTTTTTGAAGCAATAGAGAATAGGACAGCCATGTGCGTTCTAACTTTACGCCAGATTTAGAAACAGTGTAATAATATTTATCTAAGAAAGATCTATTGTTACTATCCCTTAAAAAGGGGCCTTTTGGTTTACAGTGTCCGTTCTCGATCAACTGATGACGTATCATTATAATTGAACTCTGTTAGTAAAATCAGAGACAGTCATAACATAACACTTTAATGTAAAAAAGAGACAAAATAATAAACGCATCAATAACATTGTGGTCGGGGAATACTAAATCCTTCGGGGAATTCCCAGATCGTAATTTATGTAACGTTTTACGGCTCTGGCAATTAACTTATTGGCTTAAATTTACGATCGTCAATAATTTTTACAATTTTCTACTAGATTCCAAAAAATATTTTTTAGCGCATTGTATTGAGAAAAAAAGCGCTGAAGAGTTTAGAATTGCGCTATCTAGCGAGAAATGCACTATAACGGCAACACTGATTTTAATGCCGGCAGTATACCTACCTAGTCTCAGCGAGACATGCCCAGTGAATATAAATGTAAACCAATATACACATTTTTGAGGTATGTTTGTCCACACATGTTTCCAAAATTATTACGAGTAATTGGATTTTGAACATTCTTTCTAAAACTGGGTTAAATTTTTTTTTACCAATGCATTGAAAGTTTAATACATAGGTATATTTTTTTTAGTTGTGTATGCAACTAAGAAGGTAACAAATAAATTAAAGACAAAACTTTTTTTTACTTAAGTAGTATGTGTAATAATAAATGTTGNGCACAATGGACATACACTGCATTTGGCTCTATATCTCTTATGAGTTTTTGAACTCCGCCATAAGTACCTTTCATGGTATTAGCTCCATCGTACCCTTGTCCACGGCACTTATTCAGAGAAATACTTTTGTCATTTATGGATTTTATTATCTGCTTGGACATTGATAAGGCAGTTTGATCCTTAACCTCATGAAATCCTAAAAATGACTCTTTAATTACGAGCGCCTTTGGAGTTCCAGTTTCATCTTTCTCGATTACACAGTAACGGTAAAGTTCACACAATTGATCTGTTTTGGAAATATCTTGAGTAGTATCAAACAAAATGGAATAAAACGGTGCGGTGACTATTTCATTTACCAGAGCATTTTCCACTTTTTGAACCAGAACAGCAATGAGCTCATTTTGTATCTTTGGACTTAAGTATTTAATCTGGCCCTTAGATTTGCTTAGCAACTCTTGTAAAATAGGATCGTATTTGGCTAATAACTCAACAATACTCAAAAAATTTCCTTTTGGACCAGAATCGTTGCCATATACCGTTTCTTTATGGCCACGAAAAGCTAAATTACAGGTTGAAAGTGTCAGAGTAACATCAAAGAGTCTAGTGAGTACCTGGCGCCAAAAATTTTTTTCTCTCTTGATAATGGACTCTTGCTCTTCATCTAGTGTTCCATGTAACTGCCACTGTCGATGTACAAAACAAGAATGCAAATGTTCTTTCGATGTCTCATGTCTTTCTATGGCTTCCACAATATGTTTCCAATCATCATAGCCTTCCATCCAAATATTTTGTATATTTTTAGATGCCCTATTTGCAAATAACCAACATGGTTCACAATATGCTTTTTGAAGCAATAGAGAATAGGACAGCCATGTGCGTTCTAACTTTACGCCAGATTTAGAAACAGTGTAATAATATTTATCTAAGAAAGATCTATTGTTACTATCCCTTAAAAAGGGGCCTTTTGGTTTACAGTGTCCGTTCTCGATCAACTGATGACGTATCATTATAATTGAACTCTGTTAGTAAAATCAGAGACAGTCATAACATAACACTTTAATGTAAAAAAGAGACAAAATAATAAACGCATCAATAACATTGTGGTCGGGGAATACTAAATCCTTCGGGGAATTCCCAGATCGTAATTTATGTAACGTTTTACGGCTCTGGCAATTAACTTATTGGCTTAAATTTACGATCGTCAATAATTTTTACAATTTTCTACTAGATTCCAAAAAATATTTTTTAGCGCATTGTATTGAGAAAAAAAGCGCTGAAGAGTTTAGAATTGCGCTATCTAGCGAGAAATGCACTATAACGGCAACACTGATTTTAATGCCGGCAGTATACCTACCTAGTCTCAGCGAGACATGCCCAGTGAATATAAATGTAAACCAATATACACATTTTTGAGGTATGTTTGTCCACACATGTTTCCAAAATTATTACGAGTAATTGGATTTTGAACATTCTTTCTAAAACTGGGTTAAATTTTTTTTTACCAATGCATTGAAAGTTTAATACNCCTAGTTGTAAATCCAAGTAAATGACCTAGTTTCATAAAATAAAAACTATTTTACTCAAGCTTTTTATTTTTAATAAATGTAAAAATGCGTAGTTTTGCCAATACGTTTTCTTTCATAAAGCTAAGTCAGGTACCTAGTTTTGAAGATATTTCTAAACGGCAAAATCTCGGCCGTCGTATACATAGACTAGTAATAGTGTATACTGCGATCACTGACCTAACTTCTTGATTAATTGTATATTTCGACGTTGTACAGTGCACTCTGTCTTCCGCGATCACTGATCTAACTTGTTTTATAATTCTTCTACTGCTACTTTATTCTAATTAATTACATATTTGTTACTCGTTGCTGTTAATTACAATTCTCAATCCGTAAATAATTTCTTCTTTCTACCGTGTTCGTACTACTGTTCTCGTAAAATTATCGTAACCGATTGTTGTAATCGGATTACATGAAATCACTCGACCATGTATGTCCATTTGGACATATCGGAATGGCACGCTTTGACGAGCAACTTGCTGTATCTACTCTAATCCATATCTGTGCTCTGACCACAGATCCATATCTGTGCCTCTGACAGCTGAGTGACACTGACACATAACCTGCTGCTTGTCATTTCATTTTGTTTGAGGTTATGTTTTGAAACCTTTAGTGGGTGCATGGTATTTGTTTAAAAGACGTCTAAAATAGAAATTAGAACTGACATGAAGAAAGGTAAGAAAAATTTTGGTAGGAAAAATAAAAATGGAAACAAAAATATTACAAGGAAAAAGCAAAAGAGAGCATTTCCTGAAAAAGATATCCAAAACAAAAAGGCTATCTTTAATCGGTATAAAAACAAACAAAAAGTAGAAGAAGAACTTGCCAAGAAAAAAATTATGGAAAAGAAGTTCCTAGAAGAGCCGGTCAACTATTCAGAAAGTGAAGAAGAAGATACATATGGCCAATTAATATCATGTTTTACTAAGTCAGTGACCAAAAAAGTGGAGAGTGAAGAAGACAGTGATAATGAACACGAATTATCTGACAATGATTCGGTAAATAGTGAAGAAAACATGGGCCAGCCTAAAGAAACCACAGTTGAAAACATGGATGAAGACGAAGATGAAAATGAGGTAGATATTTGGCATACTTTTATTTTCCCCTTTTTACTCCATGTAAATAATAATATTCCCCATATAATATATAATATGTATATTTTATAACCTAGACATTTAAAAAATAAAAAAAAGTTTATTATCAACTTTAACATTTTTTACATTGCTTACATTGCATTGTTGTACATACATTTAACTTTCCAAACTATACAACCCTCTTCTGAATGAAATAATTTTTTAAAATGTGTTAGAATTTGGCCAATGTTTGGCCTTAAAAATAACTATGCCGATTAAAATACCAGGAATGTTTATTGTTTCATTTACTCAGTAATAGGTTTTGTTTTTATCTTGACATTCAATTTATTTCAGGTAATACTTGAAGATGATATAGAAACTGAACCAGATGTGCCAGATGATCCATTTACAAAACATTTACAATTTGATCTCGGAGATGAGCTACTTGTTGCTTTGTCTACCACTCCACCAACAGTGGACAAAACTGTGAAAACTTGGCCCGTACTTGGAAACCTAAATATTATTATCCCAAAACCTGTCATCACAGTCTCACAGAAGAAAATGCCTAAAATTTCTATTGCAGAAAATAAAACTTTTGCAGCTTGTGGGACAGTTCCTCGAACAATTTGCAATGTGGATTATAAAACACTTCATCTTAAAACACAAATACACAGTAATATAGTTTCATCAAACAAGAAAAATCTTGTCAAAAATGATTTAGATCTTCATGAAGTGTTTACACCTTTACAAAAAGAATTGCTTGCTGTAATAAATAATTACCAAGATCTTTATTATCCACATAGAAATTTTATTAATGCTGATGAAATTAGGTATACTTACTGTCTTCATGTGGTAAATCATATGTTAAAAACTAGGACAAAAATTTTACATCATAATGCTAAAATATCAAAAAAGTCAGACCTCACAGAAGAATATCGTGATCAAGGACTGGTGAGACCAAAGGTAAAGTTTTGGTTTGAATCAATTAAATTGTCTTACTCCTTAATCCTCATCATTTATTGATTTTCAATTGGATTACTTTTGCTACTTTAATCCTTATGATTTTTTCAGGTTTTGATAATGGTACCTTTCAAGGATGCAGCCTATAGGGTGGTTAAAACTATAATAGATATTTTAGTACCTAAGGAAGCTGGGCAAGTTGTAAATAAAAATAGATTTGAAGAGGACTTTACTGGTGGTGAACTAATTATGCCCAAAAAGAATCCTAAACCTGAGGATTATGAATTACTTTTCAGTGGCAATACAGAAGACACATTTCGTCTTGGAATGGCTTTGACAAAAAAAACTCTCAAGGTATAATGTTTAAATGTGATCTCAGTACTATCTCCAGTCACCTATCCAGACATGGCCTATTTAGACTATTTGTGACTGGTGTTATACATACAATATGAATCATCAAATCATCATTATTTGTTTCAGCTTTATACAGATTTTTATTCTTCCGATATTATAGTAGCCTCGCCATTGGGTTTGCGAATGCTTGTTGGAGCGGAGGGTGAAGAAGAAAGAGACTTCGATTTTTTAGCTTCAATTGAAGTGCTAATAATGGACCAAACTGATGTTTTTCTGATGCAAAATTGGGATCACTTGTTACATGTCCTTGATCACTTCCATTTACAGCCCAAAAAAACCCATGGAACTGACTTTTCTAGAGTACGAATGTGGTCTGTGAATGGTTGGTCGAAATATTATAGGTGAGTAGTAGTAATAACAGGATTCTCTTTGGAAAATCAAAGTATTTTTTATTGTTGTACAGTGCCAAATGAATATGTTGTCTCCCTTCAATGGCTTCTTTTGATTTTTTTTCAGGCAAACATTAGTCTTCTCGTCAGTTTCACTTCCAGAAATAAAGTCTATAATAAATCGGAAATGTCAAAATTATGCTGGTAAAGTGATTGTTACTAATCCTGTTGAAAATGGGTCTATTCAGCAAGTAATTTTACAAATACCTCAGATATTTCACAGGTAATTATAGTGTAATATAACCAATATACACTCGCGAGCAAAAGTATGGAATCACTTACATGAAGTTGTTTCCACGCAATCTTGTGTACTAACGAATTTGTTAGTAACAAAAAAAGTAGCACCATTTTAAAGATTAAACTTTTAACTTTAAATTGATACCAAATTCATTTAAATCACACCAGTATTTAAAAAGATATCCCGGCTGATGAGAAGAAGTAAGAAAAAAGACATGTACCAACTGTTTGATACGTCGCGAGTTGCGGCCTATTTACCCCCTATAAAAGCACGTGTTTTCGGATTTTTGCGTTCACACGTTGATCCATACACATCTCGGCTTCTTTTGACACTTTACCTGGGATTCTACACCTACAGAAGCAGCACAAATCGTTGCACTGTTGCAAGAAGGGCTCAGCCACCGGGCTGTCGCACGTCAGCTCCACATAAGCCAGTCCTGGGTTTCGAAAGTTTTAAGACGCTTTTGGGAGACTTTATCCCAAGACCAAGTTCTCAACAGCGCCGGTGCACATCGCAGAGGGATGACCGTTTTTTCATGTCAACCTCTCTATGAAATCGTCATTTGACTGGTATCGACGTCCAGCAAGAGCTCAGAAATGTTCGTAGGATAGCTGTTTGCGAGTGGATAGTTCGTCTAAGATATGAGCAATAAAATTTGACTCCAAAAAGGCCTGCCACAGGCTGGAAACTGACGGCAGGTCACCGACAAGCACGCTTTCAATTAGGTCGCACTCGGAAGGCGAGTAATGGAGGCGAGTTTTGTTCTCCGATGAATGCAGACTGTTTTTGCAGTGCAGCAGTCGAAGAGGTCGGGTCTATAGACGGCCTAGGGAGCGATTTGTGCAGTGCTGGTTCGCTAAAACATTGGCTTATGGGAGTGGCTTGCTCGACTTCCCATCGAGATGTGTAGGAGCAAATTGAAAGCGTGCTTATCGGTGACCTGCCGTCAGTTTCAAGCCTGTGGCAGGCCTTTTTGGAGTCAAATTCTATTGTTTATATCTTAGACGAACTGTCCACTTGCTAACAGCTATCCTACGAACATTTCTGAGCTCTTGCTGGACGTCGATACCAGTCAAATGACGATTTCGTAGAGAAGTTGACATGAAAAAACGGTTTTCCCTCTGCGATATGCACCGGCAATGTTCAGAACTTGGTCTCGGGATAAAGCCACCGGTATCCCGAAAGCGTCTTCAAACTTTCGAAACCCAGGACTGGCTTATGTGGATCTGACGTGCGACAGCCCGCTGGCTGAGCCCTTCTTGCAATAGTGCAACGATTTGTGCTGCTTCTGAAGGTGTAGAATCCCAGGTAAAGTGTCAAAAGAAGCGGAGATGTGTATGGATCAACGTGTGAAAGCAAAAATCAGAAAACACTTGCTTTTATGGGGGGTAAATAGGCCGCAACTCGCGACGTATCAATCAGTTGATACATGCCTTTTTCGTTACTTCTTCACATCAGCCGGGATATCTTTTTAAAAACTGGTGTGATTTAAATGAATTTGGTATCAATTTAAAGTTAAAAGTTTAATCTTTAAAATGGTGCTACTTTTTTGTTACTAACAATTTGGTTAGTACACAAGATCGCGTGGAAACAATTTCATGTAAGTGATTCCATACTTTTGCTCGCAAGTGTAGTAATAACATCTGTCTCCTCCTGCCTGCAAGTGTGGGTAATCACTTCAGTGATCGAGTTTGATTTCCGCGTGGCCCGTCAATTTTGTATTTTTATTTTCAATTATAGACTCGGATAGGTTCTCCATGTACAATAAGTATAGCAATGAAGTTGCGTCGTACTATGCTAAGTTAAAGTTTAATGCGTTATTCACAGATTTAAAGCCGATAATCCCTTGGCGTCTGCCGACGCGAGGTTCGAGTACTTCGTCAAAGAGATCCTGCCGAAGCATAGGGATACTCTAATGAGTCATACACTCATCTATGTGCCAAGCTATTTTGATTACGTCCGAATCAGAAACTATTTCAAGAAGGAAGATATCGGTTTTGTTCAAATTTGTGAATATTCTAAGGTAAAATATTATTTCAAATTAAATAAGTAAAAGTACAAGACACTATAATTTTTTATAATAATAATAAAAACTAACTTAACATTCTTATTACCTAGATTAGTGAGCATATTTCTTCTGAGTACTTAATGCATGTTTTGTTCCATATTAATTTCAGGATTCAAAAATAGCACGTGCAAGAGATATGTTTTTCCACACGGAAGCACACTTTTTGTTGTATTCAGAGAGAGTTCATTTCTTTAGAAGATTCCGGATGAAAGGAATAAGACACATAATATTTTATCAACCCCCTACTTATCCACATTTTTATTCAGAGATGTGCAATCTCATGCAGGTAAATAAATAATATTTATTTAAATATTGACTTTTGTGTTTTTGTAAAAACAGTTTTGTAACTGACAATAATTTAGCTCCTGGCCCTGCCCTGTTACTTCTGGATCAGTATTGTCTTTGTTCATTCTGATTATTCGTCGCGTTTTATACACTGACAGTTCAGTCGACAGGTATATCGTGTGTGTGCTGGCGTGTACATAATAAGAGTTTCGTTCCCAGGAGTCGAATCAGAACAAGTACGGCGGCAGCGAGTGCAACATGTCGGTGACGGCGCTGTACTGCCGCTACGACGGCGAGCGCGCGGCGGCGCTGCTGGGCGCGCCGCGCCTGGGCGCCGCGCTCGCCGCCGACCGCGCGCTGCACGTCTACATGACCGGCGACTGACGCACGAATATACTTCTAAATCCAAGTACATACAGTTTTATTTCATTTAACAACTCTTCGTCTGAGCTTTTATCGTCGACCTATTGCAAGTCCCTGAGGGCTTAGAGTAGGCGCACACCGTTGATTTTTCGTCGGCCGATAGTTTAGTCGGGCAGTTGATCAGTATGGGCATGTATGGGAGTGCGCACACTACGCCGATTCGATTTGGCCGATTCTTCATACAAGTTAAAATCGGGCACAACTATCGGCCAACTAAAAATCAACGGTGTGCGCCTACTCTTAGTGTGAGTTGACATCAAACGTCGTCACTAGCGAGCGCGCAAAAAAATATATTAAGATTTTAGTTCTAAAAAGTCTTCGCTAGGGGCGCTGTACAATCCGTCATACATCTAAAGTCACTTTTTTACGCAGTCGATGTCGAATGCGTTTGACGTAAACTGACACTGCGCTCCCTGCTCGTTGAAGTGCTTTGTGTTAAAAAACACTAAAAAAAAAACACTAATACCAGTAAAGATTTACTACATCATATATTGCATAATGGCGTATAAATAATGTCGATAGATAACTCCTATTTATGTTTAAGATTGTGTACCTATGCAGGATTCAGATTGAAAAATCATTTTGCTGATTTCTTATTCATTGACTTAGGTTGTTGGTGAGGTCTTGCAATAAGCCGATGATAATGTATAAATAGGTATACTGCATTCGAATATTGGTCCAGCCCCTCAGACAAGTGACAAAACGTGACAGTTGTATTTTCGAAATCGTATCATCCATACAAAAAGCCAGGGCAAACAAAAGGGATTTCGAATTTACTACTGTCACGTTTTGCTACTTATCTAGGGCTGACATCATTATTGGCACTAACTCGCGAGTGCCGGGCTTTACAGTGGCGCCATCCTGGTGAGTGCACAAAATGCAGTCAGTCCTCCTATCTCTTCAGCGCTAACTAGTTGGCGCCACTAAGCTGACAGGACCTTAGAGTGGCACCATATGGTGATGATTCATATGATAGTCCTCATTATTAACGCACTGCGCTAAATTTTTCATTGATTTGAACCTGTCTAAGGTTTTGTAAATGTAAGTCCATGTCTCAGATGACATGCTAAGCAAAAGCGGGACTATTCTAGTGATTTTTTTACACGTTGATCATGGCACGAAATCATAACAAAAAGTTGTAGAAAAACAATTTTAATATTATCTGTGTCTGTAGTACAACAATAAGAATACCGCTAGTTTGTTATTCCTTATACTTCTACACCCTCGTAAGTATGTTGATAAAAGGCTAGGGCTGCAACTCCGCCTCGACTAATAACTATACACTCTACACACTTTCATAATCACCATTCAATTTACATAATCGTAATAGTAACAGAATTAGCTGAAATAAGCTTAATAATTTTATTATTAAGATTATTTATCTCTTAACACTGAACTTAACTAAGTCTATAAATAAAACACATTTGTTTAATTCGTTACACGGTGAATAACATGAAATATTTTATGGTTTGAGAACAGCAAAAAAGATTAGTATAACCTCTCTAAGGGAAACAGCATTATACATACATTATCTTCATACTTATTTGAATAGAAGTTGAGTTATTCTTCTGCGATACAGAAAAAATGCATAACCTATTTACGTAACTAGCCGGTGGACTTAAGTACCAAACAAATTTTTGATTTTGATTTTTTTTGATTTTGATCGTAAAGTACCATTCAAATGCAGAGATTATGCGCTCGACATTAATGTCGAGCAGTAGAGTGAGTGCTTTTAAAAGCACTCACTCTACTGTGATGACAATGACATATTAATTCGTGGACACACATTTTTTATTATCAAGGACGATACAGTAACAGCAGTTAGCTTTGTGCGCTAGCTGCATTTATAGTTTCTTCATTATACCACAGATAAAATTATACCGAAGTAAGATTACGCTCCATTAAATAAATAAAATATTGTATATTTTTTATTACATAGGTAGGTACTATACTTATCAATTAATATGTTATTTACTTAAATAATATGTTGCGTTAATTTCTAAGTTTCATATTTACTTACAGAAAGCATACATATTATCTAGATCTAACTAGAATCTGCCTACTCATAGCGTAGGTGGTTAAAAATAAGCTTTTAGGTCCTGAGCTGCGTAAAGTTACTTACGATTTTACAACGATTCGGTATCGTTGTTACTTATGCTTTAACTAAAACTAGGTACCTACCTAAGTTACTTCAATCTATTTTTTTTTATCAAACCCATTGATCTTATTAATTTTAATAAATAGTAAGTACCTATAATAGTAATTTTAAGTATGACTATGATCTGAGCTGGGAGGTGTTTCATGGATAAGTTTACGTACATTAAGGCCGTTAAGTTAAACTAGGTTGGTGGCGAAAATGATCTTGTCCAAGGCATAGCGCATTACTGAGTAGTTAGGTGAAGTCCTCTAGCGAGGCGAGGCGATGCTAGAGAGGTGATATCTCGCGTCACGTTCTACGTAACATAAACATACCCTAGCACCACCCTACCATTCACTACCGCTGTTCAGCTATTGGTCTGCCACGAAATTCCGATCGACCAGCAGATCAAGCGCCGCAAGTGGAACTGGATTGGCCACACTCTCCGAAGGGACCCCGATCACATTCCTAAGCAGGCTCTGGATTGGAATCCCCAAGGAAAACGCAAACGTGGTCGACCCAGGCAAACTTGGCGGCGCACTGTAGCGGACGAGGCGAAGAAGATCGGCAAAACCTGGAGCGAGATCAAGCGAGAAGCTCAAGACCGAACGAGATGGAGGACTGTTGTGGACGCCCTCTGCCCTATCTAGGAGACATAGGACCATAAGTCAAGTAAGTCAATGTGAAGTCCTCTAGCGAGGCGAGGCGATGCTAGAGAGGTGATATCTCGCGTCACGTTCTACGTAACATAAATACACCCTAGCACCACCCTACCATTCACTACCGCTGTTCAGCTGTTCAGGAAAAAAATACCTGCATTAGTTAGTGTGCTCAGGATGGATACCTACAGATGAGTTTCTTAGACTTTGATAGTTCCCGTATTAACATAAACCCCCTTATTAATAAAATAGTGATCTAAGCTTTATTTAACGCCAAGGAAAGGCCTACGTACCTACTTCATGGTAGGAACTGCTTACTCTAGTCACAAAGATATGTTTAGACCAAGAATAAGTAGATTACCTACCTAATTCACTACACGCGATGGATTTAAGCCTATGTTATTAATTTAGCGCAATTATGTAATTAGATATAAAACTTTATATACTTTTTAATCTAACAAGATACGATTGTAACTTGATTGGTGTTTCTGTTTCAGTTTATCAATAAGTTTTTAGGGTATTAAGTCTTAAGTTTTTGACCGTACGCATCACGATATTTGCTACGTTTTTTTGGAATTGCATATAATTACTTTTAGCGTTTTGTTCGAGGGTCATGTAATGTCGCCGCTGTCGCCGCCTACGTCACCCTCAGTCGAGTCGAAGTAATTGGGCGTTGAAGCGTTACCGGCCTCTAAGATGTCGCTTCCTGACGATGGGGACTCGCTGAATTCGGACCCGTTTGAGTAACCCTCGGTGATGTTGACTATTGTTTGTTCTGTAGCATTTTCACTCACTGTGGTATTGCCTCCTCCTGAAAAAAAAAACATTTGCATTTAGAATCGAACTTCAGACGTTAAAACTCAAGTTTCAAACTTCCTAGGTTCTGGAACAGCATCCATAGCAGCGACAAACCATATTCTAAAAACCGTTCTTTGTCAGAATGAAATACTTAAGTATAATAGAGGTTTAAGAAAATAACAGAGTGAATATAATTATTTGTTATAGTAGAGCTTTAAAGTTTTGATGGTTGAATGTTGATCTACCAAGCTATCTACCAAGACGGAGCTCTACTACTTAGTTGTATGTACATTTTGTCTAATTAGCTGCGGTTGGGCGCCATTGCTCTCTCTAATATTCATTCATTTGTGATTAAAAACAGTTTAGACAAGAATATTTACAAACACTTAGCAAAAGCTGTGCAAAAATATCTTACAAGTGTAGGTGTGCAACGGCGGGATTACCTACGGGTACTTTTGTAAAATAAATGAGGAAGGACCATCGCATCATAATCCTTCGTTGAATAACATAGGTAGGTGTAAGTCAGTAACCAATATCTATCATAATTATCACTTTATTAAGCTTCCTAACCTTGCCTCATCCTGGCTGAAGGCGTTAACCAACATGGGGGTGCTCGGCTAAAATGAAGTAGAGCCCTTCAATTTAAAAAAAACGTAACGTTTGTACCTACTTGTCTTCTGGGTATAAATAAATCATAAGTGGGTATGTGACTAATGACTATGTGAGCAAACAATAGGTACCTCCGTACCTATTACTACTTTGAACCTGCTTGATTACGAATACGTTTGCTCATTCCGCCTGCGCTATTCCGGGCAATTCGCTCGAAATCGTTTGGTGATTTATAACTTATAAACATGATCAGTGAACGGGCTCTGGGTATTGTAGCGATGGTGTAAGCTACTGCAGTTAAATTTAGAACAGCCGCAGCACTCAGCAAGCGCAGCGCGCAAGCACTTAAAATTCAGTCTACATGAGAGAGCTCGATCCAATTCATTCAAGTGTTCCAAAACATTGTTTGAATTCTTTGAAACTACGTGGCCGAGCGGATATATTATTGGAATTAAATTATCATTCAAGCTTTAAAACGTATTATCCTGTTCTTAATTGTTTAAAAATAGTTCTTTGCATAGGTACTTGTCTGGAACTAGCTTACTTTTTGATTGTGTATTATTATATCAAACACTAGGATTACTAATGTTTGGCCAAAAAACGTTTCCCAAATTATCACATCGCAAACAACGTTTCGCAAATTTTCATTTGGCATTAAGGGTCACTATTTCTAACCTAACCTAACCTACTTTTTTCTGTAATACCTACTTTTTTCTGTAAAACCTACTTTTTGCAACCATACTATTTCCTGCAATGTTTTACATAAAATTCTTGTGAAAACCATGATCATGTGCCTTATAATTTTATTTTGTGGGTAACGGTGGGTAAGTATGTGAAGTGTCAATTTGACCAAACAAATTATTTGGGATATAATATTTGGCAACATAAAACATTTGCTATATAAACATTTGCCAAGTAAAATTTGGCCAAATGATAATTTGACCAAATGAATTAGTTGCGAAAAGTAGGTACAGTTGCTAAAAGTTCATTTGGGAAATGAAACTTTGGCGATAAGTTGTTTGCGAAGTGAAATTTGGCGAAAAGTAATTTGGCCAAACGGAAGGATACCCAAACACTAATTTAACAGTGTTGTACAGTTGTTGCATTAATTTGAGCCGTAGACTCATAGGCCAGTAGAATTAGATTTTAAATCGGAAATAATTCCTACAAAAGATTTTATTGCTTTAATGGCTTAATTGGTTGCCCATTAAGACTCTCCTAGGTTTTCGACTTCGACGGAGTTGTGCTTAAGTGGTGGGGGCCCCCGAAAGGGGCGCTTTTTAGGTTTTCCGGTTATACCGCGTAAAGGACTTATCCTATCGAAAAGTGGTCTTGCTGACGGTTGAAGGGCATTTAATCCTTCATTAAGTAAGACCAAATTCATATGTTTTGGACAAACCGTTCTCGTGCAAATGTTCGGCAAAGTAGAAAATATGTGTATAAACCAGTGTAACCCTATCAAGGCTTACGGCTCAGCAATGCAATCGTACAGGATTTTGGGGCATCGAACCTTGGACCAGGCATACGGCTAAGCATTACAGTCGTACAGGAGGGTACAAGGAAGAGGGGGAACCATAGTAGATAACACAGTGTCGTTCAGGAGAGTGCAAGGAAGAGGTGCAGCAACCGCAGTTAAGGATCGGCTGGGACGAACAAGGATAGGCGAATCCAACTCGCGAGCCCTGACAGGGATACGCTGGTTAAGGTGGCCCTTTCTTTATAAGGCTTGCTTGGGAGCCTGCGGGTGACGAGCTATTGGACGTAGAGAGGGTTATTAACTAAACGTAAATTTTCTACTTTGTCGAAGATAAGCACGTGAACGGTTTGTCCAAAACATAATGAATTTGGTCTTATTCAATGCAGGATTAAGTACCCTTCAACCGTCATCAAGACCACTTTTCGATGGGGTAAGTCCTTTACGCAGTATAACCGGAAAACCGAAAAAACGCCCCTTTCTGGGGCCCCCACCACTTAAGCACAACTCCGTCGAAGTCGAAAACCTAGGAGAGTCTTTATGGGCAACCAATGAAGCCATTAAAGCAATAAAATCTTTTGTAGGAATTATTTCCGATTTAATTCATTTTTGTGTTTAATTCTACTGGCTTATTCAGACTGCATAAGATTGGTAATTCATTTATGGGAAAATGTATTAAATTCTTTAATAAATTACCACAAACTGTTGTAGAACTACCCATTGACCATTCATAAATTCAAAGCACATATTAAAAGTACCTTAATGAAAAAGGGCTACTATAAAGTCAATGATTATTTAAAAGATAAAAATGTTTGGGATGCGTTACTGCCTAGCTCGCATAAATATTTATAGTTAACTTTGTACATTTTAAAGCCTGTAAACCTTTGAAAAAGAGGCTGACAATAGTGACTGAGTTTCTTGCGCTGCTTCTTCTCAGCACTGGCCCATTTATTGTCCTGAAGCAGTGGTAGGGTTAATACTGGGACGTGTAAAAGTGCTTTTTTTAAGCCTATTCACAGAAATAAATGAGTTTTATCGATTATAATTAAACATTAGAACATTCACGTTAAAAAGTTCGTAAAATACCTACCTACTTATTTTTATGATTTAACGTGATGAAATCGAGTTTTAGATTTTCAAGCATAGCCTAAGCGCTTCGCGTTTAAGGCATGCAAGATATTTTACGCTCCTATCTAAATTAATCTTTTTTTATTTCGGTCAGATAGGCGTTGGAGCGCGGGGCCCCCAAATTCGCGGGGCCCGTAGCATTTGCTACTCTTGCTACGTGGCTAATCCGGCACTGGTTTTGTAGAATAGCTCAAATACCAATAATACTATGCAAATAAAACATACTTAAACGACCTGGTTTTTCTTGTGTTGTAAAATAACTGAAAAAAAAAGTGAAAAAAGTCATGTTTTCTCTACTTAAATCCTTTCTTAAAATGTATGAAACTTGTGTCTGTCTAAAACAATAGATAATTTTTAGTAGCTTATCCCTTAACCCATGATAATAAAATATTTGCATAGTGTTAAGGTGCCCACGCTGTGAAGTATTTTCATCCATAAAATTGTTCATAGATTAAGTACGCCCTTAAGGTTTGGTCACAACATGCACGGACACTAATCTGGGGGCACGGCAGTGCCCCCACCAAGTCGAGCAAAAAAGCGGCACGGCCGTACCATCCTTTTCTCGAAGCAATTCAGGCCATTTTCGACCGCCTGTAACTATGTTGTGGATAAAACTAGAAGGCTGAATTTTCATTAGCTATGCAGGCATTGTAAAGACACGGTATATTTAAAATTTCATTCAATTTGAACCAGTACTTTAAGAATTATAACGGGTCAAAGTTACTTAATTTTGTCACTCACTGACTCACTGACTGACTCACCGATCATCAAAATTCTAAGGCACTTCTAGCAGACCTAGAAGCTTCAAATTTGGAATATAAGTAGTGTTTGGTGTATGAATCAAGGAAAAACTAAAATATTTGGGGGCACGGTAGTGCAACCGCCAAGTCGAGTAAAATTTTTCAATTTCGGTCCAGTTTTCTAGATACATAACTGCTGTCTACAAAATACAAAAAGAAATGAGATCCCATCAAAAACAATACTTGTCAAAAAAACCAAGTCTCGCAACTCAGTTGTTCTACGGTAAAAAGTTGTGAGATCCATGTAATACCAAGTCCAGGCCAGGAAATCTTTAACGTTTTACATAAATATATTGACTTGGCCATCGCATGAAAACACGTGTAAATTAAATTATTTAGTGCGATGGCCAAGTCAATAATTTATGTAAAACGTTAAAGATTTCCTGGCCTGGATTTGGTATTACATGGATCTCACAACTTTTTACCGTAGAACAACTGAGTTGCGAGACTTGGTTTTTTTGACAAGTATTGTTTTTGATGGGATTTTATTTATGTATTGTGTACCTACTTGATACCTACCACTTTTCAAAACATTTTCATTTTGTTTTCATGTTGTACAAATAACTTTATTACTCCAAAATCAAAAGACTACCTTTGTTTTAATTATCGGAACATGAAAGATACAAAGCTCTGTTTGGGACATGATAGTAATTAAAATGCTGTAAAGTTTACGTCTATCGTCGTTTACGTTGTTGTATACCGGAACGAATCCACTCAAATTTTATATTTTATCGATCGTAAATGCCAAAGTGAATATTGAGGTTTATATTTTTAGAGAGATTCATGAGGTCCAGATAAAAGTTGTCAACCAAGTTTTAATTTTAAAAGGTTTTCTTCCACGAATTTTCTGTTACCTGGCTACCAAATGCCTGAAACCACCAACGAATAAGTATTGGACGGTTTTATAAAGACAGAAAACATCCCTCTATTCTAGTCTTGTCATGATAACTATAATAAGTAGGTATGTAGGTAGGTATTTGAACATCTATCAAATATCATAAGTGCCACTTGTGGTCTAAACTGAATAAATATTTTTGATTTTGTTTTATTTTATTTTATCAATAAATACGGGCGCGTGTAAGTAGCACAGTAATGACGTGCACCACAGTAACACTGCGCACAGGGCTACGGTTGCTTATAAGCTACCAAATCGTATTTATAAGGCCGAGTAAAAGATTAGACAGACATTATTAATTAATGATGAAAAAAAAATCATCATGGCTGATTGCAGGATCGCTAAGAGGATAAATACGCAAGGTATTTTTTACTTGTAAGTGTAACATAAATCTACCCCTATTTTACAGCAAAATGTGTTACCATGTAAATATGAGTAATTATTTATAACACAATTATTATTATATTCTTACATAAATACTATTATTTATTGTAACTAAATAAGGTAACGATTGTTATTGAGCTGTGTTAGGTAGCTAATAAGTTTGGAAATAATTGAAGTAGGTATGCAAGTGAGTAAGGAAAGCGTGTCGGTGGTGTGACCTACCGGTGTAGGGCATAAAGCATGTGGGCATTGGTGTTGTGCTGGTTTGCTTCTCTACAGTGTGTGCCACCTTGCGTTGCGCGTATTGCGCGTCCTTGGGCTCCCAGAAGAACACGTAGTACAGCGAGAGCATGATAGCGGCCAACGACACGCAGAACACGTAAATGATGACGGTGAGCACCCGCACGCTCTTCTTGTCGCGCTTGCGCTCGTACAGCGCGTCCAGCACCACCTCATGGCCGGTGCCCAGCCGCGCCGAGCCCGCGCACGAGCGCATGCTGCCCGACGCGCACGACTTGCCCGACATGCTGCCCGACGCCCTCCGCCGAAATGCACCGCGGCACTCGCTCCGCACTAAATCCAGGTAACTGGGACACGCTTATTGATATGCCCCAGTTCGGACGATGCGCCGCGGCCGAGTCGCGACGCCGGGTCACGCCGCCGCCAGTGTCTGCTGCTTGACACCTCCTGATGCGGACTGCTGCCACATTATAATCGCACCCGAAACGGTTTTCATTTGTTTATCCTTTAATTTCACGCCCGAGGTTCGTTGATCTATTCCAGTTGCTCTGACGTAGCCGTACGATCGCGATTCGTCTGTCATGAATGCGTCCTTCAATTTTCATTGTTTCAGTTTAGGTTTCAGTAGGTAACGTGATTGCACCGAATTCAAAACAAGATTATTATTCGTAAATTATGTTAAGAGATCGGGCTAGTTGGTGTTTTCCTGCAATCGAGTTCGCACACAACACTAACACTTTCGTATAAGTAGGTACAATCTGCGGTTCGGATGTCGGTGCGTGACGGGTGTTATTTGTGTCAAGTGAGGTCGCGAATAACAATACGCAAACAAAGTTAATCCAAACGAGGGTGATGCGTTATTGTGACAACGATTATTGGACGGGCGTCGGGCCGAGAGGCAAGGCGGGCTGGACGCCGCCGGGCGGCGCGGCGGCGGCGGGCGGGCGGGCCGCCTGCGGCGCGGAGGCGCGCGCCGCCTTCACTAGAGATGGGTTTCCACCCGGGTAAAAACCCAATAAAAACCCGTTTCATTCCACCCGTGGGTGTTTATAGCGGGTAAAAACAAATAATTTCATATTTTTATCAATTGGTATCTTTTCTTTCTTTTTATTGATTTTTTCTCATTTAAGTTTATTAATTATTATGTACTAAGTTAAATATTAACACTAAATGCATTTATATCGTGACCAAGTCGTAAAATTGATCACGTTTATGATGATGTGACCGATCATTTCATAAAATAGTGTTATTTCAAGAATCGTTGAACCGATTTAGAAGAAATGTAGTAGGAACACAATAATTTGTGATCATGGCAAGGACAAAGGACATGATACCAGGTTAGGGGGTAGGCGATTGGAGGGTGGGGTTGCAAAACTAGACGGTTTTGCATGTTGGGGAGGTGCAGGAGACTTCGTACTAGAAGTTTCAATAGGGAGTGCTGGGAGATTTTGGGCTGGTTAGAGTGGGCGCTGCAATGGTGGGGTGGTGGACTGATATCCGTAGGAGATCGAATACTTTGTTAAAGTTTTAGCGAGGGGGGGGGGGGGAATTAAGTTTATTTATCTACCTTTATGATGTCGTCGGTCCACCTTGTGGGTGCCACCGCGTTTTCCGATACGCGGCCTCCACTCCAAAACCTTGCTGCCCCATCGGCCGTCACTTCTGTGCCTTGCCCATTGCCACTTCAGCTTGCTAATCCGTCGGGCTATGTCAGCGTCTTTAGTTCTTTTACGGATCTCCTCATTTCTGATTCGATCTCTTAAAGAAACACCGAGCACAGCACTCTCCATAGCACGCTATGCAACTTTGAGATTCTGTATAGGCCTATAGTGAGAGGCCACGTTTCCGAACCATAAGTCATCACTGGTAACACATATTAGTTGTAGACCTGAATGAGGTATTTTGGACGAAAAGATGTTGCGTGGTTTCCCGAACGCTACCCAGCCGAGTTGGATTCGACGATTGACCTCTTTCTTGAAATTGGACCTACCTAGCTGAATCGTTTGTCCGAGGCAGACATACTTGTCAACTATTTCGAGGATTGAGCTCCCAACCGAAACTGGGTAGGGCGCAACATGGACATTGGACATAAGCTTTGTTTTGTCCATATTCATCCGCAGGCCTACCTGTTGGGAAAGTCTATTAAGGTCTTCCAGCATTGCCATGACCACAATATCGTCAGCAAACCTAAGATGAGTGATGTACTCGCCGTTAATGTTTATGCCGAATCTTCCAATGCAGCGGTGAACAGTTTCGGAGATATAACATCTCCCTGCCTAACGCCTAGCTGCAGAAGAATCGCCCTCGTGCTCTGGTCCTGTACTCGGATCGACATGGTGGCGTTTTTGTGCAAGCACTTCAGTACCTCGATATACCGATAGTCAATACGGCACCGTTGTGGAGAGACTGTAGCACTGCCCAAGTCTCGATAGAATCGAAGGCCTATAGTAGAATCAAGTAATCCTGAAGAGTTTGTTTGTTTGTTTACTTGAACGCGCTAATCTCAGGAACTACAGGTCCGATTTAAAAAATTTTTTCAAAGTTAAATAGCCCATTTATTGAGGAAGGCTTTAGGCTATATACTAGTATATACCATCACGCTACGAGTAATAGGTGCAGAGCGAAAATGAAAAATGAATATTTAGATGCAGTGTATAGTGGTTTGAGACCCAGGGAAAACATAGTATAGTTTATCCCAGAAGTTTTTGAAGGGAGATACGCACACGATAAAGACTTCTGTAATAGACCGGGCGAGCACGGCTGGTAGTTGATGCACTCACTCGTGAGAGCTCTATGATAGTAATCGTGTCGGCCCCCCCCCCCCCTCCCCCGTGCCTTGGCATTTCAGGGGCTAGGTCCCCTGGAAAATAACCCTAGATACGCCAGGCACAGCTAGTAAGNCCCGTGCCTTGGCATTTCAGGGGCTAGGTCCCCTGGAAAATAACCCTAGATACGCCAGGCACAGCTAGTAAGTATATAACTTTGGCACAGTTGCTCTGGTTTGTCAGCATAAGAGCTTTTACAGGCCAAGAAGTTCAGCTGGTGATGCCAAACTCCCTCTTTGAGGACATTACGGTATAAAGTTACAAATAACAACACCGACTAAAAGTACTTCTGCGTAAACACTTGAAATCGAACCCCCTTCCGCCCCTGTAACGCATCGTAACGTTATACAAGACCCCCTATTCAAATTGCGTTACGTAACACTAGAACGCCCCCTTAGCAACGAATACAACTTCTCACTATAAAAAAATGCTATTTTTGTTTTCACCCACTAGAATGGGTGATATGAGTAAAAACCGAGTTTTAACCCAAATCACCCAGTTTAAACCCAATCGGGTAAAATGGGTTTTACCCACTACCCATCTCTAGCCTTCACTCGTCAGCTTGCTTTTTGCCAACTCCAACAGTCTCAGCGCAAATCGATATCAACACTCCTTGCAAATTTCCCGCTTTTTATTTTATTTATAACTATTCTTATTTCCGATTCTCCTTTGCCTTCCGTCTTTATTTCATGGTAAGGTTACTGTGCCCACGACTTCGTACGCGTGAAAATAGTTTGAATAATTTTCGTAGTTTTCGCAACATTTTTCATTAATGCTCTGCTCCTAATGGTCGTGGCGGCGTGGTGATGAATGCATATAGCCTATGCTTCCTCGATAAAAATAACAAACAAACTTCAGCTTTATAATATTAGTGTAAAGTACCTAACCTATAGATTTATTTTATCTTACGCTTTCCATGATAAAATAAAATTGACTTTTGTTTTGATTTCATGATGTTCGGTTCCTACTATGTAAAAGTGTAAGACTAGAGTCTTACTTTGAGTAGGTACCTCAAAAGTGGTAACTCATGATACCTATTCAATTAAAAATTCCTCAAATATGAGACAAATCCAAAGAATTTAACCTTGTTAAATTCTTTGTAGGTAATTAGGACATACATAATGCAAGTGTACAATGTATTTTATTGCAATAAATAAATAAATAAATAATGTGCGAATACTCGTACAAAAAAATATCCTTGTTAGAAAGTGGCCAGCAGAGCAGCTTCCATAAAAAGTTTAGAAGATACGCTTTTTATTGGAACCTTATTCTTTGATTTGATGTAATTGTATTGTACCTCTTACCACAGAATAATAATAAGTACTACCTCTTACTTGATGTTAATGCTGTAAAAAAATGTAATTAGCCCCTCTACATTTTCAGGAAAGAGGACAAAGTAATATGCTTAGATCATTACATGCATGAAATGCCTCACATACTTATCCGACGGCTTAACAAATTATATCTACTGAGTGACGTAGATTGACTAATCGACAAAACACACGTGGGCGCAGAGGCGCAGTTAGGTGAATCGTAATGCGCGCAAGGGGTCCCGGGTTCAATTTTCGATCATATTCAAACACAAACACAGCTTTTGGTTTGCATTGGCTCGGATCTGGACGTGATGGATTACAAGCGTTAATAATGTTGTATTCGTTTCCTAGAACTAATTTGATAATAAGAGGATAGAGCATCGATTTCTATGACAATTAATGCATGCACAAGCCATAATATGTTTTTCAAAGCCTACCTATAATGTACTTATCAAATTTGGTAAGTAGGAGGCACGGCAGGATGACGTAACCAATAGAACAAGGTAGTAATTGATGTTCAGTTCTGGACACAATTGGGTTAGACAGTTAATTGGATTACAGGAAGGAAACCCCTCGTGTCAAATCTAATGTTCATATTACCGTTTCCACTAAGCATGCTACTTTTGCATAAGTATAGTAGGTACACAACATAGGTAAGTACCCGCTTTTTGGACATCTATTATGGATATCTGTATCTAATTATGTTGTTATTTTAATTAATGACAATAGGCTTACCGACACCTGTTTGAGAAGCTTAACAGTTACGTTGTGTCTAGTCTAGGCAGACAATAACGCAGGTATATTATCAAACATAGGACAAGGATGCGTGGAGTGTAACCTAATCAAAATCATTTATTTATCATTCATGAAAGTAAGTTTCAACAAAGCCCAACATGGGCTTTTCATTTTATGGCTGTTGAACTTTGGTTAGACTAGTGTAACTCGGAACCGCGATAGTTTTTCCTAAATTAATTAATTTGTGCAAACAATTTGACATAATTTAGTGAAGTAGTGCAAGCAAGTTATCGTATAGGGCCATTCACAACGTTCGTGGGACGTCCTCGGGCGGCCCTCTCGGCTCGGCTAGCTTCGTTATGTCGTATGTATTCTTTGTCTTGTCATGTCACTTGTTATGTCGTGTCTATGTGCCAATTAAAAGACAACCAGACTACAAAGGACCCCGCTTCAAATACGCACCATTGAATCCATTAAACAGAATAATAATAACTACAAAGGACCCAAGACGTTAATAAAACTGATTGCAGCTTTCTAATCTGCCTCTAATCCTCTATCCTCTTTAATTGCTTTACCAAAAGTGTGATTTAGTAGAGTAGCGAATGCCTATTACATATGCCAGTTAACATTACATACTCGTATTATCTAAATTATGGCACCATAACTGGAGTTCCAGTCCCGCCCGGGAAAGTTTTTTCTGCAACTGACACAGACATTAATTCAACATCAAATAAAAAACGAAGTTATTATTACCTTAACATGCTTGATTCAAAATAAGCTTAGGTGTTTGCTCACTTAACATAACGTCTTTATGTAAATATACAAGTATGTCTTCATTCTTACTAGAGTTTCCTAGTGATAAATTGGATTTTTATAAGCCACTTTCTTTCCTACTGATTTTATACAATGTTTTGTGTCGGCGTATATAGCCTTCGTTTCGTTCAAATTAAATTTGCCCTGATTATAACGTCTAATACATTAAATATTACATAACTTAATCTTATATAGTTTATGGACCCGATCGTAATACTTCAACACGTTTAATTTGCTCCTTTGTACACATAATAATTGTTTGAAGTTTTTAATCCAAGTCGTAAGGACCTAATAAATATACCTACCCTATCTATTGGTTTTAACTGTGCATATTATAGAATCATTATCACATCGTTTCGAAATAATTAGATTTTGATTACAATTTTACAGAAATCCAGGTAATTAAAAACCTCGAAAAAGTGCTACTCGAAGTTTAGATGACAAAAAAAATAATTGTCGCAATGGTAGAGCTGCTCTGAAAACGAATGTTGATTCAATGAAAGGTGTGTATTGTAAATTAAAGTATGCAAAAGCTGAAACTATTAAATACTTAAGTAATGCCATCCTCAATGTAACATAATGCCATTATTATTACTGACTGTATGGTCGTTGGATTGAAGGAATTATTCATAGAGTAGGAGGAAGGAATGACAATAATATTGATGTTAGTACCCTCAGAATATAGAATGGAATTAGTACCTACCTATGCTAGTGTCTGGTCCACTATAAAATTAACACTTTCCCGGACAGTAACCCAGACACAATAGAAGTTTAATGTTATGACGGCTATTAATAGCAGTTCACTGTCCAGGAAAGTGTCCTGCAAAATCTTGAAAACAACTTAACTTTTCAGAAACTTATTAAAAAAAAGGTAAAGCATATTATGTTAATTAATTCATTGCTCTGTCTGTTGGTTGATCCATTACATTCCCTTGTGCGAGTGTCACTTATCATTTTCATGACTTACATGTATTGTATAATCTTAATTCGAGATTTAGGAAAATTAAGTCTTTACTTACCTGATCGTTTTCAAGTTTGGGAGTTGGAAACTAGAGGCACAAGCCACAAGATTTTTTACATACGCACTTTAACCAATGTTACGTACCAGCTGCAGCAGTGAAGTTAAAGCTGGGTGAGCCGGAGCCGGAGCCGAAGAGGTGCGGGTCGGCGCGGCGCGCGGCCAGCTCCGCCGTGTCGTCGAGCGGCGGCAGCTCCGGCGACTTCCACACGCACACGTAGTACACGGACAGCAGGATGGCCGCCAGCGACACCGACAGCAGGTACGCCAGCACCGTCAGCACCCGCACCACCTTGCTCACGGACTTCTGCTCGTAAATATCGCGGATCGGCGCGCCCATCTCCTCCGTCGCGCTGTCCTCCTCTGTCTGAGCGCACACCGACATCGTGCTAGGTCTGGATTCTGGCTCACCTACATTATTTTTCCAAATATACTAAATCACTTGAAAAAGTAAAACAAACTTTGTTTATTTGTGAGCGGTGAGTGGTATTCGCGTATGAGGCGGGCGGCGAGTGCGGGCGGCCGCGGTCGCGTCCACCGCGCGCACTGCTCCGCACTAAGCCGATCAACTACCACACGTCACGGATTTACGAATGTTCAATTTTATGCCCTACCGAAGATTCTCCCTGGTACTACAGAGATGTATGAAAATTTAGTTACATGACGGATGGACAAAAATAAACCTGTTAACGAGCGAGCCAGTAAAATTATCTTTTCATGGTTTATTTATTTGTATTTCAAACAGCATAAAATTTGCGTAACTAAATAAAACTTTCTATCAGAACTAGATGTTGGTACCTATAATAATATGAAAGAAACTGTAGTTAAGTAACAAAGCTACGTATATATTTCGTTGCCTACTACAACGCGCAAGATGTGGTTTCGGGTTTGAATCTCTTTAGGGCACATGGACATTAAACATTTATGTTTAGTTTAAGTAGGTACCTAACTATTATTATTCCAGTTTGAGCCAGGATGTGATAGGTTTGGAACAATTTATTAAATCCTTCATGTCATGCTTCAAATAGAACACACTGCGTTCCGTATTATTTAATTTGTAATGCATATTTTTTATTTAAACAATACTAGAGAGTTTAGTATTTCTAAGTTACTTGTTACGATATTTTAGGAACTTTGAGGAGTTGTGGTGAATAGGACAACAGCAGGGAATGAACTACCAACCTTCAAACCGGCCTGTCCGAGGCCGACACCATTAAGCCATAAGGAAAGCTTAATCTCTAAGATATTATGTAAAATAATGTGACGAAGATATAGACATATAAAACTAATCTACTTACATTTTAATTATGGTAATAGTATTGCAATAAAATGATAGAATTGGTATCAAGGGCATTTACGGCAAGTGGAAAAATCCTGTGGGACAACTAAGTAATGAGATAGAGGCTAATACTTAACATTATGTTTTTCGAATTAGGTTGACTATGTAAGGTACTTGATACAAATAAGGCCTACCTAACTTTAAATGCTTATCTATATATATAAAAATGAAACCCGTTTCGCGTTGTCACGGCATCACGTGTGAACGGCTGAACCGATTTCGATAATTCTTTTTTTTTAATGTTTGTGGAAGTCCAAGGATGGTTCTTACGGAAAAAAATATTAAGAAAATCTCTACGCTAAGGCGGTACGAAGTTCGCCGGGTCAGCTAGTTTTTTTTATTTTCTGTGCTGTTAGTAACATTCTTATTAAATAAATATTTAGTTACTCTTTGACTCATTTAGTTTAATGAATTTGTCCGTAATCAGGTGTTGACATAAGTATCCAATATGGCCTACCATGCTGAAATAAGGCCTAGGCCTTATTAGATATCTCGCTCTTGTTGTCTTTAAAAATTTACAAATAATGCATCTATAGCCAGTAGTACAAATTAAGGTAATTATTAGCCAGTAAGAAATATTTAGAAACGATTACTAAGGAAAGATTAATCTAAAACAGCGTTATTTTACCGAAAATTTAAGATGAAATCGCCAGATTTTTATAAGAGAGCACGAAATCACCCACCACCTTAGAAGAACGCGTGCCAATTGGTGCTGGGATCGTGGATCGGGACACTCTTGCACTCTACCGGGTTGTAGGGCATATGAGTACGTGTCCTTGAAGTATTATCCCGGTTGGATTTATTTATCTGTGTTTTCTGATGTATAGGCCTTATTAGAACGTAGGCCTTATTTGTATCAAGTACCTTACTTATAGACCTGAGTTCTACAAACCAAAAGTTATGTATAGGCAGGTGATGTTTTTTGCTTTGTTTAAGATTCAACTTAGAGACAACTCTCGCCACAAAGTGCCACAACTGTGACAACTTAATTAAGTATTTAGTGAATTTGTATTTAATATTATCAATTATCAAAATGCGTTAAAGTCATTGATTAATTTTATTACCTAACATTATGTTACTTTACAATATAGACGTACAACCAAGTGTAGAACAATTTTCCGAATTCGCTTATGTTACGCCCACAGGAGCGCTGGGAGTTCGTCCATTAGGGATAATTGGATGGATATAATAGAGTAGCGGGCAGTGAAGAGCACTGGCTGCGGGCCGGGCCGTCCCCGCCACAATCAATCATGCTCGCGACAAGCACCGACACCAGCCCTACACAGAAGGGCTCTGACAAGCAAACATCTTTACTCTATTTGGGGTCACGTACTATGCAAGAAAGTTGAGTAGGTATGAATCACACAAGGGTTCCATCCATCCATACCCTTGAGATTCCCTGCAGACTAAAGACTTTGTTAGCCGGTAGCTTGATCGGCTAATTTGTATGAAGAATTTAATCGACCGTGTTCATACTGTTAACTGCCCGACTAAACTATCAGCAGCCGCTAGGTAAAGTCTTTACCCTGCGAGGAGACACGCCTTTTCTCATCCCCTACAACATCGTCAACATTCATTTAGATCTTGGTTTTTTACAGCGCTAATCAATCGTGGACGATATCTATAGGTATTACACAGATAGGTAATACTTACTTCTCAATTTCAAACGATTCCAGGAATAGCGTAGACGCCAAGAAGTCCATAAAAGGATTTTTAATTCGGTTAGGGGTTTCATTCTATTCCGTTTGAACTTGCAAATCCTAAGAGATAATCCTAGTGATTTCAATTATCTAAGGCAGTTTAAGATTATCTACAAGATTATCAAAGAATTTATATTTACAACTAGCTGACCCGGCGAACTTCGTACCGCCTTAGCGTAGAGATTTTCTTAATATTTTTTTCCGTAAGAACCATCCTTGGACTTCCACAAACATTTAAAAAAAAGAATTATCGAAATCGGTTCAGCCGTTCACACGTGATGCCGTGACAACGCGAAACGGGTTTCATTTTTATATATATAGATAATCTACTGATTAGAGAAAAACGTGTTTAGCTGATAGGCAGTTTTGTATGATGTAATATTTTGCAGTATTTTGCTCGTATGATTGACCCTTCTGTATTTTCAAAACAACAATTTATCTTTTTAAATGTAAAGGTAATAAGGTAAACTATACATACATAGGTAGGTACGTTACATAATTACAAAAACAATCTGATTATAAAAAAAACATGATTTAATGTATCTTAAACCAAAAACCAGTCATAATAAATCACTTAAATTAATTAAATACAATAAACAAACACCTACATAACATTTCATAAATCATAATTTACTCTTTTTCTTTTCTTGTAACTTTTGTCTGAGCACTCGCCGTAGTATCTTTCCAGATGGATTTTTGGGGATAGCTTCCACAAATATCACTCCTCCGTGGAGACGCTTCGCTTGCGATAGCTGATGAAAGAAATTTTTAAGAAATTGAAATAACAACGTAAAATTTTACCAGACTATAAAGAACTATTATTATTATAACTTAAATATAACAGGAATGAATCTTTTGTGTATAAAAGACAGATCGAAACAAATATTATTAGTGATAGAGCCTATGCTCTATCACTTATAATATTTGTTTCGATCTGTATCAGCGCATCTATATGCGCTATATGATTTTGAATAAACGTTCCAATTTAAAATTTCATATATGCAGAGACCACACAACGTCGACATTACCAATGTTGAAGGAAACGCGCTAAATACTGACCCTCGTTGCAGCAAAATCAATGATGTCCTTCTCAGTGGCGCGGGCGTTCGGCTTGAGGACCACGAAGGCGGTGGGCAGCTCGCCGGCCTGCTCGTCGGCCGCGCCCACCACGGCGCTCTCCGCCACCGCCGCGTGCTCCAGCAGGACGCTCTCCACCTCCGCCGGGGGCACCTAAAAATAAGTAGTATTTATTACTAAAAGATGTGCATGTACATGTTACGGTCAAAGTGATAAATGTGAAAATTATGAATAATCGCCGGTTATTATGAATAATTTGGTAAATGTGATTAATATGAGATCATTTATGTGTGTATAAAACTAAATAGGCGGCTTAGGGGTGGCCCAAGGGCCACCCCCGCCGCACCTTAACCTATTTTTCACTTTAAATCAAAACATTATGTTATAGGCATCATGGAAAAGTAATTTTATGCAAGAAACATTCCAAACTCATTATGCCAAATTATATTAATATATGATATCAAAACGTTCAAAATTATCACTTTTACCGCGACTGTCGGTAATTATTCATAATAACCGGTTATTATTAATAATTTTCAATTTATCACATTAACCGTAACATAACATGCAATTATTTATTCTGGCGGTCTTTGCACTAAGCAAGAAAGCTTGTATCGCCGCGGCCAATACGAACAATTACCTGCATCCACATGTTCACTTATAGTCTGTGACTCCACGCGCATTAAGACTCATTACATAAAACAATGTTCTTAGGTATAATAGGTAAGTAGTGTAAAAACACCACACGCTTTTACCCAACTTCCGGGAAATTAGAATACCTGCTTATGTACTACGTAGTTAAAATAAATTATTCCTTTAACTACGTTTTTTGAATTATAATTAAAATATCATCATTATCAGCAAATTCAGTATTTTTAACACTGACCATGCTACCTATAAGCACAGCTGGGCAAAAGACCGTTAGGCTAATTAGCGAAAGTTAACATTTAATTTTGTTTACGTACGGGTATGTTCGTAACGCAGCACAGATTATAGATGATAAAATGTATTTTGTCACGCGTTTCCGAAATGTAGGTACTCGTAGGTACGCTTTAACTTTAGCGATGTAAAAGTTTAGTGGGTTAGTAGCGATAATTCACATAGTTAACTATTTCATTAACAGCCCCAACTCCACATAAGTCACATAATATTGGATCCGATAATAATAGTATCAATAAATAAAAGCAATTATAGAGACATTGATAAATATCAAATATTTACCCAAGATATTATCATAATCGGTGACAGTAATCAGTAACAAATATCTTCAATCATTTATCTATAAAAGATACCTAGGCATGTAGGCATGCGCGCGCGTATACAGTGTGTCCAGCCAGGACATGTAGTGATCAAACATCAAACTTTAAGGGCGTGATCTATGGACAATTTTATCGACGAAAATACTTCAAATCTAGTGCTTGACCAAATTGCAAGGATTTAAGTTTTAAATTTTTAGTCGTTATAGGTACTCGTAGTAGTAGGTCGTTAAAGCATTTTCATCGATAAAATTGTCCATAGATCACGCCCACCCTAACTTTAAATTTTAATCATCCTACATCCCCGGACACACGTATAGCGGACGGGTTGCCGGGTGGGCATGACCCACCTCAGGATGTTGGGCTACCGATTTGAAGACGATAGTACCTACAAGTACAAGTACATTTATTCAAATCTAAAGTCAGTTAATTGATTAGATATATTCGGTGTCCAAAGTTCTATTGAATATATCTAATCTAAATGACTTGCCGATCATGATAATCATACCTTAAATATTGTACATAATATTGTTATCTAATCAACATGAGCCGTGGTTAAGTAATTTATATCATTATTTATAATAAGTCACCTAAATGGTTCTTTTATTGCGGAGCAATCAGCACCATATGTAGGCGCCAAATTTACCCCCCGCCTGAAATAAGCTCCTCAAGGCGGGATTATGGAGAAACGCCGTTCGCATGTACTCCGTAAAAACTAAAACTCAGTAAAACTCATTTATTTCTGTAAGTAGGCTTTAAAAAAGCACTTTTACACGTCACAGTATTAACCCTACCACTGCTTCAGGACAATAAATGGGCCAGTGCTGAGAAGAAGCAGCGCAAGAAACTCAGACACTATTGTCAGCCTCTTTTTCAAAGGTTTACAGGCATTCAATATTCTCCTAGTTACTATCCCCAGGGTGGTAACTGGTAAGTGATATAGGAAATTAACATTTACGTACCTGATGGCCCTTGTACTTGATGAGCTCCTTCAAGCGGTCGACGACGAAGAAGCAGCCGTCCTCGTCGTAGTAGCCGATGTCGCCGGTCCTGAGGTAGCCGTCGCCGTCCATCATCTCGCGCGTGGCCGCCTCGTTGCCCGCGTAGCCCTTCATCACGAGCGGACCCTTCAGGCAAATCTCACCGTTCTGCCTAGCGCCCAGAGTTTTGCCTGTCTCTAAATCTACCACCTGAAAAATAAAAACACATTTACCTAAGTAATTAATAAACCACAAGATTTTCTCATCGTTAAACAAATAATACCTAGTTATAAAAGTTTTAAAAAATAGGATACATAGCGATTTATCTCACTCAACTCTAAATTGAGAAGCTGACTGAACCCGAAAACGCATTCTCACCTTTGCTTTCACGCCCCGAACAGGATAACCCCCACTTCCAGGTTTACTTTTTTCTATATCAAGATCTGACGTCGCTAGCAAAGATGTCTCTGTCATGCCGTAACCTTGGAATATTCCAAGACAACTTGGCAATCTGAAACGAAAAAATGTAGAGTTAAGATTACTTATTAAAGAAAAAATAGAATGTGTTAAGAGTCCCAGACTCCCAGGCATATTCGCATATCTTACTGCTTCTTGGCGTCGTTGATGGTCTCAACACTGAGCGGCGCGGCGCACGGTGGTCCCGATTTAATAAAACATGGACATTGATGCTAGAAGCACGAAATTTTTTTTGATGGTTACTGCTATGATAACTAATAAGGCAAAAAAATATTACAATCCTACGACGTCTATTTCGTAGTAAAAAAAAATATGTAGATATTTTTTGTATGGAAGAAATTACGTTTCTGTAAATTTTTCGAAATTCTTAAACGATGTCAAAATGCCGATCACACATGTTATAAAACAAGTGATTCTGAGTATTTCATGCGAAGATACTTGTCACTTATCTCTGCGTACTTTTGAGTTATCGAGGGTTGAAAAATCGATTTTTTTATATTAAATATTTCCACGAAAAATTGCCAAAATTACAATATGGTGTATAAAGGGACACCTTTGATGACACATAACAACGACTCACACTCGCGCGCGCTCGTATGCATCAGCTTTTAATAAAATAAAATAAAAAATTAAGGGAAATACTTAATACAACATTGTATGTATAGGTCCGCTGGCCGTCAAAAAGTAGCTTATACGAGAGGTTGCCCAATTTACAATATGTCCATCATTGATTACTCACACAAATATCATCTCTCTCTGAAGGATAACAAGTTTTTTTTGTTTCCAGAAGCTTTTGATAGGATGGAAGCTCATAAATACTCTCTGAAGTGAGAATGACTGTGACCTGTAACACAGGTATTCATTTACCTAGCTCAGGCTCCGGTCTCACACAATCATTAATGAGTTTTCTTTAAATATTGTAGTTATATTGTATCCTGTAATGAATCTCAATTTGCGATATTGCCATTTTGACAAATTACATGATGTAACTAGCGCTAACGTTTATCTTCAGGTAGACACAGTTTTAAGTTAAAAGATTGTCTACAATTTACACTGGTTTTCGTTTTGGAACAGTTCTTTGATTATAGGTAGTCACTAATTTCGTTTTGTTAGACTCTTTCGGTTTAGCAAATAAAGCGTAAACTAATTCCTCCTCAGAATGATCTAAAAGTGTTAGAGAGCGCCTCTTCTTCTGCAGAAGAAGAATTTTGCATAAATCTTCAAAAGGTTTTTTATTTACAACAGAAGTCGATGGTTGCACATCTACTTCCGCAGTCTCATCAACTGGAGCGTCTTCCTCGGTGTTAACGTTGTCTATGCGTTGTGTTAACTCGGTAAAAGAACATTTTTTAAATCTAATTTTTAAATTTCGGCCAGACCATTTCAGACTAAAATGAGGAACGTATTGGCATTGAATTGTCTTCCGAAGATTTGAGTAATTATCAAATCATTAAGTCGTAATTTTACAAGAAATATATCAAAGAAGATATGGTCTGCTTCCAGTAGAGCCCAAAAGACATTTTTGCACCAGAATTCGCATTGGCTAGACTCTGAAATTGTCTGGCCGAATTGTAAAAATATGTTTTTTACCGAGTTAACACAACGCATAGACAACGTTAATACTGAGGAAGACGCTCCAGTTGATGAGACTGCGGAAGTAGATGTGCAACCATCGACTTTTAGTCCCTTGAAGACCTTGCAGAAGAAGAATTTTGCATAGACCTTTTGAAGATTTATGCAAAATTCTTCTTCTGCAGAAGAAGAGGCGCTCTCTAACACTTTTAGATCATTCTGAGGAGGAATTAGTTTACGCTTTATTTGCTAAACCGAAAGAGTCTAACAAAACGAAATTAGTGACTACCTATAATCAAAGAACTGTTCCAAAACGAAAAACAGTGTAAATTGTAGACAATCTTTTAACTTAAAACTGTGTCTACCTGAAGATAAACGTTAGCGCTAGTTACATCATGTAATTTGTCAAAATGGCAATATCGCAAATTGAGATTCATTCTCGCTTCAGAGAGTATTTATGGGCTTCCATCCTATCAAGAGCTTCTGGAAACAAAAAAAACTTGTTATCCTTCAGAGAAAGACGATATTTGTGTGAGTTATCAATGATGGACATATTGTAAATTGGGCAACCTCTCGTATAAGCTACTTTTTGACGGCCAGCGGACCTATACATACAACTTTGTATTAAGTATTTCCCTTAATTTTTTATTTTATTTTATTAAAAGCTGATGCATACGAGCGCGCGCGAGTGTGAGTCGTTGTTATGTGTCATCAAAGGTGTCCCTTATACACCATATTGTAATTTTGGCAATTTTTCGTGGAAATATTTAATATAAAAAAATCGATTTTTCAACCCTCGATAACTCAAAAGTACGCAGAGATAAGTGACAAGTATCTTCGCATGAAATACTCAGAATCACTTGTTTTATAACATGTGTGATCGGCATCTTGACATCGTTAAAGAATTTCGAAAAATTGACAGAAACGTAATTTCTTCCATACAAAAAATATGTATATATTTTTTTTTACTACGAAATAGACGTCGTAGGATTGTAATATTTTTTTGCCTTATTAGTTATCATAGCAGTAACCATCAAAAAAAATTTCGTGCCTCTAGCATCAATGTCCATGTTTTATTAAATCGGGACCACTGTGCGGCGCCGCACAACACTATCCACACCGACGACAAGTCGTACTTGCTCACTAGTGGGGACTTCGCAAGAAACACCACTATAGGTGGAACCGCCAATAGGATATTAATCTGCAAATACCATAAAAAACCATTTAAAACACAATTTCCTGTCAAAATTACTCGAGTCTTTTTAACATTATATTTTAGCGTTATAAAAGTTAAAATTCCGTGGAGTGATAATTTTATACTAAAATATGCAACATAATAGTTTCAAATATCTTCAAACAGTAGAGATGGTTTTCATTAAAGCATTGACTTAATAAAGAACAGAAATAAGTAAAAGATAAATATAAAGTAGGTAAAGCCCGGTCCGTGAGCACGTAGAATTTTGTCCAATGACCCCAAGCTACCCATCCCTATCGCTCGCGCGTAATTATGTTGCTATCGCGCTCGCACACTCACTGCGGGTGCCAGTCGCACAGTCGCGACAGTCTCACAACTTGGGGTCATTGGACAAAATACTACGTGCTCACGGACCAGACTATAGGACTAAAAAAAATCTAATCTGATACAAAGTTGATGTTACTTTACCTTGTATTTTTGTATAGCGTTCAAGTATTTATGAGGGTTAAATCCCGAAAAGTACACCAGCCGTCTTTTTGTGATTAAATAATTTATCGTAGACATCAATCCGTACGCATGGTACCATGGCACTATAGTTAAAAATGTTACATCCTCTACTGCATTTTTAGTATCTCTGAAAAGAAATAAATTTTAATTTGGATTATGCTATTCTGAAAGAAAATTTTCATCAGAAATTGTTTTTGTTTTACTCACACAAAATTAGCTGCAGAGTATAAAATGTTTAGATGCGTCAGCATTACGCCTTTGGGCAGGCCAGTGGTTCCCGAGGAGTACAGAATGTAGGCGGTGTCGGTCCAGCCCTGCACCTCCTCCGCCTGGAAAGCGCGCGCGTCCGCGGCCACCAGCACCCGGCTGTAGGGCACGACCCCGGCCGCGGCGGGCGCCCCGTCCAGCTGAATTATTGTCTTGATGAAAGGCAACACCTTAATCGTCGAATAGTTCAGTTTCATCGCCGCTTCTGAACTGATCATTATATTCGGTCGTGATATATTCAATACGTGTATCATTTCATCTGAAATCAAGAAAATTAATTCAATGTAGCATTAATGTAGGCGACAATATAGCCCAACGGTGTCGGTACCGGACTCGATGCCGCGAACTCACTCACTCGTGACACTCGTAACACTTGCAATATTTTTAGTTAAATGTAGTATAAAAAAGAAAATATCCGGAGCGGAAATAAGTATTGATGCAGTCAAGCAGATATAAGAGTAGATAAGTATGTTAATAATACTGCTCGAAAAGTTACCTATGTGTGTCAATATGTATTTAATCTAAATAGATGAATCTCATAGCCACAGATAATCCATAGCGTACTAGTCATTTAAATTAATTATATGAAATCAGTCAAGCAAGGTAGCACTACCTTTCGTGTAGTGAATGTTGAGTGGCGTGATGGTGGCTCCACAGCAGACGACGGCAAGAGCCGCCGAAATGTACTCCATCTTGTTTTCGCTACACAAGGCGACCACATCGCCGCGCTTCACCCCCAACTTCTTCAATCCTGTGCCAAAGTTCACGATTTCTTGTAACAGTTGGTTGTAAGTGATTTTCTGATCAGTTTCGCCATCGATCTGTAAACATTTGAGTTGTTAGGCAAGCTTAATTTTTTAAGTTCTAATGACAATATGCGCGGATTTAATACACTATACTAGTACCTAAGTACCAAGTGGGAGTGGGCGGGCATGATGTGCATGGCCACAACCAAAATAGAGACTGGTGACTGGTGGTGGTCAAACTTTTACCATAAACTCAAAATTTAAACGTTTAAATTTAAACAACTCAAATTGTTAAATTAAGATAAATTAATAAGTATGTATAGAATTATTCTTTTGAGCCGCAAATATTATGAATATCGGTATAAAATAAAATGTTTTCTCAATTACATATTACAAACAAACTGAAATGCATCAACATTATTGAAATCTCTAATTTCTCTACTAGCTTTTTCCCGCATCTTCGCCCGTGTTAATTTCGGTCTGTCAAAACTCAAGAATGTGTTTAACATCTCATCTTTATTCTGTAAGTAGCCTATGTTTTATAAGGTTATGGTGAAAGAATTTTCCAAATCTGTTCAGTAGTTTCGTAGCATCGGCATCGGAGCCTATTCAATACAAACATACAATCAAACTTTTCCTCTATATGTATTGAATTTACAACATTAGTGTCGACTAAAAATACTAAATACCTAAGTCATGCAACATTATTATTCTAGTCTTAAGTATGTTTACTTTCAAGATATGTACATAATCTATGAACTTTGTACCTACTTTGTGAAGACACAACACGTGAGGTGTTAAAATAAACATCAATAGTTGTGTTCAAAAGATTGTCTATCGGGTGAAAAAGTGGGTACATGCTAATGAGTTTTTAAATAAATAATTGTAATAAAGGTTCGGCCAAACCAACGCGATCAGCCGGCGTGCAGTGATGGCGACATAAATGCATTGAACGTCATTGCTGCACGCGGCACGCGCACGCCGACGGCGTGTGATCGCGTTAAGATTTTAAGAATACAAATCATGGAACTAAGAAAAGGGGCTGTTTGAGTTACGGACGAACGTTAGGACCACTCAGCTCGGACTCGGAGTGCTCGGACAAACAAATGGACACAGAAGAAAAGTAGGTATTTAAAGATTGCTTCACATTTATATGTACCTACCTATAGTAAGGTTCTAAATAAAATAAATCTAGATATAAAAAATAATTTCTGTACATAGTTACATACCAAAGCCACATTATTGCCTTCATCGGTATCTTGATACTCGCGTAATTGATCCAAAACGAACTGACCAAAAGACAAGTGGGCAGGAACATCGAACGCAGGTCCACCGTGCACAACGTTGTTTATTATTGACACCATATTGAACACTTTCTAATTCTTACTGGAAAGAAAAATTAACACATTAAACCCCTAAAAATTTAGTTTATTATTGATAAACCTTTTTTGAAATCCCGTAAGAAATTTTTCGCTGCAAGAAAAAGATTCTGAAAGCGGTTTCATATAAAGTCAAAATGTGCGAAAAAATAATTAATCCAATTTACTGACGGCTGTAAATTATTTTCCTGAAGTTAGATCGTTGATAATAAATTAATTTGTTAAATAAACTTCCTCTTTCCAGAAATATTGCGTACAGTCTTTATTAGAATACACACCTCCGCAGACCGCAATATAATAATAATAAAAGATAACTTACTTACTTGCTCGATATTTAACTTACTTAACATTTGTGCTCAAATAATTTGTTGCAAAGATTATTTTCCTCATTTATTTAAAAGACGCGAACGCGATAGCTTCTTCGCAAAACAACGTCGTAACAATAAACCATTTACTTAAACATCTATAAAACATCAGATAGGATAGCATGTTTCAAGATCATGATAGATTACAAGCAGATAAGATAATATTGAGTGGTGTCTTTTGAGGTTCCGTACAATTTTAAAAGAAAAATTTTAAAATAAAGTTATGTCAGTTTTGGGTAATAGCTTATAGCTTTGCAACATCCGTAAGGGGCCATTCATTTATTACGTAAGACCACAGGAAGACGATTTAGGGGGGTCGACCATGTCATATTTTTTCTTACAAGGGGGTGGGAGGGAGTCTCGATAGTTCTTACGTAAAATTACAAAAATGCGCAAAGTTAAAATTTGAGTTTTGCTCGGATGCGTGGTAAACGATTTCCATTTCCATGGCAAAGGACCCGCGCTACCCGCACTGCGCCTCCCGGGAATTCCCTGCTTGTGTACTAGCGTCAAACGTGTTTTTTTTCCTTTAGATTCTTACTTATAAAATACTAGCTTTCACCCCCGCGGCTTCGCCTGCGTGGAATTTTGTCTGTCACAGAAAAACTTTATCGCGCGCGTCCCTGTTTCAAATACCGGGATAAAAACTATCCTATGTTCTTTCTCGGGACTCAAACTATCTCTATGCCAAATTTCATCAAAATCGGTTGCGAGGTTTAAGCGGGAAAGCGTAACAGACAGACAGACAGACAGACAGAATGCTTCCGACTGCATTTGCAAACACTAAGTCGTCTTTTTTCTATATTTTCTGTTTATTTTTGTAATATTTGAATATTCGAATACATGTTAATTTACTATTCGAATACTAATTTGAAATTAAAAATTCGAATATTCTAATATTCGATTGCAATCTCTATTGCATCAGAACTTTTGCTGATATAAACAACAGGTTTGTTTATTAGTAAACGCCCACAGTGAAGCGCTAATGTCGCTTGCGATAACAAGTGCGGTCGCTTGCGATAAAATGCATGTGTCGCTTACGTTAAGTTTTAGAAAAAATGTGTATTCACGATAATTTTAGCACTTGCTGTAACTTTGTAACGGTTTTTTTTTGGCGGGCAACACCAACAGGGATGGGTCCGTTACGGTTTAAAATACTAGAATCGATAAAAAACGGTTTTTTGACAAAAGTGTCGCTTACGATAATTTGGCGGTAAAGGCTCGATATTAGTTGGGAAGTTGGGATTAAACAGGGGGGAGGGGTTCGGCCTATTCTTATTTTTTCTTATAGTAGGGAGGAAAGGGTCAAAAACTAGCGATAATAGTCTTACGTAATTTACTTATTCTACATATTGTAAATTCTACGTACTTAATTAGTTTAAAAATAATCATTAAGTGCCAATTTCAATTAATATAATAATTTGTCACAGACACTAGACAGCAGCTTTGTATTTCAGATAATTGACTGCCTGTCACGGTGATGTGGGAATCAAACCCGCGGCCTTTGGTACTTTAGTAAATGTAATTTAATTATTATTTATAGTATGGGGCGTCATTTTTTTTTAATATTTAGTATTGTAGGCTTAGATTAATAAAACCTAGATGGATAGTCTTCATACAAAGTTTCAATTACAAACGCTTCGTCAAGAGTGAGGCAAAAATCTTATGTCATTAGTTAGTGTCAATTTTGTTGGGGAGTGTAGACAGTGAAGGCGATTTTCCCGAGAGTAGGGAAATTTTTAATACGTTTTTAATTATTTTATAATTAACAAAAACAAAACGCGTCATGTACTTACTTATTTATTGAATTCAAAGTACCTACCTAATAACAATAAGATAAATCGACTTAAAAGTCGATTTATCTTATTGCTAAAAATTTAATTTAGACCCTAATACGATGCAGCGATGGTTCGGAACCCTTCGTGTGCGCGAGCGACTCGCGTATTATAGGTACGTAAAGCCACAGTACCTATAGTTACCTACTATCGCTCGCATACTCGTAATACACCAATGATATTATATAAAAACAAAACATCATTGTAATACACATAATAACACTGGTCAACAAAAAATCAAAATGAAAATGGTGCCGAGATTCTGTTGATAGTTTATTATTAGGTGTGCATTAGTAATAATAAAAATATTTTTCTTTCTTTTTTCCTACGTGTAGTTTTGGATCTACCCTCAGTTTTAAAATTTAGCTTTAATCGGTACTTTGGTTGCACAGTTTGTAGTGTTATCGGTACATTTTTATAAATGCATTTATTTTAATATCATGTCTGCATTGCCAAGAAGTTATCTCAACAATCAAAATGTATTTTTTTTACATTTGTGGTGTGTACACAGTTAAAAAGTTCAAAAATTCAGGCAATATTTTATTAAAAGTGCTTATTTTTCTTACTTTAAGTCGGAAATTGTGGTTGTATTCAAGCCGTAGATACCCAAAATTGTTTGTATAATCTGCTGTGAACACTTAAGACAATGTTACAATGGTCAAAGAAGTCGTAACATGAAGTTCAGAGTGGAGAAAGTGAGGAAAGAACAAAAAAAATCCTAGTTTGAGCATAAATATTTTTTTTTAATTAATTTAATTAAGTAATTTTTTATGGTCCATAAATAACAATATTAATAAAAAATACTGATTTCTTAAGTTCGATAGACTATTTGGAACGATTTGCATAGATTTTGTTAATTGAAATTACAATTTTTTTTTTCGGAAATTACTAGTCCAGTAACTACTCTGAAATTGTGAGACATGCCTTAAAAACTCAGGATGTCATAATTTTCATCAAAGAGCACTACCTCCACAGTCATCTTGACCAATCCCCAGAGAATCTTGGGTCACTATAGCATGCTATAGCTAAGAATAGGGAGAGCGATGCTATCAAGACCTAAAAACCATTGGAAGAGAGGTACCAAGCCAGATGGGATCGGTATATGATGGCTGATTACTGCTGGAGGATGTAACGTGATAGTTCCATTACACCTTATTCACAAAAGTCGTGGAAAATAAAGTTTTTAAGCATTTTAAAATATTATAAACGCTGATTTTGGTGAAATTTTGTATTTTTCTATACACGTCAAAATCTAGAAAACCACACGTAGGAAATCGACAAATTTGCTACTAAAGCAACCAGCATAAGGTCCTCAATCAAAAAATATATACAGTTCCTTGGCACCAAAACCACTGTTGACCAGTGTAATAATTCCTTTTTTATCAATTCAGTGCAGAGTGCAGTCTGTTCAAGCGTTCAAGTCTGATAAGCTAAACATTGCGGCATCTTAGAAGGAGCTACAATTTACAACACAATTTTATTTTATTTAAGTGCTGTGGACTTACAAGACAAATGCAAAATATCTGAATAATTAGTGTTTTAATTTACACCATTGTTTGAAGAATATTACAGAATTGAACTATAAGATAGGTGACAGTTCATTTACGAATATGAACTGACATGATCCATGATGACTCAATACAATATCACCAGTGGCGGATTTACAAATTTGCCGCTAGTAGGCCATTCAATTTTTGCCGCCCCTACTTACTGACTTTTGAAATTACCCGTAGGCTCCCAAGCCTTGTAAAGGGTCGCCTTAACCAGCGTATACCTAAGCAATGCAATCGTACAGGAGGGTACAAGGAAGAGGGGCAGCCACAGTAGGTAACACAGAGTCGTTCAGGTGAGTGCCAGGAAGAGGTGCAGCAACCGCAGTTAAGGAACGGCTAGGACGAACAAGGATAGGCGCATCCAGCTCGTAAACCTTGATAGGGTTACACTGGTGGAGGCGCTCCTTTTCAAGACTTGGAAGCCTGCGGGTAATGAGTCATTGGACGTGGAGAGGGTCATTAAATTATACACATATTTTCTGCTTTGCCGAACATTTGCACGAGAACGGTTTGTTCAAAACATATGAATTTGGTCTTATTTAATGCAGGATTAAATGCCCTTTAACCTTCAGGAAGACCACTTTTCGATAGGGTAAGTCCTTTACGCGGTATAACCGGAAAACCGAAAAAGCGCCCCTTTCGGGGGCCCCCACCACTTAAGCACAACTCCGTCTAAGTCGAAAACCTAGGAGAGTCTTTATGGGCAACTAATGGCCATTCTTCTTCTTCTTCTTTTCAGCCAAATGACGTCCACTGCTGGACAAAGGCCTCCCCCAAGGTTTTCCACAATGAACGGTCCTGCGCTGCCCGCATCCAGGCTCTTCCCGCGACCTTTACCAGATCGTCGGTCCACCTAGTAGGAGGCCTGCCCACGCTACGTCTTCCAGCCCGTGGTCGCCACTCGAGAACTTTCCTGCCCCAACGGCCATCGTCTCTACGAGCTATGTGCCCCGCCCACTGCCACTTGATTTTAGCAATTCTGCGAGCTATGTCGGTTACTTTGGTTCTCCTGCGGATCTCCTCATTTCTGATTCGATCACGCAGGGAAACTCCGAGCATAGCCCGCTCCATCGCCCGCATCGCTAATGGCCATTAAAGCAATAAAATCTTTAGTAGGAATTATATCCGATTTAATTCATTTTTGTGTTTAATTCTACTGGCCTATAAGCTTTTCTTGACTTAAAGTAGATCGTAGATAGTTTTTAACCCGTTTTAAGCAAGAAAAGCTTCTCACCTGAATGTGCACAGAGCCATGCGAAGTGCTATATCCAGTATAATTAGCTAAGAACTACTTAAAGGTAAACAGAAAGGCCAAGGCTTGGTAATACAGGGTGGCCCAGAAGAAAATTAACTTTTGAAAATTCAAGGAGACGAAAACTTTATAGAACTTTAACTATTGCAATTTAAAGAAAATTTAATGCAATTTATTTTTAAATTTACCTTTATTAAATTACATCGCCCAGGAGATTTCCTTGACGCTTACAACATTCGATCAACATACATCAAAATCTTGGAATGCGTTCGTCAGAATTACTTTGAAACCTATTTTCAATTTTTTGCCGAATGCTCAGCTTCAGTTGCTGCATGGTTGTTGGATTATAAAAGTATACTCTATTCTTAATGTAACACCACAAAAAATAATTTTCTGGAGTGAGATCAGGGCTTCCTGGTGACCAGGAGATGTCACCCCTGCCTGAAATTATTTTTTTGTGGGAACATGTCTCTTACCATCTAAATGCTCTCAGTTGAAGT